CTGCTGTTGAAACACTTGGTGGATTGTTGGCAGAAGAAAACCAGCCCGGACTGCGAAACAGGAGAGCTGGTTGCTCGAAGAGAATATGTGCCAGGAATCCATTTAATAAGGCTATAAGGCATTAGCATTGCGACAGAAGAGGCATGTTGGGTTTCAGATGCAAGCTAAGATGCATACCGCAGATATCTTCTCAATATTTCCTCAAATATTGTCATGTGGTATATTTGTGCTGTTTCAGATCTAGATTAGAAGAAAAAGGAAAGAAGAGAAGAGAAAGAGGCGCATGAAGTCTCGATCATTAATTAATGTGCTTCAGCCAACATCTCACTGGTCCTTAAAATCCGGGATTGGTCAAAAGAAGTTCGTAAAATCAACAAGTACTCCGTATGCATTCACTATTATCCCTGGTTTGATATGTGAACTCACATAATAATGGGAACAGACAAGAGATTGAGGAGTTCTAGCCGGTGTGGTGATGAAGTTTCAGTTGTCATCATCCTCTGCACAGAGATTGAATGTCGAACTTTTAACCTAAGAATATAATATATGATATTGAGATGGAACCGGGAACTGAACAAAGACATCACTGGCAAGTGGACTTGGAGCTATTGCATGTACAGTGTCTGCTCGTCCCCGCGTGGGAAGGAAAGGGAGCAGGACCGGAAAAAAAAAGAAAAGAAAAGAAAAGAAAAGAAAAGAAAAGAAAAGAAAAGAAAACAAAAGCCGTTCAGCACTCGCATGTCGATTGCAATCCTTCGTCCAGCCACTCCCCTTCTTCAATGGACCCTTCTTCAATGGAGAGAGGATTGGATGCTCAATAGTTAAAATGATACAAGTTAGAGCAGATAAACCAACCTTTCTGGACCTGGTACCATCCTTGTTTCCAACATCCAAACACCACCAACCCGATTAGATATTCGCCAGCCTCCAATGTTCGAACATCAATGATAGCAGAACTATGGAAGCGTTAGAAGAATTAAAGGAAAAGGGAGAGACGTAAACACGTCTATGCACGTACCGTGGCACAGTCCATAGCCAGCTGCCACTGGGCTTTATTTTTATTTTTATTTTATTTTATTTTTTTGGTTTAAGTGGGATGATGCGCTTCGAAGTTCAGTGACTAGATCGTATCAGCGGCGCATAGCTGCGGTCCTTGTACAGCCCCATGCTGCACCAATAACAGCGATTGGTATGTGTTCACAGCCACTGGCATATTAGAAAAAAGATTAAGCACACCCGGGCAAGATCAACTACAACAACATGCGTTTTTCCAGATAAACAGATTCTACTTAACTTTAAACCTGTCTACAACGTGTGCTGAATAATCTGGCAGACCATAACTAACTACGTTAACTAATAACAGGAGTTGGTAAGAAGTTACATACATAATCCAAAGAAATGAAAAGAAGGGCTATAAATGATCATATGCCATCAAGTCAACGTCATCATATCCCAGAATCCACAAATAAACTCGAGAAAGTAGGATGAGTGCTCGCAGCCAACGAATGAATATTCGGCGTCCAAGAAGTTGGCGACAGCTAACTTTTGAACAGGTCGCCCTGATACATTCGGCTCTTCTAAGGTTATCGTTTCAGCATCATCGTTGGCGTCATCTCCTGTAAAAAAGTGAACGATCTGTCTCTCTATTACAGTATTATTATCTTTCCTTTTGTAACCGGTTGACTGATTGATATCCATCATCATCATCATCATCGTCATCATCACCAGCGTCATCACAACAAGAATCAAGCACCAAGATATCCACAATAAAAATTTTCAAAGTTTTTGGACAATTCGAATGGCGATCATGCCGAACCTTGACGCTCTAGGGGCAGAGGTACTTCCAGAGTCTTCCTAGCTTCTAATCTTCCACCTAAGCACCATCCAGAGAAATGTCCGGTTCCGACTGTTGGTTAAATTAAGTACTCCCCTAGTTTAAGTATGTTAATCGGGAAGTAAAGTGGAGAGATTGGCACTCCGAACTATAAATCGTGTTGATTTCTTCCTACTTTTTCCTGCTGCAGCCAAGTTGAAAGTTTCCTGAGATTGAACAAGAAGGATAGGATTTGGAAAATCACGGGCAATTTCGCCTGGGTAAAATATCTAGTTATTCGCAATAATTTATCCCGAAGAAGCCAACCTCTGTAGCGAAGTTCTAATTATTGATCAACCCATCCCCAATAAGCTGAAAACTCGGACGGGTTGACCGGGCTCAAATAATAAGCTTCACCAATTAACTAATGCATTCCCTTCAACCTTTCTGCCTAATCTGACGTTTCAACCCCTCAAGGTGTCAAGGATGCATCCACAATGCTACGAACCTCAAAGTTACAGTCTGACAACACTTACTCCATTGTGGGCGAGTTACTACCTCAATTTTAAGCCATCAAGGTGGAGAATCTGCTCCAGATGGCAAGGCCATGGCCAGAACATCCATGGACATGAACAAACGTGAAGAAGCGGGACGCAGGGATTAAAAATAAAAATCTATAAAAAGAAAATATTTCGCGACTAGTACGATAGCTAGAGGACAACGTCAGAGGATGTATGGTTAGCATACTGTGTCAGAAGTGCCTGATTTTGATTTGATCTGCGCTGCTGGTTGCGTTTATCTCCGAGAGTCCAAGAACCGCAACTGATGGCTGATGGATCCCTTGCCGAAATACGATGCAATGGCGAAGACGCGACGCGACGAAAATGCAAGCAAACTGAAAGAAATGGAAAAAGAATACCCGCATAACGAGCGAGTGGGGCAGAACTCTCTTGCAAAATTAACCAGCCAAAGCAACATTTGTTGTCGTGATGCGCACAATGCATGGAATATTGTCCATACGATGTCAAGACCGATTTCAAACCCCTCAACTCAAGGAAGCGGGGTACGAAAGCAAAGACAATGGGAGGAGGGAAAACTCTGCAATTGTCTCCAAACTATCGGAATTCATTCCGTTTGTTATCCCATAAGCCGCAGGGGAAGAGGGCCTAAGACAAGGGCCTCGGGAAATGCTTTTCTGATGCCCAATCATTGTGTTTGTGGTTTCCAAAGGGCATTATGAGAGGTTTTGGGAATTGGGGGGTGTTGACGTTGGGAGTGAGTTTAGAATATCTTCTGGCTTTCTTTTTGGCCGTCGGGGGGTTGTTTTTTTTTTCCCTATATTTTTCGGAGAAGGGAGTTGGTATTCACACAGCAGTCTTTTGCTTGTAGCCCAATCTCAAGTAGCGGTCCACCTCCTCTTTATCATGGATTCCTGGGGATATAGTGAGTTGTAGAAATAATGGTTCGATGTTTATCTGAAGATTGAGGGTGCGCTCAAGATATCCCTGCTGCGTGTGTGGTACTATCCTACAAATCGTGCAAGCATTATATTTAAGCATATTTAGGCGCTTGGTTTGACAAGGGGGGACGATCTTCGTCAGTGCCAGAAAACAATCGATATGTCTGTCCAACAAATAGCAGAACAGAAGGGTGATGATTTATTTATGTTTGATCAAGAAGTCGACATGGTTTGCATCTGCAGCTCAGAAGTGTGTATACTTCCCCCGGTACAACAAACACATTAACTTAACTACAGCGCAATACCAGATATATTTTCTGAAGTTATTCTGGAAGAAAATAGATGACCCTTTCTCCCATGGCTCTCGTCCATCTAAATCCCAAACCCAATCAACATCGAACAAAGAACGCAACCAGAATGTTTCAAGATAAGTCGCAACAAGATTCAACGATGGCGTACCTGTCTTAAATGTCCGAGAGACTGCAAGCGGGTCGACCATGGAAACCCAACCCCAAACACAAAGTATGTAGCAAGACATGCTGCCCTACTAAAGTATGTAGCAAAACATACTGCCTAGTTTAGTAGGGCAACTAAACAGCATGTAAATATACAGCCGATTAAAGTAATGATGATAGCAACAATAATAAATATATGAATAAGAAAGGATAATTAAAACCGCAACAAACGAAACATAGCAGAGATTTTGATTTTGATTTTTACTTTGAAGCCTAATAACTGATTGAATAAGCTTCGCAGCCCGTAATGATATTAGGTGCAATTTAGGCGCTTCTGCTGCGATACTGTGGCTGTAGTTAAGTTTTTATTTTTAGTCTGCTGAATCTCGTTGACCTTCCTCCATATATATTCGAGGCTGTGAAATTCCAAAGGGAGAAAAAGCGACCTTAAATACGTCACACCGGCGCGGCCGGTGGGTTGGGGAGGGGGGTGGGGGTGAGAGATTAAAATATCAACGCCAATCGTGATAGTTGACCCAAAATTGGGACCCTTGTGTGTGAGAAGAACAAAAAAAGCGGGGAGATAGCCTCTGGTCAAAACCTCCGCCTGAGCTCTGGATGGGGTGTACATCCATACATCAAAAGCCATCGCGTGTCTCGCGCTTCCTGTACTCATGCATACAACACCCTGTTGTACCCATCCCCTCTCCTGCGACCTAATCAGTTTCATCTGGGAATTCGTCAGTGCGTTGTATGTGCTGTGCATGAACATGTGCGGTACATAGTTCTTCCTAATTACCTTGCACAGTAGTTTAAACCAAAATGTGCTCGTGGGCTAAAGACCTATCACATCAACAAAAAAAAAAAAAAAAAAAAAAAAAAAAAAAGAAAATCTCTCTCAAAAAGCCGTCTTCGGACGTACGAAGGGAATAAAGTTCTATGACCTCCGGAGTATGTACGGCTTCTCCTGTTAGGAGCGGAATATCCCGTTTTGCATCGGAGCCGATGAGCGACATACTAAATAGGGAAAGAAAATAGTAAGATTTAGCCAGCTATTGTGTTCACTGGTTAATTGTTTGGTTGCGCACATCGCAAAGCACCCTCATAGGCCAATAGGTCACCCAGAGTCAACGTTTAGGGGTGACGGTTCAAGAGTTATGGTTGTTGTCCATCCAATATATCACAGAGACAACTGAGCAGCATCAGCAGGGGTAGTTTCCCTACCTTTGCCCCTTGGTGGTTGTGGGGAGGGGAAGCGCGCTACCCCTGAACATTAGGGTATGCCGCGCACTTCGGCGCCCAAAAACAGCGGGTAGGGGCCCCAGCTATAGGGATTGTCTGGAGGTTGGTTAAGAATGGATCCTGCAAATCTGGAGAATCCCTCCCCTTGAGGAAGGGTTTGTGCGTTTCCCTTTGCTTCCCCCTGTGATCCGCAACATGGAGTCAGCATAGGCTCATTAAACCGTGGAGCGGCACTCGATCCAGTAGTTGCAACGGGCCCAACCCGGGTGTCCTGTAGGTACCCATTAACAGCAACTCGTGGAACTGCCGATTTTACTGTGTACCGTGACCGAAGCTTTTGGGTACTTCGGGATTATTCTTCCTCAAACAGATTGGGCGAACATCGTTGTTTGCGCAAATGACCTCATTGCTGATCGCATTTCCCTTCAAAGAGCCAGACAATATTAACTGGAAATAAGACCGTGATTCAGAATTGTTGCCACCACCCAGTCTAACGAGACAAGCGAGCACCAAGTTATTCGCTCCAAGTAGGCAGACGGGAGGGCTCGAGAAGTTGAGCATCCCATGCGTCCCTCATGCTACGTGCCCAGAGCATTGTGATAAAATGCGATTGTTCCCAGCGTTGCATCGCAATGAAACATGATGGAGTGGTTGTGAAAGTAATTCATTTAGCATTGCTGACTTTCGCGCGCCACGACCAAACTATCCCTGCCCCGCACCCGTTTGATCCTATGTTGATTGGCCTTGTTGGTCGGGATCCTCGTCAAATCTGTTGAATAAGTTGCCGAAACATGGAACAGAGCCTAACAAGCCGCAAGCGTCACGCCGACCGAAATCACTGATAGGACGGCTAATTTAGTCTCCTAAAAACCCAGCGCTGATCAATGGATGTTACATTTTCTTTTTTCTTTTTCTTTTTCCGTTCGTTTGTTTTGTTTTTTTAAACGAGGCCATTTTTTCCGAACACTGTTCAGTTGCCCAAGGGCATGAGGAGAAGAAAAGGACGTGCAGTTTCGTAAAAAAAAAAAACCCCATCTGGATCGCTCTGAGAATTTCAAAGGCCCGGTACGGAATACCCGTTTATACTTTGAAAAATAATGTTGAGAGCGCACTTCCAGGAATGACTGTCACTGGGCGAATTTCTTTGTTCTTGGGCTGGTGAGACCATTTCCAACCTTGACTTACTTTTGCATGTGGGGGACCAATTAAATTCGCCCATCAGCCGAATCAAACGGTTGAACACTTTTCAGGATCAGATAAGCCTGCAAATGAAGACCAACCCCAAGTGCCGAAATGCGCCAAGTCGCCGGAAAGAAATTTGAAACTTCCAGTGGGGCGTGTGATATGCACACGAGCATTTCGCATGGGCTTACTGGAGTCGCCCCAGCCTGTGTGGTCAAACAGGCCCAGTCCTCCCGTTGCTTTCAACCTGCTTCTGTCAACATTCCAGAATCTGCCAACCTGGTACGTTACCATGGATTCCACAATTTTTATTACTATGACTTGCCGATACACCCACCAAGCGTCAAACCAAGCAGCACTGGAAGGGACATTGGATGATTGGAAGAAATCCTCTATAGATTGCGTCGGTTCTCAAACAAAGGCGACGACTCTGCGAGCGTCGGAGATGCTTGGACTCGCCATGATGATGGCTTGGCAGGAATATCAACGAGGGATAAACTGGGTCTGCGCTTGTAACTCTCTCTTCTGTCCACTCTCCCAGAACGCATCGTTGATGCCTATTCTTCTGTCGGCTAGAAGTAGACACGCGAAGGCAATTAATTGATCTTGCGGGCGGGGAGCAAAGGAAGAGCTTCTTCTACTTCAAAACTTGAAAACTTCATCCTGGACAATTGCAGTTCAAGCCATACAATAATAGCGTTCAAATATGTTCGTTCCTATTTTTGTGAAGCCAGCTGTACCCAGCCCAAGGTACCCAATGTCCAAAAACCAGAACCGTCGAAGTCGATATAATAATGAAATACGGAATTCAGCCCAGCAGAGCTCATATTTCTCCCTCCCCCGGCTCCCTGGTCTCCACTTTACTTGTTTCATGACGTTTAAATGATAGAGTTTCGAATTAGGAGTTTCTTTTCCTTCTGTTGTTCAGGGAAGACAGGGATCAGGAAAATGACTTGCATAATGATGGAATCTTCAAGTGCTGATCATGGAAACGTTAGCGTCGAAGAATTCCAGCCCAGAACGACTTAGATTCGCTTTTCCTTCTCCTTTTCTTTCCTTATCTTTCTCTTTTTCATTTCCTTTTCCTTTTCCATTTTTTTATTTTTTTTTTAAATCAAATAATTAATTTATGACACTGGAATCGTTTATGAGCTATAGGCTACGCCGCATTCCGATAAGACCTGGTTTCAAGCCAACACCGGAGAATACAACTTCCTATGCTATCGGAATATGGAGTTCCGGTCACATTCAGCAATAACGTCACGAACCATCCAACAGAATCGGGACCCGAACTTTTAAACCATGGTGTGTTTTCGAAGGTTGATGCTGACAAGAACCACGGCATTCAGTATCCCTGAAGTTATTCACCTGCCCCCATGGGCACACTGTAACTTGACAGGCATGGCGCATTCGCTAACTTCCCAGGGTCTACATTTTAGTGTTGAACACTTCCCTGAGGCCTCTCCAATCGCGCGTACAGCTTATGATTGCATTTTGCTCACTTTCCAACCAACAGAGGGGAAGTCTTGACCCCCAAACTGTGACTCCGAGAAACCCACTTCACCTCATCATTGGCAAGCAAATTTGCTCTGTCAAGACCTGGATTATCATCGAAAATGGCGTTGTCTCAAGCCATAGTAGTGTCCGGAAGAGTTCGGGTAGGAAAGTATGTTCCCGTCTGCGGCTCACGCACTTATTGGATCGAGCGAATATATCACAATTTGCTTAAAGCTGCAGCAAAGCTTTGACATCTTCCCACAGCCAAGCTATATGTCAAATTTTTAGCAAAAGTTTCCCCGACAAAAAGAGAAACGTCGGGATAATCCATAGTCTAGTGCAAATGTACAGGGACAGTACATAATAGTAAAAAGGGGTTTGAGAATGAACTGGCTTGGAGTGCAGTTCATTCAACTCATGATTCTTCCACCATATAGAGCCTCAGAGCTTATAGCATGAGAGGGGAAAACAAGCAATTCAATAGCCCACAGACTGGCAGGGACCTATGTCACTCTCAGTCCACTTCTTCAAGGATACAAAAATAGAACAATGCTGGACAGCATTCTATGAAGCTCTCCTGGTTCTAGAGGCTGGGTCTTTCGGTTAACGCACCCTTCTTAATCTTTACTTTTCTTCCCTCCCTGCGACCTCATATCTCGTTGGCTTTTGCAATACGTGATAAACGCTCTTCATCAACTGGCAACTCTACAAAAGGAAAGGACAGGCGTCATTTTCATTGCTGCTCTCCCCGAAGCACACGTTTCCAACAATCTGTGGTGCGAGTCAAGAGGACGAAACAGTGATGCACCAAGCTCGCACTCATGTAGCTGCAGCCGAGAAGGATCATGATCGACCTGTTCTGTTACCTGCAAATCTCATCCCACACATTCGGAGATTATCGCTAATTGCCATCCACATTTGTATATCCAACCCATGTAACCCCAAGGCATCCAACTTGGGCCAACCTCTGCAGGCAAAGGAAGCAGTCTGGATCGAATCAGAAGCAACATGGCAGGGATTGATATAACGAGCCATCTTGTCGCATAATTGTTTTATTCTTATCATTTCTTATTCTCTTATTTCCACGATATTCAGCCTCTCCATCGTATATGATTTCGTAATCACTCTATCTTTTCCCTGATCCTTCTCTTCGGGGGTTCCTGGTGATTGGATTGTTGGCCTTCAAGTTCTTGAAGTTCATGGCTTCATATTCGGAACAACCTAACCATCCCTGACTTCCCGCTGATTCCTTGTCCGACGCTAGACAGGGATAGACCTTGAATAGCAGCTTTGATGCTGCGAAGGCCATCAGAGACAATGTCGGTTGCAACCTGCAAGTGACGCATTCCCACTTTGGCTCTGTCAAAGCCCTCGATTCGTCGGATATCCAGTCTATCTGGGTCAGAGCTGAATATGGCGACACATCCTCAAATATTATTATGTGTGAATCATCAAAAAGGAAAACAGAGGCAAGTATGACATCGTTTCTTTTACTTCTTTTGAGGGAAAATTAAGGTCGTTGTGCTCCTGCAACTGCAGATGGCCTCTCATTTTCGAAGAATAGTCTTGGTGCTTCCTTGAATCAAGGACATAAAGTGCGTCATCTCTTCTTTGGTTATACTTGGAAGAGATCTTGAAATTTTCACACTCTAAAAAATTCTTCACATCACAGCATAACCGTCATTTTATGGAAACCCTATTATCGGTTTCTATTCCGTATCTACCTATCATACGTATATCAGCTGCATCCATGGGATGTATCTGTACTTCGGATAGTATGAAGCTCCTTTGCCTTTCCGATATCAACTGAGGGGATTCACTTCAGTTCATATTTACAGCATCGAGAGCAATTGTAATAGAGAGAGTGGTTGAGAAATGTTTCAAATTTTTTTCTTCTTCTTCTTGACAGCTACTATCTACTTCCTTCTTACATGTTATCAAAGTGGAGGCTGTCTAATTTCGTCTCTCTAACACGCATGAAAAGAAGATGAAGAAGTGTGCTATACAGAGAAGATCGCACAGGTCTAACGCTTCCCCCCGGGCATACGAGTATGATAGTACGTATTCTACTTGCTGTGCGATGTTGCGAACAATGTTTATCGTGGATACCTCGATCAAGATGCATAACCAAATGTACCTACTCAAACAATCTGAAGTCAATTAATAAAATTTGCTACATGTATATCATTCGCACGTGTACATCTGCAGCATCCCTGAGAATTAGTTTCTTCTCATTTACCGTATAGTTGATCCTCATATGCTGCTGATCCATCATACAACGCTCTTCTTTGCCGAGGCCCGTCGCGAACGTACAGAACGCAGTTACACATGCTCATTTACATCGCATCCATGCCATGGATACAAATCGTGGGTGTAAAGATCTCATTTACAGTTATGACTGTCAGTGAATGTCTTCTTGCGTTTCTCAGCGTAATGAAAGCATTTGAGCAACAAAGTGAGGCAGCGAAAACAATGCCATATCCAGATGCGCGCATGATACATAATTCTACGAATCAAGTCCATGAGCCAGTCAACTTTGTCAGTGGACTCGGAAACAACTTCTTTCGATATTGGTCTTTTTGAAAACATACTCAGCCAGGCATTGAAAATTCACGTTGACATCTTCGCAGATAGTGACATGGGCTTTTTCGCAGTTGAAATGTCCCACCCTTGTTTCCACGTGAATCCCTTGAGGATTCCCGCTTGCTAGCGTTAGCACATTGGAGCCTGGATGCATATCGCTCCCATGGACCTCTAGTCTATGAGGAACGAAATAGATATCAACCTTGCAACTTGTATAACAATTTCTTCACTATTCAAAGGATATCTATATCTGAGTGTGATGCGATTTCTCCTTTATTTCTACGTTGCACGAAGAGCAGAGCGAGAATGGAGTAACTTTTCATATATATTGTTTTGAACTTCAGTGACATCCAAACTAGCGAGTTCCCATCGGATGAAATAGGAGCCATAAAGTTAGTTATTGGAATGGCTTTGCTTCTTGATACCAGATCGATGAAGAAAGAATAAAAATGCTGAATTTTTTATTTGTGAAGCTAACTACCCTGCTTCCAATAACCCCTTAGACTCGGAGAAAATTTCAAGAGAAATCTATAAACGGGGTCTGCTATTATGTTTTTTTGTGTGCGTGCAACATCCAGCATATTTAGTTAGTTATCCCATTCTTACATGTCAGCGATACATACACATTTGTAGTTAAAAGGACATTGATTACCTTTTCCACCAGAGGGAAGCCTACAAATAAAAAGTAAATCATTTCATTTTTTTTTTAGCTACGCAGTTGCTACTTTGCAATTTCATTTCCGAAAATGAAGATACTTCAGAGCTCTAGTCATAAACGCCATGGCGGATTATTTATCAAATATCATTCCAATCCATTCATTCTTTGGATAGGGCTGGACTTAGATGATTACGTGATGAACTCTTAGAACTTGCTCCCGGCCTTATTTATTAGTTATCTACTAGGAACCGCACTTCTTCGAACTCTAGATGTAGATCGGACGAGGAGTCTCAATAACCTATACCCGTTCCTTTAAGCAGTGGCAGATTCAAACCCAAACATCAGCTTATCGTCACCTTCGACATGCCTGACATGCACAAAGAGAGGTTCAATCTGGGTAACGGGAATCCCGTCCCTTGTCGTTTTGTTTCTCTGATCCATGAGCCTGGCCCAGACATCCGTCGATGTGGCTTATTGTACCAGGGTATCATGGAAGTATTCCACACCAAGATACTCGGATCAAACAGATCCACACTACGAGGTTCTGTGGAAGATTGCCCAGGGCTTCTGCAAAATATATAAGCCTCGTTGATATAAACGCCAGAGGCAGATTCGATCGAAGATAGAATGGGAAAATCGAGAAACTAGAGAGGAAAACCAGAGAACAGCCAATGTCCAACACTGTATGGTCTCTGGCTGATTTGTTCTGAATGTCCTTCTTCGAGTGCATTTAAATCTGACCCCCCAGGCTCCCCCAGGTTCGGCCGCTGCTCTGCAGTTCGGAAACGAAAAGGGGCAATGGCCGGAAGGGGATCAACGATACGGACAGAATTAGAACCCACACTGCATACCCGGAAAAGACAATTTCAGGACCCCATACTACTTCCTATCCTCAATTTTGAGTGTCAAAAAAAAAAAAAAAAAATCCCAGACAGTCTCACATTTGTCGCCGTAGATGCTTACCCCTAATATATCTGGATATGGTCCTGTTTGAATTACCGGACACGGACAAGAAAAAATGGCCGCGTGCGATGATTTGCTGGCTGTTCGGGAGGCGCGATTTTTATTCTGACAGATGGTAGCATTGCATGTGGAAAAACTGGAAGATTTTTATGGGGACTTGAGCTACAGCTGTGCTGTGAGAGTGGTTTGAATCACGGCGCCACTACCAGCTTCCTCTTACAACTCCCTCGGAGCTTAAATAGTTACCGTTGATGAGCGGGATAAGTCCGCATCAGCTCGAGGACGAGGACGACGACGACGACGACGACGACACACACCGAAGTCGATTGGTTAGTCGAAATGGAATATCCCAGATATTAGCTTTAAGGTTCAGTTTTATTGGTGATATATGGGTCTATTTCGCCTGGACGGACCAACATGCGCCGACGAGCCTTGATTGACCGGGTTTAATTCCCTGAGGCTCATTTTTACTTCTTTGTCATTTAATGATTAGTTTAGGAGATACAACCTTCTTCCCAAATTCTAATTCAAACAAGGTGTAAATATCTGTTAGTTAACATTGAGCACTGACTCAGCTTTCAAATGAAGTCCGAGATACCTATCCTTCAGATTCCGCTAAAGACAAATAGATCTGAAAGTGGTCGATTCCGTCGGAGATACTCCACACCATATGCTGGTCTAGTTGGTTCACCTCTGAATGACTTTCGCCAAGTGTCATCTTTTGCAAGTAACGTTAATGTGAAGATATTTCGATACTCTTTCTGTGTGGTGAGGTTAAGAGGCAGATGAGGCATTCATTGTCTTACGCAAATATGCATGAAGCATTTAATAGCGAATACAACCGTTGGGGATGGAAGCACTTGTACTCTGTACCGTACAACTTCGGACTTTTTGTGTTTATTTGCATTCAGATCGTCATGAATGTAGTGCTACTCGAACTTTGTAGGCTCACATAATTTAAATATGTACATGACTTCATCGGCAATGGAGTTGTACAGAGAGGTAACAATAATTTCTGCAAAACAGACTCATGAAGCTTAGTCTTATCCTTTACTCTGCAAGTTGCCATGAAATTTCAGCATCGATAATGTTTCCCTCCACTCTTCATTTCCCACAACTCTCACCATCTATTTAGTTTTCTCGTCTCTCCTTTAAAGGTAAGCTCTGTTTTAAAAGATATAAAGAGAGCTCTTAATTTCCATGTAGTGTGACACATTTCCCACGTGAAGGAATGACAGCCTCACGTCCATCTCCTCCTCAAAAGTGAGAAGAAAAACTGAACGGAGATATCATGTATTGAATATGACTTCTTGGCAGTATGGTTACTTTGACCGTTCGGCAAAATAACTATACTTGTCTAACCGCTGGAAAACCCTCTCAGCCGAATACCCAGCTTCCATGTCCAAAGATTCCTCCCTTGCTATGTCTCAACAAGAAAAGGGACAGGGTGCACATGTCAAGTCAGCGCCCCTGCACAAAAGTCCTGTTTGCAGACTGTTTAAAATAAACAATTGACATATGGAGGAACTTGCTTCCAGAAATCGCGATCCAAGAATCCAACAAGGCCCAGATGTTTGTAAATGAGTGGAATGTTCATCAGAGTCGGGAGCTAGGGAGCTAGGTCAAAACTTAAAAGTTAGGTTACATGACAGGCGTATTGGTTTGCTTTTGAGGAAATGAGTGATCAAACGTTTAGTTAGGAGGCTAGATACTGGTATCCCTAAAATAGTGATATTATCGAGAAACTGAAAGGGCTGGGTTGTTGGACCGCGAATATGGTAGACGGGAATTTTGTGGATCGCAAAGGAAGGTAGGAAGGCACCTTGTCATCTGGATATTCTTATTTTGCTCGCGCTGCTGTGGATTCCCGAGCAGAGGAGCCAGGGGGAGGGGAGCGATTGTAACGGTGGATACTCTATGGTTGACTAGGTCCTGCATGTGTGAGAACTAGTCGACTAGACCGCTCTTTTTGCCCCGGGGGTAACATCGCAGATGACGGAGGGAAACAACCAGCTAAAACCTGAAGCTAGATTCTGGTGATTAATGTCGGAGGAAAGAAACAAGATCACAAAATATCACGCATGATCTGTGGGTTGGCTAATTAATGGGTTTCAATCTTTGTCAGAGGACTAGAAATTAAAGCTAGATTTGGAATTTATGGGAATGGGAACAGAAAACCATTGGCACATGGTACGCGCTTGAGTGAGCTCTGTTTGGTGGCTCACTGGCCAAAGGAGCGGAGATATGGGTTTAGGATTCCTTGTTAAGTTGCTTATCCTCCTTACTTAAATTAGTAGTGAAGGGTTAAGAAAAATTGCACCTGCAGAAGATGTATGATGAACTAACTTTGCATGTTCTCCAGTCTAGCTCACTTTTGGCATCATTAACTCACATCCTTGTGACATTATTGTTGGGTTGCTGTTTGGAAAGCGGGTATACTTCTGACCACAAAATATCACCGGATCGTGGAGTTTTTCTCATAGGTTTGATAAAAGGTCTTGGTTCTGTAAGTACGTCTCCTCGCTCCTCGAAGTCCGCGCTTCACGTCCTCAATATAGGAAGCTGGATAACTACAGCGGGGTAGAAGGCGGACCCAAAGGAATCTGATCGGGAGATAGTCTTAGAGAAGAAATCCATCAAAATCAGTCGCTCTGACTTTAGCGTACTTCTGGCAACTTGGACAGGAATCTTGATATAAATATTCAAAGGATTTCTTATAGAACACACTCATTAATAATAGATTGAATTGGTCCGGGCCTCCTTCATGATGCCATTCATCTATCAGCTGCTTAATGAGAATTCTCATTTCAATCAAAAAGTGGAACTGACAGCAGTATTTGTTCCACGAGGAGGGACGATTTGGAAAATAAAGAGATATCAATAGAACATTTGCCAAAATTTTAAAGGAGCAGATATAACTTTTGATATGTGGTATATAAACGATTAAATTAATATCAAAGGACAACATTTAGGGGAGGTAGGGTAACAAATTGCAATAGAATTGCACGGCCTGTCTCTCCTTATAGATTGAGAAGCAACCAGTTTTTGGCCAGTTTGGTAGGATATCTAAAACTTAGTATAATTGTTAAAACGTGATTTTCGATGTTAGAGTTCCGCAAGAAGTCCGAAGGTAAGGAAAGACCATTGACACAACTTCATGACCGTGAAGCACGAGTCTTATGTGAATCAGAAGAGTGGGAACCAGGAGGCGAGCGACGCCTTACATCAGGGGGAGGTTCAAGAGCAAGACGAGATTTCCGGTCTTCCTCGTCAGGTTCATCATCGTCTCGACGTTTACGATGATCGCGGCGATATGACTCGTACCTAGCTGCAATAGTAATTGTAAATACGGGGATAGTCATTAACCAGAATGCAAATAATTAACTTACCTCTAATATCTGCTGTATTTCTAGCGAAGTCCTCAATCTCCTCTTTTGTCAGGACTCTTAAGATTATCACATAATCAGGGCGTTCTTCGTAACGTTCGCCTTGTAGCGCTGCCGGACTGACAAGTTTTCGATCAACTTTGGTCCAACGTGCGCCTTGGGGAATACCTTTTTTCGTTGCATCTTTCAAAGGAGCAACCCCTTCTCTCACAGCGGTGCGATCTTCAGGAAACTTTTCCCTCGGAGGTTTGAGGATACTTTTGGGGGGAACTTCGGGTTCCTTGGGACGAGCTAATTCAGTATGATACGGTTTCCTTTGATCAGTGATATCGGCGGGGGTTGAAACGAGATGGTTGTTTGTGAGGAGCTTATCAGAGTGTCGCTTGGAGGACACATTGTGTCTCCTGGAGTCGGAGCTCTTGCTTTCGTAGCCTTTGATATGGTATGTGTGGCGTCTTTCAACACTTTCTTCCATGTAGGCCCGTCCTGGATGTCCTTTCGTTCGATATCTGAGACTTCGCGTTTCTATTTCCGAGAGTTCATCATCTGTTTTTCTTTCGGAATGCTCTTTACTCCTCTGTCTTGCGCTAGCAACACGACCCAGATCCCGAGTTTTCCGTCCGTCTAGCGATGCACTTCGGTCACTTTCGTACCCTCTACTTCGATATTCGTCAGAATAGCCGCTGGCTAAACCGGCTGTAGCAAGCCCACCAGGCATTGATATGTCCCGTGTGCTTCTGACATTAGTGTCTATTTTGGGGATATGTCCATATCGCGCGTCATCTCTGGCCTTTTGGTGGAGGCCATCTTTTATGGAAGCATCATCAGCATAGGATCGACGGTTACTTGGGGACTCCTTTAAGGCATCATATTCCTCATGTTGCTTTGGAGTTTTGTCTCCGTCCTGGTGAAGAGAGACTGGGGCTCTGGATCTTCCTTGACGAATATCAGGCGAATAGGAAGTTACCCTACCTTTATTATCTCGAGATGATGACCGACGAGTTTCTCCTCTTCCAATTCGGTCAAATCCCCTCGCAGAAGGCGGCGGGCCGGAGTCTCTGGGGTCTCTGGGAATCTGTGGCAGGTAGCGTTCCAAACCAGTTAAGCTCAAAGGTCTTGCCTTTCTCCTAGCGGGATTATCACGCCGATAGCTTTGAGTAGCCTCAAAGTCCCTATAGAACTGTTCTGCAGGATTGGTGTATGAGTAAGAATCTCCTATGTCAATATCCTGTGATTTATTTAGGGGGGGAGGAATTGGATAAACATGTTGCGAGTTCCGTCCGGTAATTAAATTGCCCCCCTTCTCCGAACGAGGCGGTATTTCTTTGTCATCAAGCACGAGACGACCTTCTCTGTCATCAGAACTAAAGATTCGACGATACCTTGAAGGTAAAGATGATGAAGGTAGAATGTAACGTTCAGTTTCGTTTTTGGCATAATATGATGACGGACGTGAAGGACGACCACCCTCATACCCCGCGAACAATCGGTTTGGTGATGACGGTATAGGGACTTTTAGCGGACGAAGATTGGAATCTGTGATGGACAACGTATTGCTTTTTGGGCGAATAGTATATTCGGTTCGAGTTATGGATGGTTGGTCAGTCAATCGAGAGGCATGAGAAGTAATTAAATCCTCAGGAGGGTGAGAGGACCGCTTTGGATAATAATAATTCTTATAATACGGTTCTAAGTTTCGATCTCCTGCGACACTTGACGAATAGTACCCATCATAGTCAACTCGAGGAAGATTGTATGGTTCCATATCAGAACCCAGTATCACATTCCCGGTAGATGCTCTCATGGGATCAACAAAATTCCTGTTGTCCGGCGAGGGCTGACGATAGCGTGGATGGCTCATAATGTAACGGAGTCCAACACCGCGGGTACGCTTGTATTGATATGGATGATCTTCTGGGCAGACTCTGACGGAAATGTATGACGCCGAGAGAGAGTCACTAAACACCCTCGAGTTTGAACGTGGAAATGAACTTCAATCTAAAGAAGAATGGGAAAAGATGGCTCAGCAACCAATTGTAGATTATTGGAATAAAAGACAAAGCTTCCAGGAGAGATGGAGGTTGCAATAACCAGGAAGAGAATTCGAGGGGAGGGATACATTGGGAGATTAGGCTGATGCAAATCTAAAGTGTCAAAATGACAAACAGGTGCGGGCGAATGCGAAATGGGTAGGAGATAATTCCTGCGCCGACCAGTACGCTTAAATGGATTTTTATATAACGATGGAAGTAGGTTTTCTTGGGGAGGGAGAGAAGTACGGTGATTCTGAGAGGCTGCTAAGTTGGATATCTGAACTAACTAAGCCAGAGGGGCGTCAGCAAATCTGGAAGATCCTTGTTTTTGCCTGGATACGGCTGATTGAATAACGTAACATTCAAAATCAGCCATAAGATGAAAACGTACTATTTTCCAGGCAATGGGCACCTGGATTGGTGAGTAATTTTCAATCGTTAATTTGGGTTAATAGAGCGCTGGACCGGATTTGCGGATAGAGGCACGTTCAATGATAGCTATAAATGCGAGCTTACAATTAACCTGGAAATAGAACACGACTGAAATGAAGGCTATGCTTCAGTCTAGAGTTTAGAGATGATAAATTGTCTCCTCTATATGCTGTCTGCCGTGTGGTGTGATGATGACGGAGATGGTGATGAGATGGAGGTTGGATAAGTTAATATATGGTGTGGGGTTAGGTAACTAGTTAGTTAAGTGCGGCTCTGTGGCAGTCGTCAGCTGTCAGTAGGCTCTCTGGAGAGTAAGTTTCCTCGAACTTTGCTTCCCCTCCCGACTGTTTGCTTGCTGTATATTCACTCGCGCAATTATAGAACGCCAACGCGGAATATTTGCTCGCCACTAACAGGGCAGTAAGGTCGTACAGAGAACGTCGCTTTTCCATTCTTGTCATACAAAATTTGGTTCGACTAAAGTTGCATCAGTTGACAAGAAGCGGTGATTTGTTAAGCGCAAGATGGATTGAAATTTTAAGGTCTAAGGGACTGACTATACAACAACTCGCTATGGACGCCTGATTCGGATTCCGCGGTTGGAAGATCGGTGGAACCGCCCGGGTTGAATCCGAACCCTATCTTCAGCCAGATTTTCCAAGCCAGCGATCCATGGTTTGATATAACTATATAACCCGAGCAATCAGAAGTTCTAAATCTCAGGGCTGCCAGTGTTATATCATGTACCCTCCTCTATTCCAAGGTGTTTCATTATGGGAAAAGCAAATCAAAGACAGAAATTCTGATAATATACCGCTGATGCAACTGTCCAGGGCATATTTTCAAAGACATCGAAGAAAGCTTCTCAATTGCCACTCGGTTGGTACTTCGGCCGACTGAAATAGCCCCGGGTTGTCTTCGTTTTGCAAGACAGACTGTGTGGAGAAAAGGTAAACTTGGGCGAAAGGGATGCGTGCTCCAAGAATTGATAATTATTTGTCAAATCATGCTGGTTGCCTTTGCGGAAACCTAATAATTTAAAAGGCCTTGAGGTTCTGGTGTTGGCAGCCGTTTAACGACTTTCTAAACCGAACGTTTCTAACGATTGATCCTTTCTAGCCCAACAGTTGTGTTTCACAGGAGTTCATCAGCCTCACTCGTTTTACCACTGCTATTTAATTTAAGGTTGATAGAAGTCTCGTAAACGATGTAATACTCTTTGCTCACATTTTCTTTATCAACTAACTAGTTACTAGTTAGTTAATTGGTCACTATTACTAAAAGATTATCCATGATGTTATTGGCAAACCACAAATTTATGGAACCGACAACTTCGACAAATCAATATACTATCAATATACTGTTCAAATCAGCATGGGGCTATGCTTCAATATTTTTCGTGACTAGTTATTGCACAGCTGTGGCAAACAAAATAGTACAAGTCAATGTTCATTACAGGGATCTTTCTGAAATACAATATATTGCTGTGAAAAGCCCAAGGTCCAGAATATCCCCTTTAAATCAATGCCTTAGATAACTTCAAGGCTTCAGGCTGCCTTGCGGGTGAAAAGGTAAAGGATTACCGAACGGCAGGTAGTTTCGGCGCTGTTGAAGAACCCGGTTGCTCCCAAATGACTCGGCTTGTCAAGGGGAAGGATATTGTGGGGGCGATACGTTTTCCTCGACATCTCGAAGGCAAAATGTTACTTGGGCGAACCATCGTCAACTGAGCCTAATCGCATCTTCCATTCATTTGGGAAAGCGATCTTAGATTGCCACGCGGGGAGTGCGACAGTTGAGGGAGGCCAACCCAGATGTCAGCAGTCTGTTTATCGAACCACATAGGAGGAAATCAGACAGAATGTTTAGAGTGTCTGTAACCAAGTCAAGAGCTTCGATGACGCGATGGTTGAACTAGCTAGTTAGCCCTGCAGGTGAGGTGCTTGACCAAACGACAGTACAAGAGCCTCAACTGTCAGATATTGACACATTCTGATCAGGACCACTTCGGTGGAAAGAGTATTTGTTCTCTTAATGGGCGCACAGACCGATAGGGTCAGTTTTCATGCCGCAGTTAATTAAATTCTGACTTCCCATACAGCCTCATTATTCATCTGGGGCTGTTCGGTGTACCCACGAGGGAGAATAAGTGGCCTTGCAAGTCCATCTCCAGACAAGGCTCCGATTTGTCATGCCCGAATATGAATTGAACCTCCTCATGTGAGACTCCTACGAACCAAGATTTCTTGAAGGAGTCTTCCCCTCCCGTTAGGCTAAATCGTCTTGACCGATCCAGGAGATTGGGCGCGACCCTGTATCGTGAACCGGACATGATCCCGCTCCTCTCCTAAGGGCATTCAATGAAAGGACCAACTATGGCTCATGACGTTGCCTGCTTGCTACCAACGGCTCGAGTCGCTCCTGCAAGGGGCACATAAGGACGTTCAGGGTCACCCTGTCTTGTTGCTTTGCTTTCCATTTTATGGCTCGCCCTATAACTTAGCTGACATGAAACTTTCTGACTACCAAACACCTGATCGCCGTTGCGCAGGGCCAAACTAGAGCCTGCGGAATGCTCTCCTTCCTGTCACATTAATAAGATAACTTGAAGATCGATTGGAAGCACTATATTGTGGAGATAACCAAATTTTAACCCAAAGATGTTAAATTTTTGTGGCTTGTTGGTCTGAACTAACAAGCTTCCATTACAAGATATCTTCGTTTTGCTAATCCGCCTGTTATCAAAGGTGAAATCATTTTCCAGTGGGCAAAGCTTCCACCGAGTTCCTTTTCCATACTCTAAGTCTTCTAACCTGGCTTCCGGACGTTTCTGGAGCAATGACGTAAACCAGAGGAGAGTTATTCCAACCCAACATACCCCCTGTTTATTATGAACGTTTCAATTCATTGCTTCATATTTTCATTTTGCCTGATCGATTCCGGTCTGAAGACTGAACACATTCACCGGTCTTGTTCGTTGCTTTTCTTCCTAATCTCCAGTATTTTCTCAGTCCCTGTTCGCGGTTCGCCGCATCACCGTTCGTCACTGGCCCCCGTGACGGTTGCCTTTCAATGGACGTACTTCTAATTAATACTATGATAGTGTCTCACACATGCTTCCCAGTGCTGAGTTGATTGAAATTTCTGCCCCTCAGATTCTATATAATTCTTCAGTTATCATCGTTTTGGAGGCTCTGTTGGAATCACCTCGAGTCTACTAAACCATTCTCCATAGCTTTCCAGAGACGTAGTTGATAGTGCCAAATACGTCCTCTCCTTTCCTCCATTATTTCTACATAAAGTGATTCCACCTCTGGTATAAATATCCAGTTATTTTGCCATATAGAACAATGGCCCGAGTCTTTAACGATGTGTGGACGTGCTGCAATTGTGACGGACCAAACCTAATCGCCAATGCACCTAGCAAATGCCCTGTTTGTTCACATCAAAGATGTTCATCTTGCATTGTGGGCAGAAGCAGACACGCCATGTCCATTTCCAATTCTGCAGTTCGGCAAACTCGAAACAGATCGCATCAACATTGGGCTATAGACGAATTTCTGTCGGTGCTCCCCCGACCTCTGCCCATCATTGTTTCTACCCCTTATACTGGCAGCAACAACGGAATTCCTCAAGCGAACTTCACACTTGTGAGACGCGAGGTCCATTCGACTATTGACCCCAAGGTGCTTGCTAGACCCCCCATGAGAGGATGGTAGCATTGCCACGTTTTTGGCAATGTACATTTGAACAATCCCGCGCTGTCCCCCGATGCAAGTCACGACTGTGGGCATAAAAGTGTCCAAAGTGTCCTAAGTGTCCTGTTGAACAGTAGCCCATGCTGCGAACATCGAACTTTACTCACAGCCTCAAGGGGCTTGTGGAAACATTGACTGTTATTTAAGACGGCTTCCCTCCTGGGCTTTTGGTTGTTCTGGCATGGCGTGGCGTTGCAAGGGTATGGTTGTGATACGGATACTTTAGAGCACCTTGTCACCAACCACCTCTGTTCCCCAGAAAATTTTCCTCATTATCCCCTTCAGTTTTGATATGTTTCCTTTTCCGCAATGGATGTCTGGCGACATTGTTTATCTCCTATGTTTTACTAGATTTCGTCCATTATGCTGGACAAACTTTACTTTTTATTTGTAACTTCCCGGTAGATGTATTAATCTTCGTTTATATCTCATACCTGTACAACAGATCTACTCTTTTACTTCTTGAATATTTTGACATTAACAGTGTTTCCTTCTTGTCCTCGGGCTATCCAGTTTTTCCGCTGGAAGTTCTCCTTTACCCTGGCATTTATAGCTTGGTAGCTTCTATATTCTCAGTGCTTTGCAATTTTACAACATTTGGGATAACTAGTATTTTATTTCTTCTTTTTCTTTCCCTTTTTTTTTATCCCAGCAGCATCCAATTACCAAGTCGCTTCACTTCAAGTAGATGAAATGAATCAATATTTCGTACCACAATTAATTTCTCTTCCATGTAAAAAATATAAAACTGCAACCTAATAATAGGCTGCATTTTTGTTCATCTTCACAGCTATAACTATTGGGTTCTACCTACAGCTTAAAGCTTAACCAACCCGACGCCTTCTGAAATTTTAACTATAATCTATGAGTGAAGCAGGGCTAGGAGATCTGAATAGATTGATTATATTTGATTATTTAGGATATTGGAGGCGTAAGAATGATTGATATGGTCTTTTCAAAGCTCACTACAAATTGTCTTCAGTGTAAGTTGTCATGACTGCTGATCGGGTCAAAATAAACTTGGATCCATCCCACCTAGCTTAGCCTACTCGAAGAGCCAACCTCGGAACCTCCCGAATGGCGAGTTTATTATCACCTAGGTTTATAATTGTGGGGAGCTTAAAATATTACTATGCAACTTCAAAATCAACTGGATTATTTTTAAAAATACCTTCTAATGTCTAGGCTCGGATAATTGGACACATGGTTTGTTATTAACCTGGAAAAATACTAACCAAAAGTATATTATTTCATTGCGAGTCCTGGATTTTGGAGGGTTCACAAAGATGACGTTAACCTCATTGCGCTGGGTTCTATGTCATGACCAATGATTGGGCAACTTAGAGGTAGCGCACTCCAGCAGAATTAAATTATTCCCAAAAAAGGCGAAGAAGAGACTGAAGAAACCACAGGAAAGACATGATGGGTATAGTGTTGACAAGACAAGATTATCAATACTGGCAAACATCAACCATTGAAAATTTCGTGTCGCTCTATTATTAAAGGATGAATTGCGGTCTAATGGTATTCAAGGGAGCCGTTTTGGTGCCGCTCGCGAGAACTATTTTCAGCACTGTGGATATCTTGTGCCGTGTCCGGGCTGCTGCGTTGTTCACGAGATGACAAGGTTCGAGTCCTCCTGTAGGATCTCTTCCTCTTTCCACGATTTCGATGCTTTTTCATTTCATCCACTGGGGGATCGAACCCCGCTTCGCTCCTAAGTCGCTGAACCACATGGCCCAGACGATAAGCACTTTCCTGTCTACTATGGTCAGTGCAGGGAGGTTTTTTTAGTGGCGAAATCCAATCTAGAAACGAGTAGCCCATAACTTCTTTCAAGTTTGCCAAAGGGCTGCCCAAGTCCCAAGGGTTCTCTCCTGGTTTTGTATGTAGGATAGCGAAGTTTCGCCGTGGTAGCTCAGAGTTTCTCGAGTTAGCGGTACTTTCCATGGGTAAAGATGACCCAAAAGCTGTAGAGAATGACACTATGGGGAAGGTAGGGGCAAGTCGGGTTTGTGCATTCTCCCCGGTGAATTCCATCGACGGCGGGATCAATATTGCGAGAGTCCATACTTTCGCGCGTCGATCAAGGTTTTCAATGGTTGAAGAGTTTAAGCAAGCAAGTTGGATAGAACTTCCTAACATCCCCAACGCAAACAGGCCGAACAAGCCGCTCCTTTAGTTGAATTAGAGATTATTCAATTGTAACCTGCTGATTGGAAAATAGCTTACACTGCCAGGGTTAAAATCCAATGGACAATTAGTTTTCCATTCTGTGGCTAGTATTAGCGATGTTTTAATGGCTGAATGTTGCAATATTACAAAAACATTAGTCCGGTAAGGGCTGGGAAATTGAAATGGACATACCTTGTTACGGTGTTCTGCCACGAATACAGCCATCACAACTAAATTAAATGTCGTAAAAAGTACTGCATAGAAAAGGAATTGAATGAAAAATTTGAAAGAAGTTTCGCTAACCACTCCACCAACCCTTGGCGATACATGTTAGTATCAAAGAGACAGTTAAAATGGAAATTCTGATTTTCCATACCAAGGACAGAAATGGTCCATTTTTCTGACGCAACGGCCTATCTCTCGGCAGTGGTGAACCCTATCCGATTTGAATTGTTGGCAAGTGGAGCACCACGGTGGCTTGCCATCTTCTTTGCAGACATATACATCTTTCAGGTAGAAAGCTTCGAGTCCAGAAGCATCAAACGGATACGCGCTTTTCCCATGGTTTCCAGTTACCTCTCCAAGATCGTGCCACTCCTCATCAGTTTTGCTTCTACTGAAAATTGACTGCCTCCTTTTTCGAGATACGCTCTTCCCTTTACTAGACTCTGCGGTGGCCTGAGACTCAGCGTATTGCGGCCCGCGAGGGACATAATCCAGATTCCATATGAGCGCGGCCAGTAATCGCAAATATGACACAAGTAGCCCTATTAATAGGATATAGAATGCGACCAATAAGCCGATTGAAACGGCGTTTCTGGGGTTCCGTGCCTTCGACTGTAAAAGATAATCAACTTTCAGCGGTTAGCCATTTTACCCAGTCATGCCCAGGGGTTTAGGATTAGCAGCAACAACATACTGCATAATGATTTTGTAAATACCCAACAAGCATAGATAATTATAAGACCAAGAATCACTGGGATGACGCGGGCAACTGCGCGGTTGGCAGCTTTTTGATCGCAGGCCATCAGATTGAGCAGGCCGAAAAGAACAATGCAATCCAAGGAAAGGCCTATGGGCCGTCGCTAAAGCCATAACCATCTGAATAACAGAAGTTTATAAAAACAAAGAAAGTCTTCTGCTGAAGGGGCTTGGAGAAATCCAGATCAGGCCAAGGAAGACGCATTTGCTTAGTAAGCTGCATCATTTTCCAAGGTTTGCACTTGAAATAGAACCTTGGAAAGGTTCATAGCCCAATTGACACCGTGAGAACAAGGTATGTACGTATCTCTCCATATATGCAGCTGAGAATACTTGGAGGAGGTTTCAAGCACTGACTAAACCCTGGATTCCATTTCTTTTTTTCCTTACTATCCACCTCCTCTGTTTTTGAAGGAAGCCTGAGGATTAACTATTATATTGGTGGAGGCTCTCAGGCCAGATATTATCTCCTTGTCACGTGGCTGAACTTGGCCAGGTCGGTGGAGGAGCCTTAGAGAGCTCCAACATGCTAGACTACCTGGCAAAAAGGCCCAATCGCCAGATAAATTACTCTAATATGCTGGACTAAAGACGGGACTAAAGATGAGTACAATTCCAAAGGGATCAGGTGATCTCTAACGCAACAAGTCCCAAGCTTATGGTCACGTGGCTGTTGTTCGATTCCCGCCCCCCTTTTGCATTTTTAACATACGCAACATCATCTGCTGCCAACAAGTGTGGAAGACACGACATCCAGCAAACACAATTATCTGGTCTTTGAGTACATTTGTTCAACAGAACCATTGCTGGTTCCCTACGGCTGTTAATTCTTTTTTCCCCCGTACGATGCACGGCGAAATTTTCTTGTTGAGGCGTGTTCCGGCTTCCCTTGGTTTCCAATGTCGCCCTGTCCGTTGACATCATGACGTCTTTCTGGCCATGCACCCTCTGGCGATGTCTTGAGAGAAGACCTTTCACTTAGTAGTTATGGTAGAAGTGGAGTTATTTGTCAATTTTGATTTTAGGTGTAATCTGGCTTTGGAGGACTGCCCAGAGGACAAGGCTGCAAGGCTGGATCACACCATTTCAACCCCTCTTGCCTCGGACCCGTGAGGAGGGGTTGATGGCTTGGTCTCTCCAAAGATATGGGCAAAAGATATTAAGCCTTTGCGAAACCCTTTTGTCGCCAGTCTCTTTTACAGCTACAATGTCCTGGCCTTTTGCCCTATTTTCTCTTGCCCGCAAAACGCCCATCTCGGATATGGGTAAGGTGTCGTACTACCAGGACGAAGTTTCTGGGTATATGCGGTGAATACGTCAACGGGCAGTTTTCAACCATACATGGAATCCCAGGTTTGGCTCGTTTCGTGGCATTGGAATATTGTTCGCTGAAAAAGAAACCCGTGATTCCATTTTCTTTCCGGTGAGGAAGCCACCCCATCGTTGTTTGACAATCGAATTTTGCACTAGCCACGCCTTGGCCTTGATCTATGCCTTAACCATTATCCAGGAACGCTGGATGCCTACCCTTGTGGCTGTGCTATTTTACCCGAAGTGTTCGGCATGCGGTGAATTTGTTACAGAATAATACGATGGGTGTTCCGCCTTTGGACTCATCATGTCTGTATGGCGGATTGGAAGCAATGCCAACCAGGGCTAACACCCCCGGCCTAGCAAAACTGTTCGGCAATAATATATCTGTGAGGCAATGCGTGCCTCGGTTTTTCATCCCTGGAATTCATCGTTGATATCCATGTTAATGACGTCGAGAGACTTCTTTGTCTATGGCTGGTCATGGATTTGTCTGTGTCTATGATATAAACATTTTATATCCCATCCCCTGAGAGTATTAGCGTTTAGCAGTTTCAAGTACCGAAATCGAGGTTAACGGGGTCGTCGTTCACCTTCTGGGTCTCAGCCCAACATAGACACCGTTGTTCACTGATTAGAATTATCAGAGCCCAAACATTTATCAATCGCTAAGCTTCAAATGTCTGGGGTCGGTATTTTGGACTCTCCTAGTTGTCTCAAACTTGGAGTTGATGTTTTAACAATCATAGAATAAAAATTGTGCGGAATATCAACAGTCCGAAAATGGGATGTTGCGAAATGGCATGTATACATGCCCATCCGCCCATCTCCTTTATCCTCCAGATCCTACCGAAAAACGTCCAAGTCAGCATACGTTCCTACAGTATGCATCTCCAACGGACCGAAGGTACTACGAGGATCTGCGCTTAACTCAGCAGCAGCAGTACAATGACGCAAATCCCTCACGAAAAACGTCACACCCCGTTAGAGAAAAGGGTGAAAGGTCCGTAGAGCTTTTGAGCGAACCCGCAGTTCAGTTCAATAGTCGCCTTAAACTACAAACCAGAGAACGCCGAGTCACAGAAACATCGACTGGGGAAGCTCATGACAAAATATCTGAGAACAGAGAATCGTTACGGGAATTACGTTCTCCGAGAAGACGGTTTACCCGCATTTGGACATGTTGCCACAGTTGCGTTTTACCTGGACCGTACTCCTCGTTCTATTCCCAGTGCTTGGGTTGTGACGCACCGAAGTGTCCTAATTGCATTGAGGTGCTTGTCCCATTGCAAGAATCACCGATACGCGAGTAAGTAGCGCTGTTTGCTTCTTGACAAGCTACGCCCGAAATGGCTTTTTTGGCTCATCTTTTCCTTTTCCTATTTCCATTTCGATACCCGTTGATTATTTGTTTGATGAATTTGCGATATGCTTTCTTGTAATCCGTTGATTTCAGTTTCTAATTCTTATTCAATTATGAGTTCTTCTGCTATTGATGTTTTGGGGAGTGTGTTAATTTATCCTGGCTCTGGACTCAACATGTTATGTTAAAACCTTCATCCAGTCTAGTGAGCTGCTCATGATTCAGTTCTAGTTTGCACTTTTGCGTAATTAGAATAGTTCCATTAAGTCCTAGTTGAGTGTGCTTTTTTCAGGGTTCTACTTGGCTTTCTTTTCCATTCCACATGTTAATTTCTAAATCTTTCAAATCTATTAAAATTGTGTATTGTTGGATTTTGTCTGTTTAAAGCGTTTCCTTTTACGCGAATCCACAATATTTTTTTTTTTGTTTTTTTGTTTTTTGGTAGTGAAGCTGGCGGTGTTTTTCACAAATTTCTCGTATGGGAAGGCTGCCTAGACTTGTGGAGGTCGGAATCCGCCGATATGAAACTGATACAATGAGCTACTCAAGCACCAAGTGCATGTTGCCTGAAATGATTTTATTTTTGGTCCCGCATTTTGATTTCACCGTCTGCGTACTAACTTAAGGATATTCAGGCATTCTTTGATACAGAGCATTCTCAAGGCAACGGAATTTTTCCTGACATGGCGCGGAAAGGCTTGGGAGTTCGACTTGTGTCGCTCCAACTCCCAGGTCAGCCTTAGCCAGGTCCCCAGTGCAGAACCCTGTCTTCAAGGCCACAAACCTTGATCCAATCGCCCGGTCCAATCTTAGGTAGCACTTTGCGAAGGAGTGGACCCTGTCATTCCCCGCTACTCATAAAAAGGATTCCGATCAGTCATTGCAATTACATGGTTTACAGGATCTACGATAGCCCCGCGTTAAGAAAAGAATTCTTGGAATGGTTTGGGCGCCAGTGCCCTATGATCTATCTAGAAACTGTCTACCAAACGTGACTTACATAGAGGGGCGATGCACTGGCCTAGAATTGGCCTTCCGCTCAGAGTCCCGGCTGGCAAACTAGTTCGTTCTTCAGGCATACATCGCCGGCTATTTCGTCATGGGTTTTACGTTTCTTGCTACCTTGGCCATGATTTAAATATGCCGTCAACCCCCTATCTCTCATCCATTTTCTGTCCACCGTTTATCATCATCCTCAATATTCTCTAATAACAAACGAAATTCATTCTCCGCGAAATACAGAACCGGTTCTATTTCCCTTATCCTCATATTTCATATTTGTCCTCATTCTTCACTTCACAGCGATGCCGTATGCCACACACTGGGTCTGCGGTAGCTGTGGTTTCGGCCCCATGATGATTTCCAATTATACTGCTTGCTTAGATTGCGGTCATCGACCATGTCCTTGTTGTGCATACAAGTCGTCTGAGAGATCAAGGGCGCTTCCTCACGAACTTTCTTCACACGGAATCCACACCACGACAATGGAGCGATTGCCTTCAGCAGATTTCACCTACAGACCGTTTGCGAGCCCAGACCCTCCGGTGCCCAGTGTTATGAAACGATTCCTGGAAAACTTCCATGCTGGAATTCACAGCTCTACAGATCTATATATCTGTTGCATATGTGGAGATGGGCCGAAAGTCTTCCAGAACCAGGGTCGCTGCGTGAATTGTGATCACGATGTTTGCGGATACTGCGCCCGCATCAAGTAGCCATTTGTTATTGCGTTGAGGCCATCAGTTCTGTAAGTGCTTATAGAACATACCAAATTCCAAACTCCAAATTCTGACTTCTTTGCCTTTTACAGCCGCGATTATCGAGAGTTCGACATACCTTCAATTGTGTTTTGCATTTAGCGCCATGTGTTATGATTTTGACGATTTAGCGATTGAGTATGCGATTTTTATTTTGGATATGGATGGCGACTTTTGCTTCCGTTTCTTCGTACCTTTTAATTGGCCATTAGACAGATGGGTTTCTGCATTCAATTGCGTTTTCATTTTTTGGTTCAACCCTATAGCCGGCCTATGGGGGGATTGCATTGGGACATTTCCATGATTAAGACTTTAATTTTTCCATTTGTACCTTTAGACTATTCGCATTTTCGATTTCGATTTTGGGAGGCTTCAATTGGAGTGATTCGAAAGTTGGATACTTTGCTCGTTTTTGCAGCCTTTATATTTAGGCAGAGTCAGCCCGGGGAGCCTTGCAAACCAAGACAGCCCCATTAGCGGCTCGTTTACTTTTTTTAATCACCGACGCTAACTAAAACTTTGGAGAACTCAGTTTAGACTGATGATTGATTGTATCACCTTCAGAGATTCAAAAATCTCAAGACGAATTCCCGTCCAAAAAAAAAATAAATAAGTAAATGAGACGAGATTTCTGCGATGATTAAATACGGTAATCGCCTACCTCATGACCTTCTTCTTGAAACAAGGAAATTATTCAAACAGGAGAAAAAAAACTATTTTAGTTCTCTCAGCCATGCTTCGCTGCCTGGAAGACATGGCCATTTGAATGATTTTATTGGCTCGGCCGCTGCCTAGTTCTGCAGATGGAATTTTACCACTGCTTTGCCTGAGAACAGTAGATATTCCACCCCCAATGGGGGAAAATATGTAGGTGACTTTCAATAAAATTCCCTCGGGCCTTGTTAAGCAGTGGTGGCAAATGAGGGCTTGGGCCAATTATTACTTGATGTGAATGAATAACTACTTCAACGTTTTCCAATGTGGCCAGTCATCGCTGTCGCATTCCCGGAACCAAGCCAGCTAGAAAAAGCACACATGTCCGGAGAACTTCCTAGCTAACGTTGAAGCAGCAGTTTAAGCGGATGGCAGCAGGCCCCAAGATTTGTCAAGGAACAAATAGGAGAAGGAAGCGAAAACTAAAGCCTGGTATCACGACCACGTCGCTGGCCTATCAGCTGAAAACCCTCACGAACCCCTTCCCTGAATGGTTCGTATTATCGTTGCTTTTTCCACTGTGCGCACCCTCAACGGGCGCAACCTGTGGGAAGGGTGTTATTCCACCGGGTACCTTTCCCTGGGGTGGAGGTCAAAGTGAGGAACAGGTACAGCGTGATGGTGTGCAGAATGCGCGAGATTCTTTTTGGAATGTGTATTGATCTTGGTTTCGGGGACAACCAATGACGCTTGTTGGATTGGTTGGTTGGATTAACGGTCTTTTGACACCTTTTGTTTTACCTTTCGAACTCTTCATTGTTTTAAAATTCAGGTGATTTTAGTAAATATTGTTTTTTATGAAAATGTAAATGAGGGAAATGATCCATATTTGCGTCACAGAATTCAGGATGAATGATGTTGATGATGATGATGATGATGATGATGTTCGTCACGGAGAATAGATGGTTGGATCCATCGGCGGTTTAGAGAGTGGAGCTGTGGAGCCGTTGGAGGAAAATAGATCCCAGGGACCTGCGGCTCCAGGGCTTATCTGATGGAGACTAGCCCCACCCCGTGACACCCCGCGGACTGTTCAGGGATTTGGCATCCTTGGAACTTTGGGAAACATGTCGAGGAGCTTGACACGTCGTCCCACGCCCGAGTCCACGCAGGGTGAAAAGAGCCCATGAAATGGCAGGCAACAATCTTGGAGCCGGCACTTGTCACAAGAATGCCCATCAGAGGTCCGCCCCCGGTCAGTGATCGGGAATCGATCTTGCGGGTTGGCCTAGGTGCCTCTGTTTACTAGTCATACCCTTGTTGATGAGTTAGCTTGCCGCGGAAGTCTGCAGATATCATGTGTCGAAACTCTGAAGACCATAGATCCATCTCATCTGGAGCACGGGACCCGGGTTCTGCACCACAATATATATATATATATATATATATACAAATAAAGTGCAGAATAACGGAAGACGGAATGGCATTGCCAATAGCAAGTCATCTGGTCAGAATATCCCGAGAATTACTGATCGCCCGAGGCGTAATAATTACCACCCTTGGCACGACTCTGAATTGGCTCTGAATTTAATACGCTAACTCGATGGTGATGACGGTTGGAGATCAAAGGCTTCGACCCTTGTCAAGGCTTATGATGATGCCCTGACCGGAACTTTGAAGGGAAAAGGACTGATGAGATAGCGCAAAACTTCTCTAAGTTCTGATACGGAGGAAGTTCTCTCCTTATGATCAAATGATGGATATTTGAACGTCAATTGTCCATAATTCCAAGAATCCCAAACCCCGCCTCACTCCTCATCTTTTGCACTATTTCTCAGTAAGCCACAGACCTCTGACGGCTTGATCACGTTGTTCCTTCTAGAAGGCCTTGGTTACCTTCTAGCTCCTTTAGCGTGGATCCTCCCTGCACTGAAGAAACAAAATTGTGCTGATTACTGGACCAAGGCGAGAGATCCCAGAAACAATGTTTTCGGCGGGAGGGCTTAGGGTTTGGTGCAAACAAACCACCGGAGCATTGTGTCATGGTCACCTGAAAGGGCCCTGAAAAGTTCTAAAGTTCCAAGGTTCCTCCCCAACTGGTGGCATTGAATTTGAACACTCATACTTAGCTGACAACCTTCCATCCCCCATGGAGATTAAACCGTGCTGGATGAGTACTGCATAGATGAGCAAAATGCGTTACTCTCCGCATACCGGACATAGCGCATAAACGCTATGAGAAATGCCCCACGGAAAATCGACAGTTACTCATAAATTTCCCATGCCCTCTTCGATGACGTAGGAACATTTTATTTGCTCAGGCTCCACATGTAGTCTACTCATCTTATTCAAGCCCCATGACGAAGAATAAGACTCCGCTCTACCCTGAAATGTGTTTGTCAGACGAAATATTAAAAACTGCAGCCCTGCGGGTCCACTCAAGGGGACTGGGCATTCAGCAGCCTCATATGTTTTTGCTAGGGTAGCTCAGTTAAACCGATCTATCATACCAATCCAACCACCAAACCGAGAACAGGAACACCGATATTCCACTAGAAGGGTAGCTCTGAAGCATTGGCGGCTTGCGAGAACATGCCCTGCAGGATGGAACTTCTCGGCTCATTTGCCCACATGAGGCGCAGCAGCACCTGCAAAAATATTTCAACACTCTTTTAACAATCTCCAAGCTGCGAAACATCGAATAATATAGAAGAGAACTGACACCCAAGGGTAACAGGTTCGAACTCAACAGATCATACATGCGGTCTCGTATATAGGGTCCCTTTTCGCTGCCGTTCAAGGCGCAAGTTAAACTACTCCAGCCTCACAACATGCACCGCCACATCTCGTCGCTCCTTCAACTGATTAACTACTACACAGCCTGAACAGAGTATGACGGTAAAGACCCCCTCCCGATCGTGTTCGACTGTAAACTCGCGGGCTTACTCTCCTAGTGATGACCAGGAATCTAGCCCCTCTCCTGTGCTCAAAGGGAAAAGCAATTTTATCTGGGTAGAAGTTGCACCACTCCCGCGCTCTGGGAAAATCTCACCTTGCGCTGAGAACGACTCGTTAAGACAGCAGGCTGGCCTCCCCAGGCGTCAACGCGCAGGTCCCAATCTCTCATTATAGTCTCACTGCTTGAAATCAGGGTTTCTCCAAGTCACAGCCACAGTAAACTGCAATCTGTTATCAGAAGGATAAAAAAAAAAAATCCTCTCCAACATTGGCGACAAGAAAATGGAGGTCGATGTGTATTCTTCATTATTCATTATTCATATCCGTGGGGCTGCAACTCGACAAGATCCAGACGTGCCACAAAAGAACGCCTTGGGGCCTAGTTTTGATACCACACGGTGTTTTTTTCCCCCTTCCCCCCAAGAACTAGTTAACAGTTATTCGACTCATCGACATACTCTCTGTTGTCTTCATGACATTTTATGACACAGTCATAAACTTCAGAGCAGGGTCGAGTAGCCACTGATGTGTTAGCACGCTCAGAGACTAAACAGCTAGTTAGCTAGTTAACACTTTTCCGCCAAGCTCTTCCTACCTATTACATATAAGGCATACATCGTTGTGAGTCATGAATTCTTTGAGAAGTTGCTTGGTATGTTTCTCTACCTGATGATGTTATATGGCATAGTGTAGATAACACACTACAATAATGAAGCAGAAAATCACCAATTTCGTCAAAAAGAAGGGTTGAAAATTAACAAAATAAATTCATTCACTTTTATTTTTGAGTTTTTTATATTTCCCACCCTACATGCATAGAATCATAACAGCTCTCCACACTTTCTCATTTACTTTCAATAGGTATGTATGTATTTCATCATATGACAATATAAATGCATTTATTGAGTTACATGGAATCACATATTTCATTTGCCCATATTAAAACGATTATATTAAGCACTGTATTTAACATTCCACACTACTAATTAAAATATCAATCCTCCATACTCACATATGCATTTGCGATAGTATCCACATATTCTAAATTTAAACGCTAAGGTAAGGATTACAACAGAGTTTTTGGATTTTTATTTGGATTGTTATTATTATTATTATTATTTTAAAGATAAAAAAGAAGCTCAAGAGACACGTTTCTGGGAAAGGGGTATGTCAACCCCTTTGTAGAAAAGATGTCAAAAAACACCCCCATATGCAAAAGAACCAATGAGAATGGTATCAAGAATGCCTGATGATACAAGTAAAGGGGAAAATTAAGGAATGGAAAATGTGCAGTGAGCAAACTAGTCAACGAGGGGAAAGGTGGGAGGTGGATTGGTGGGAGGGAGCATATACTCAGAATCTCCGTATCCCCTCCCTGCCTTGGTCTTTGCTTTCTTCTCAAAGAAATAGAGGCAGGGAGGGTTATCAAACCAAAGTTGCGAGAGTAGAGCGGCAAAGAGCGTTGGCTTCTTTTTCATTTTTTTTTCATTTTTTTTTTCATTTTTTTTTTTTTCATATCATCCTCTCCGCTTTCTCCCATTGCTTTGCTTCTCTTCTTCCTTTGCTCCCCATGTTTCTCTGCCATCCACCTGTTATTTGGCATTATCCAGCACATTGTTCCGAGAGAATAAAAGCCAATAGCCTTCATGGCTATGTCGGAACGCAACCGCCTATCCTGAAGGGGTAGCTGTAATCGAAATCCTTTCCTCCGACTGGAAAATTCTCTTTCTCCACTGGGCTGTCGAGTTTTCCAGCCCTGTATTCTTCACTTATTCGCTGACGTTTTTCTGAGACTAGCCTCCACACTTTCCCTCCCAATTTCCCCTCTTTTACGGCACTCTCATTTTGTTTTTTCTATTTGTTTTCGTCTTCTTTCTTCTTCCTCCTCCTCCTTCCTTCTCTTTCGCAGCAAGCACGTAGAGCTGAAAACTCAAGTAATATTCTTAAAGTCTCGTAGATTAGAAGGTCCATATTTTGCCGCAGCAATGAGCAGAGTGGGATTGCTACGCTGAAAATTCGGGACTATCAAAAGCTTCCTCAACGACAGAAGCAAGGAAGCACGAGGAGGCGGTTCATCTGGAATCGCAGAGGAATAACAGGAGAACGAGAAATGCTGGGAGAAAAGAGAGGGAAAGAGAGAGACTTGTAATCCAAGGATTTAGGTGGAAAGATATATTTGACGTGGTTAATCATCGTTAGCCTCGTGGGATGATCCATTCCCATCAAGCACATTTTGAATCTCACGGTTTTTATATCCTGCAACCGTCTCACCTGTTAAGTCGAGCAGGACCACCTGAAATCGGTCTGCACCTGAATGATTTTAAGTTAAGAGATATTTGCAGTGATGATCATGTATGGGCCCAGATTGTGGCAGTCTACAAGGCCAGAACTCGGGAGGGGTCATCCAGGAATCGTCTACGGTAGCCGGCAATTTCCATCGCAACAGTGTTGAAGTCTTTCACCTTGTCGCGGCGCATATCGTTGATGGTCTGCTTTAGTCCCGCAACATATTCCTCTTTTTCTTCGGGAGTCTTGCCTTCTCTCACGGAGCCCATTTCAACAAGTATTTTGTCCTCTGTATGAGTTAATATCAGTCCTAGTCAGCTTACGACCAAAGATGAGGGATCAAAAGGGGACAAATGGAAAATATGGCAAGGATATGCGATGGAAAGGAGAAGTTAGAATGGGATCGGATATAGGAAACGGGGCAGGAAATAGACTGTAAAGTGTGAAATAAAAATCAAATTGTTGGGATCAACTCAGTCGACGCACCGCTCAAGGCCATATCTCGAAAATGTTGATATTCACACGAACGGTCGTTACAAGATCCACCTGCGGCTTCATATGGGCATATATAGTTGTGCGGATCGATTTTGTGGCTGTAAGTTAACGAACGAAAACCCCCATTTATATCTTCTGTAAAACGAGGATGATATCGATAGGCCCTAAATAGCTTCAAAGGGCTGTTATATGGAGTGAAATAGTGATTTACACGCCTTGTATCCTCGTTATCCTAACAAATATGTTAGAGCTGTTCGGCATAGTCAGACGAGAAGTGTTTCGATACCTTGGTGGGATCCGGGCAAGGTTCAGTCATAGATCCCTGTGTGTCTAGAATTAGTGCGTTAACATCTCGGGAAGGTTGAGATGAGAGAGAGTCGGGAGCCGAATGGTTTTCTGTACTATCATTGTCTGGCGAAGCGGAGCCGAAGGGTGGTGAGACTATGGGATGGGAATTTTGGGGAACAAATTCAGGTTCAGGTGGCTCATATACATCTGACCCAACTGAAGATTCCCGGGAATTCATTGAATCGTCAGTGATATCTGCTTGATGCATGAAATGAGCCGCTTGGTTCTCCGAGGTGGTACAGAGAGGCCTAGGAGACCCACTTGTTTGAGACGGCTCCTCCTCTAAATCGGTCATAACTGCGTGTACCATGGATTCAGAAGAATGCGACTGATCTTTTTCTATTAACGGTTCCAACTGCTCTTGCGCCTCCTCTTCGGCAAACAGATCCTCTGTGTGACCCATCGACTCATCCATAGCAGAGCTAGAGCATGATGTCCCGTCGTCCGCCATGTCGCCGGGGGAAATGTCCTCCTCGTTTTCCTTGGAGGATGGAATTCTCATATCTATCGCTTCTTGAGATGTTTTTGGGACATTCTCAAAACGCTTGACTGTCACTGCTGGCTCTTCGGTTAACGGTTGGACAGTTGAAGTGAATTCATGATCTTGAACTACCCCCCCGCCAGTTGAATCTTCAGTGATTTGCGCACCACTTACGACAGAATCCATCGGAGAAGTTTGGGGTGGAACTGGTAATTAGGATTGAACTATTATGAGTCTCTGGCTTGTAGAAAAATATAGCTGGTAATGCGACTGAAACTCTATGAAAAGGATAACTGTATTACTCATTGTGGGGATAATGCTCACCTTGGTCATTATCTCCATTCTCACCTGCCTCCTCTAGACGGTCCTTGGTCGCTTGGAGCTCTTCAATAGACAATTCTGCTGTTTCAATTCCAAGAGCGTCCAGTTCTTCGACCAGACGCTGTTTTCCAGCTCTTCCTTTCTCGATTTCAGCCAAAAGCCTCTGTTCCTCCTCACGAAATTGTAATAATCTCGCCTCCGATCTCTGCAGTTCAGCCTCAAGTGCGGGTAGTCCAGACTCTATCTCCTTTTTCCGCATGAACTTTTTGCGTATCGATTCAATCTGGTTGGAATCGAAAGGAGTCTCTGACAGAACTAACTGAATACGCATCGAACTAACGGAATTGGGTGTTGATTGAGCTCCTGGATTCATTACCCCTTCAGGGTTGCTGAGAACGACCGACGAATTCCCATGCTGACTTGAAGGGGGTTTGTCAGGTAAAGCTGCCACTGTGGACTTCCATTGCAACCCCTGAGTCGTTATAACGGACCCATTTTCTTCAGCCGAGGTTGTAGTCTGCCGAACTAAGGCGCCCGGCGAATCTAACCGGCTTGTAGACAGTTTCTCTTTTTGCCTTTTCTCCAGTTCAGCTATTTTCCGGCGCATGGCCAATATTTCCATGTGTTTGACGTGTAGATCATCCTGTTCTTTGACTCGGCCAGGTGTTTGTGGTAGAGATACTGCTGGAGTAGAGCGATGAGAGTAATTTCGTGAATGAGAGTCGGAGAGAGGAGGGAAATCCCTAGATGGCAGGAGAGTCGATGTCGCATGCCCGTCCGAGCCGGCGATGGCAGGTCCAGATGCAGATCGCTCTGGCACAGGAGCATCGATGTCTGACCCATAAATAAATTCGTCATCACTTATATCGATAATTACCTTGAGCTGGGGGCTCGCCGCTCTCCCTTCTTCGGCAAATTTTCTCTTTGGAGGAATGGGGCTCGGATCATCGGTAAAATCGGACGCTCTGGGGCGTTTTCGGGGGCTACGTATTTTCCTCGACAATGGCTGGGTTGACTCGATCGAGTCACCATTAGAAACGGAAGGCCTCTCAACCTTGGGAGGTTCCGAACTCGTCATAAACAAACCAGGGATGCGAGCAGGCGAGGGTGGCTCGGGTTCGGGAGGGCGAGAAGGTAGCGGATGACTCAAGGATGGGCGAGTTTGGAGAGTGTGAGATGGGGACGGTTGAATTGGATTTTTTTGGTAGAGAGCCGGTCCAGCGCTGGCGGGAATTGATTGGGTTGCAACTGGGGATTCGACAACTGGTCGAGTTTGGGTTCTCAAAAGACCTTGCTTCTTCAGTTGTTCCATTCGCTGTCTAGCCAATTCCGTTTGGGCTTTATTCTTCTCTTTTGCGCGGGTCTCACTGGCAGTTTGTTGCAGCGATTTCTGTGCCGGTCCTTTAGCATCTTTATGCGTATCATTGCTAGGAAGGGTCAGCTGCTTTTGTGGGGCTATTAATTCCTTTAAATCTTCAGATTTCCCTGGCTCTAAGTTACCAGATGGTTTTCCTGCTTTGGCTGCAAGCATCTGGGCAATCAAATCCTTGCGTTCCATAGGCTTGCTAGCATTTGTAACCGGCACAGTTGTTGCCTCTTGTGTGGGTTTGAGAGCCGATATGCTGACCGGCTCGCGGCCAGGTTCACCTAGAAAGCCTTGGCTCACTGGCCGAGGTGTTGGATCGGGGGCGATTGGAGTTTTTGTCAGTGGATCAGCCATCGCCCCTTTTGACTCATTAGAAGTGACAGGCTGAGATGCAGGCTTCTGTGTGGATGTAACTTTGAGCCCAATTTCCTCATAAAGTCGTTTGAGAATAACCGGGTCGACGCCTTCATTCACAAGTTCATCAAATTTTATATTGTGCGGAGCTAAACCTAGCAACGCTCCTAGCGCCTGAACTCGAAGTTGTGCTGGGGTCTTGCTATATATAGGTAAAGCGCGGGTCCCGTTGTTATTAATAGTTGTTTTGTCATGTAGGGTTGGTGACTGAATGGAAGCAGCGTGCAATGAATCACATGGATTTGTGGTTCCTGCTATAAGAAGAGAATGTGAGTCTCAGAAAGCTACATTATCACCATCACTTCTCCCAAATGGAATAGAGGCATTGTTACCTAGGTGGTTAGATCTTGGGTCCCGGGCAGAGTATCCAGAATCCATCTTAGTCGGCTCATAGGGCGGAAGCCTTACTGGCTTATCTGAATGCAGTTGAGCTTTCTGTGGGTGCTGGGCACTTGATTGATGGGGATGAGGAAAAGGCTCTGCGACTCGGTCAGCTGACTGTTGAGGCGATGGTGAACCATCGCGAATACCCGGGGTATCAACGACACTAAACCGCTTAAGTCGTTCATCTGGCTTATATAATGGAGGGTATGGCCCCGAATTGGCATCTTTGAGTTGACGGTTTTGGTAGCCATCAGACTTAGAAGAATCTGTCTCTTCTTCTATCTCCCCATTGCTTAGCTCCCCTTCCTCCCGATCGCTAAGATCCATAAGTTCCGGGGACTCAATCGCATCCAAACACGCAGGCTTATTTTCTTTTAGCGCAGAACCCACTACGATTGCAGGTGCGATATCAGATTGACCGTTTTGTTGAGGCTGTTGGGCAATACCCTGGGGAGGGTAGCCTAGGGAAGCGGCACCAAAGGTCGGTGGGTAAGTATCTGCCTGGTGAGGAGTATGGCGAAACGGAGGCATATAGGGAAAGGGTGGAGTGTAAGCCAGATGGTCACTATTATTTCCCGAGAGGCCTGGAATCTGAGTATTGATATTGAAGTCAGAAGTGCTATTGGCCCCCAAAGGTTGGGGGGGAGGGGGAAGAGGAATAGGGGCTTGAGGTTGGTGGTATCCATGAGCTGCCTCGACTGACGATGCAGAAGACAAGTCTGGGGCCCACTGCTGAGAGGGACGGTAGTGGGCTCCAAACGATGGGGTAGGTGGATAATTTGACGACATTCTGCAGCTGTATGTAACCTGTATAAGGTAGATAAATGGATGAGATGCTTCAAATCATGAAGATTCGACAGGTGATTATACTGGTCAGCGGCGGGCTTCAATGCCCATTGACATTGTGCGAATATGGTAGCAAGCCAGTGACAATACAATCGCAAAACAGTGTATTTACGCGTCAAGAAGAGCAAAATGTAGGAGTATTCTTCATCTGTCTCCAAATCGCATCATACGCACGTCCAAGCAAATATATGCACCTCGAAGGATGTCCACAGGAATCCTTTCCGATACGCAAGTGCTGGCCAGATGACCTCGTTGGGCTGAGTTTCATCAGTAGAAAACCAGGTACATTATACAGATATGGGTAGAGGTCAAATATTTGGGCAACATATGAAGTATTCGAGATGTGAATACGTGGGAGCGGGGGAGCAGAGGACGAAGTGTGAAGAGATGGACGTTGAAGAGCACAGAAAACCGAGTTTCGATGCGGACTGGGAAATTTCTCCAGAAGCCACCGTAGAGTCCAACGGCGGTAAGGTCATGTGACATTGAACCGCGGCAGGGGTTTTAGCGCGGGTGCATGGGCCAACGATCCAGCCATCAACAATGTAAACAAACAACTGTGTGTGTGTATGAAGTCACCAAACTTTACGCCCATGTCAAGCAACGGGTCAACCAACAAATAACCAACGATCCCCACCCTCGAACAAAACGAATTTCTTCTCAGGGATGAGAGGAAGAGCTTCTTTTACGTCTTGTATTTCACTTTGGATTTTTTTCTTCTTTTCTTGTTTTTGTTTCTCATAATTTGTCTCTTCTGATATTGTACTTTTGTTTTGTTTGCTTCGCGCTCAGAGGCACTTGACAACGCAGCGATATATACGGCCCAGTAAAGGAACGTTGACCTCATGAGCTCAATCGGCTTACAAAAACAAAACCTCCCGATCGTCTGAGAATGGCTCCTCCACAGAGCCCGTCTTCGAGACGTAGCAACCCCTTCACTCGAGCTTCTCCGTCAGCTTCCCCACAACCCCAACCAGCTCCCGCATCCGCCCCCAGACCCAAGTCTGTTGCATTTACAACTCCCGTAGCCACACAGCCATCGGGGCATACCCGTAATGCATCCTTTTCTCCAACGAGCTCAGGAGGGTCTTTTCCCTCCCATAATAGACATCACTCAAATTCAAAGACCAATCTACCCGTTTCAAATACATTTGCTCCTCAATTCATAAAATCGGAAGAGCTACGGAGAGGTGCTGATCAGATCCGTGGCATAGAGGGCGACAATGACTTTTCAGGAAAGCGATATGTTTGGCTGAGGGACCCGGAGAAGGCATTCATCCGCGGAATGGTACTGGAAGAGATGCAGGATGGCCGATTATTGGTCGAATGCGACGAGGGAGGTGTACGTGTTAAATGTTAATTGGAGTGCCCGGAGTGCTGTGGAGTGTGCATGCTGACACCAACTTTTGCCAGCAACGGCATGTCGATTCTGAGAGCGTCGATAAAGTTAATCCAGCAAAGTTCGACAAAGCAGACGACATGGCTGAGCTTACCCATCTAAATGAGGGCTCCGTCGTCCACAATTTGCACACGAGGTATAAATCGGACTTGATATACGTGAGAGGAATTCTGGTTCTACTCGGTTGTCAACATTGAATCGTATGCTAATTGGAAGCTCTAGACTTACTCTGGCCTTTTCTTGGTTACAATCAATCCTTACTGTCCATTGCCTATATACACGAATAAGTATGTGAAGTTATATAAAGGACGAACACGTGAAGACACACGCCCGCATATTTTTGCAATGGCAGACCAAGCATTTCGCAACCTTGTCGAAGAGGGACAGAACCAGAGTATCCTAGTGACGTAAGTTCCTTTTTTCACGCGTCGCAATTAAAGAGACACAAGCAACTGACATACGTGAAGCGGCGAGTCTGGAGCGGGTAAGACAGAGAACACGAAAAAGGTGATCCAATACCTTGCTGCTGTTGCGTCCTCAGAGAGCCCGCAAGGCCGCTCTACTAACAAGCAATATTCCAACCTTTCCCAACAAATATTAAGGGCGAATCCAATTCTCGAAGCATTCGGCAATGCACAAACCGTGCGGAACAACAACTCATCGCGCTTTGGGAAGTTCATTCGAATTGAATTTTCACGGGCAGGCCAGATCTGTGGAGCTTTCATCGACTGGTATCTCCTAGAAAAGTCTCGTGTCGTGAAACTTAATCCCCAAGAACGAAACTATCATATATTTTACCAGCTTTTGCGTGGTGCAGACAGCGAGTTGAGACGGCTTCTCTGGCTTTCTGACCTTGGTGTTGAAGATTTTGGTTTTACGCGGGAGGGAAATGACTCGATTTCAGGCGTTTCGGACATTGATGAATGGAATTCTCTCATCGAAGCTTTTGGTATCATGAATTTTTCTGATAACGACCAACTATCAATTTTGCGAACTGTGGCCGCGGTTATGCATCTGGGAAATATCAGCGTAGCCAAGGAAAGTCTTCGAGCGGACCAGGCGATACTGACGCCTGAAGGATATCAAAGTGCTACAATCGCTTGCCAGCTTTTAGGCATTCCCGTGGAACCATTTGTAAAAGGTTTACTTCACCCCAAGGTCAAGGCTGGGAGAGAATGGGTAGAGAAGGTCCAGACCCCCGAACAAGTCCGCCTCGGTCTTGAGGCACTTGCAAAAGGTATATACGAACGCGGATTTGGCGACCTCGTTACCCGAATCAATAACCAACTAGACTGTAGTGGTACGGCAGGCGATGACAGCTATTTTATTGGGGTACTCGATATCGCAGGCTTCGAGATTTTCGAGAACAACAGCTTTGAACAACTCTGTATCAATTATACAAATGAAAAGCTCCAGCAATTTTTTAACCATCACATGTTTGTGCTGGAACAAGAAGAGTATGCCAGGGAACAAATCGAATGGCAATTTATCGATTTTGGGAAGGACCTTCAACCGACAATCGATCTCATCGAGCTGCCTAATCCAATTGGTATATTCTCCTGCCTGGATGAAGATTGCGTGATGCCTAAGGCTACTGATAAGTCATTTACCGAAAAACTTCATTCGCTCTGGGATCGCAAATCCCCGAAATACCGCTCTTCCCGATTAAGCCAGGGATTTACCCTTACCCACTACGCAGCTGAGGTTGAGTACTCCACTGAGGGTTGGCTGGAGAAGAACAAGGATCCTATGAACGACAACGTCACTCGACTCTTATCCTTCTCAAACGATAAACACATCGCCAACCTCTTTGCCGACTGTGCCGATTCTGACGAAGAATACGGATTATCGAAGAGCCGTGTAAAGAAAGGGTTATTCCGTACTGTGGCCCAGAGACATAAGGAGCAACTTTCAAGCCTCATGGCGCAACTGCACTCTACCCATCCTCACTTCGTCCGTTGTATCTTGCCTAATCATAAAAAGCGACCTAAGCTATTCAACGGTCCTTTGGTACTAGATCAACTCCGCTGCAATGGTGTACTAGAAGGAATTCGGATTGCTCGTACTGGATTCCCCAACCGCCTTCCGTTCGCGGAGTTCCGGCAGCGGTATGAGGTCCTGTGCCCTACAATGCCAAAAGGATACCTCGACGGGCAGAATGCAGCTAAAATAATGGTGGAAAACCTGGGATTGGATAAATCTTTATATCGCGTTGGTTTAACGAAGATATTCTTTAGGGCCGGTGTGCTTGCTGAGCTCGAGGAGCAAAGAGATACCCATATACGCGACATCATGACGAGATTCCAGTCTGTTGCCAGGGGGTTTGTACAGAGGCACATTGCGAACAAGCGACTTTACCGTACGGAAGCCACTCGCATCATCCAACGAAACTTCCACGTCTATCTAAATCTAAAATCATCGCCATGGTGGACGTTGTTTGTACGGATGAAGCCGCTCCTAGGAGCAACTCTAACTGCAGGGGAGGTGAAAAAGCGCGATGAGCAAATTCGAAAACTTGAGGAGAAAGCCAAAAATGACATTTTGGAACGTCAGAAATTGGAAGAAGAGCGACGGAGGGCAGAAGCCGAGGTACACAGGATTAGGAAGACGCTTGAGAGTGAGCGGACTTTGGCTCTGGATAAAGAAGAAATCTTCAAGCGACTCCAACTTCGTGAAATCGAGCTCACTGAAAAGTTATCTGGTGCGATTGCGGATCAGGAAAATTTGGAAGACCAGCTAGATGAGCTGATTGCATCCAAAAAGAAGATAGAGGAGGAGTTGGAGCTTCGGCGTTCGCAACTCGAGCAAGCTGCCCAAATAATGAGCCGCCTTGAATCAGAAAAAAAGGAACTCCAGATTCAAATATCTGAACTCCATGCTCAGTTAAATGATATTGAGAATAATCATCGAAAACGGGATGACGAGGTTGATGGTTTATCCCAGGAAATCAAGATGCTCAAAAGTCACCTCAGCTTGAAGGAGCAGAAATTACAAGATCTTGAAGATAAGCTGCTCAAAACTGACCAGGACCTCGGCATCGAGCTCGCCAATGCAGCTAAGGAGCTTCAGGTTTCCAAAAAGCAAGTCAAGGATCTCATCGAAGAAAACAGATCGATTCGTCAGCAGATATCCGACTTATCATCCACATCCACTGGGTATGAAGAATTGGTCAGGCGAAAGGAGGGGGAAATTACAATCCTTCGTGGAGATGTCAAGAAATTGGAGTCGGAGAAGAAATCCCTGGAAGCTGAAAAGACATCTCTCGCAAGCCGGCACAATGATATGCAGCAACGCCTCCGTGATCTCCAGGCGCAAACAGATGCTATGATGTCGGAGAAGAAGAACCTGGAACGTGAGGCTGCAGATGTGAAGAAGCTACTAGAGGCGAAGATGTCCGAAGACGCTGAGGCGGGACAGAGTCGAAAAATGCTTGATCAACAAGTCAAAGATCTCAAGGCGCAACTCTACCAGGTTCAAGCTGATCTTAGTCGCGAGAGACAATCCAGAGACGACGTGCAAATGCTCGGTGAACACAAATATGCTCAACTCAAACATGAGTTTGACAATCTCAATGACTCAAAGATCATCATCGAAAAAGAAATGTACATCCAACAGGACACCTTACGGCGAGCCATGGAAGCCCGCACGGCAGCTGAGGATTCTCGTAAAGAACTGCAAAGGGAGTTAATAAGTTTGAGGGAGCGATTCGCTAAGGTTGAAAGCGCTCGTTTGGATGCCGAGGCTGCAATTGAAAAGAAAAACGCCGCACAAGCTAGTGAACGACAAGCAAGTTTGCGGCGCGACCTTGAGGCTACAGTAGAAGAACTGAACAAAACCCAAAAAGAGCGGGCTCGCCTTGCCACACAAATACAAGAATTGACTCAAACAATGGCAGAGTCTGAGGACTTCCGTATCCGCCATGATCAACATAAGGAGCGCATGGAGCGGGAGCTCGTGACTATCAAGGGACGGCTCACTGCATCCGAAAATGACAACAGGGCACTCCTTAACAAGATCCAGCAGAAGAACCTTGAAATTGCACGTTCGAATTCACGGGCTGGTGACACACAGCGATCGAGGATGGTGCAACTCCAAAATGAAAAGACTCGACTGCAAGATGTAAATAAGCAGCTTTCACGACATCTAGCAGATGCACAACTATCTATCACGTCACTCGAGAAGCAGAAGGAGAAACTAGCTCTAAATGTGGAAGATCTCAACCATGAAGTCACTAGAGAACACAAGGCCACCCGAAGTGCAGAGAAAGCAGCATCCGCATCCAATATCCAGCTTGCAGAAGCTAACAGAAACCTTGAAACTGAACGACAGTTAAGAATCCAGGCACAGGCCAACACGCGGAAACTTCAGGCTGCGGTTGACCAAACAAATAAAGAACTTCAGGATTGTCATCATCAGTTGGTCCTTCTTCACAAAGTTTTTAATCCGGAAGCAAATGAAAATTCGAGCTCCTGGGAGGCTGTGAAGCCGGATATTTCGAAGAACGTAGACATGGCTGTAGTTCTGGAATCAGTACAAAACAAACTTCGGGTTACTGAAGAGAAGTGTGCTCGCGCCGAGAGCCAACTATCTGAAATGCGCAGGCGTCATGCGGACGAGATGGCCGAGCTAGATGCTCGATATTCGTCTTCGAAGCGGGCGCTGCTTGAAGAGATTGATCAAAACCAGGTTGCTGTATCGCGTTCGCCAAACCATTTCAGAAAAAATTCCGAGCCTGTCAAGCGCTTCTCGAATCCTTCCACACCCAACAATCGCCGGTATAATTTTGCTGACGGTGCTAATAACTCTGGTCGATCTGACAGAACTGTTGACACCGTGGCTTTCCAGAAACGGATGGATACTGCTTCTGAGATAGAAATGCTTCAAAATCAACTTCAGCTTACCGAAATGCAAAATCGGCATCTCCAAAGCCAACTTGAGAGATCCACCCCGGTCCGAGATGCGTGGCAAGATGAGAGTCCTTCGATTCGACGAATGCAAATGCTTGAACGCGAAAATGGCCGCCTTCATGAGAAACTTGACGACTCTGCCAAAAAGGTGTCTGCTTTAGAACGGAGCATTCATTCTGGAGAGTTGACCCTGCGAGACGTTCAAGCCAAATCTCATGAGGAACTGTATGGTTTGCTTAACTCCCAGGAGCAGGCGAGGAAATCAATCGTCCAGGTCCACAAGAGTGCATTGGCAGATTTAACAGATGCAAAAGCCCAATTAGAAAAGATTAAGCATGCAAGGGCAAATCTTGAAGTCGAGCTACGAGATGCAAATTCCGAATTGAAGGAATCACAACTTTCTCGGGAACAAGATGCTGCCAGTCGCGCCCAGCTGCTCCAAGAATTTGCCGACCTTCAAATCCGGTTGGATGCAGAAGCTTCCAAGGTCGTTGATTTGACATCAAGCCTAGATCTCTATAAGGGTCGTGCTGATGAATATTTTGCCAAGCTTGAACAGGCTGAAATTGCTGTGCTAAAGGCGACTCGTGCCGAACAGTTTTCCAAGGCACAAGCCAAGGAGGCAGAAGACATGTGCGCGACCATTATGGCGGAAAGAAAGCAAATGGATAGCCTTGTTGAAGACTTACAGCGCCAGACACAGTCCTACGAAGAGAAAGTTGAGGACCTAGCCGCTGACCTCGACGCAGCGCTGCAAGCAAAGAGGAGGCTCCAAAATGAGCTAGAAGACTACAGGAGCCAGCGCGCTATGGACATTGAAGATAGGGAAACCTCACTGGAGCAAACGAGAAAGAAGTACCAAATGGAACTCTCGATCGTAACAAACGAGCTAGAGGTCGAGCGCGAGAACGTGCTCCATATCCGTGGCGAAAACACTCGACTGCGAGAAGAAATTGAAGAGCTTCGATCCAAGTGGGATGACGAAGTTATGAACAGCTCTACATGGGCCAAGGAGAAGTCTCGGCTGGAAATGACTTTGCATGATATATCTATTTCGCGCGACGAAGCCGTAAACGCTCATAACGATGCCCAGAGCAAGGTAGTTTCCCTTCTGTCCCAGGTTCGCGGACTTCGAACCTCCATCGACGATGTTACTGGTGAAAGAGACGCACTGCTGAAAGAGAAGAGAGGTCTTGAAGCGCGTCTCAATGAGGCGTCTGATCGCCTGGCTGAGCTTGCACAAGGCGAAAACCCCTCAATGCGCAACGCCGCTGAAATGGACCGTGAACTTCTTGAATTAAAGGCTAAACTCGCACAGCACGAAGACCTGTCTTCAGCCGCGGTCGGAAAGATGAGGCGGGCAGAAGCTCTAGCAACGGAAATACAGAAAGAAATTGTAGCAGAGCGCGAGTCGACTGCTCAACTCTTCAAAGAAAAGGTGGCTTTAGAAAAGCAACTCAAGGAGGCACAGTTGAAATGTGTCGATTTGGAGACTAAGGGATATACCTCCGCTAGTCAAGACGTGAGATTTTTGCATAAACGGATACAAGAGGTGAGATTCCCACGCACCCAACAACTGCATATTATGTATCACCTCGAAACATTCTAGGACTAACCACCAATCTAATGTAGCTCGAAGCTCAATTGGATGACCAAGAATCGAAGCGGAAGGCTGAGCAACGATCTGTCCGCAATGTTGACCGTACCGTAAAAGACCTTAAATCCCAGATTGAGCGTCGCGACAAGATGAATGAACAGCTATCTGATGATATTTCGAAGTCCCGTGACAAAATCGATCGGCTCCTCAAAACTATTGAAGATCTTCAATCAAATGACTCGGAAAATCAGCTCCAAGCCCGTCGGGCCGAGAGAGAATTGCGCGAAGAGCGAGAGAAATCATTGCGGTTGGAGCGGGAACTGGAGGGTTGGAAGGGACTGCGAGTGGAGAGAGGCAGCGCAATGGGACGCAGTGGTACCATGACTGGTTTAAGTGAGATCAGCGATCGATTCGGGGGTGTCAATGGGAGTCGTCGCGGTAGTGGTGTCTACGTTGGCCCTGGACTAAACGGCCCTATCGAGGTGCCTCAGCGCAAAATGAGTAACTCCAAGGGTTTCCTATGAACTCTTTTATGAAGATTCATGTTTTTGCGTGAGACACTTAGGGTGATGAAGGGATGACTGGCGTCATCGTCATAATCTTTCTTTTCTCTCCTTTTTTGAATCATTGTCTTTATGGAGTAGTGGAGTAGGCGGGGGGTTGTGTTTGTCATGGATGCATGAATTAGGCTATGAGTTGTCCTGGAAAGTTGATTTCGATGGAATGATCCAGTTTGTTCAATCTATGTTTGTCCTTTTTGTCGTTGGTTTCTGTTTAACATTTCAAAGTTGAGCGTAGATGATGTTTTTGATACTGTTAATTCGATTATGGACGGAATCCTCCATGTTTCTGGGGCATATTGTAAACACCCATTCCTGCCAGTGGATTGCCAAATTATACACCGCATGAGATTATTTAATTCCCCTTCTTTAACAATATATTTGGTTCTGTTCTGAAAATAGACTGCGTAAAGAGCACGGAGGAATGTGGTTTGGGCTGATGATGAGCCGCTCAAGTATCTGCGCCCACGCTAACTCGATTAGGCAAAGCTGCATTCACACCAGACAACATCAAAACCTGAATCTCCGCATAGCAATCGCCTTGATACCCAGCACCCACCCCTTCACTTCACCCTTCTGCTCTACGCCGTTCACCAATATTTTCTGCGAGAGGGGATAACCGGATTCAGAACTACGTTTACTTCAATTCGTTTTATCCTATCGTCGCCATCTTTGCGTCTCTTTGTCACATCACAACGTAGCGATGGTGAGGCCTATAGTTCTCCGCATTACGAAAACATAAAATAACTAACTAGAATCAACCTGATATGTAGGCTCGCAACAGTGAAAAAGCACAGTCTATGCTTTTTCGCTTCCGCGCCGCACAAGCTGCAGACCTCGGAATTCTCGATATTGGCCGGACCCGCCGCCCCAAAGCCATCACATCTGTAACTTCGATTCCCGTATGCGAGAAATGGCGGGGACAAGTGCTGAAGGAAATTTCGCGCAAGGTCTCACGCATCCAGGACCAGAGTTTGAGCGATTACCAGATCCGGGACTTGAATGACGAGATCAATAAGGCCATGCGGGAAAAGTGGATGTGGGAGGTACAGATACGGAATCTTGGAGGGCCGAACTATACACGTGGTGGTGGGAGGGTGTATGACGATGATGGCAGGGAGATACCGGGTGGTGGGAAAGGCTATCGATATTTCGGGAGGGCGAGGGAGCTTCCAGGTGTCAAGGAGATGTTTGAGGCTGCTGCACGAAAACAAAGCAAGACGGGTCGAGAGGAAGATGATGGTGGGGGCAGGGTAGGGGATTTGACTCGAAGAAATGTTGATGCTGCTTATTTTGGATATGGGCTAGATGAGGAGGATGGGACGCTGTTGGAGTATGAAAGGCAGAAAGAAAAGGAGGCTTTTGAAAATATGTTGCAGCATGGGAAGGACGAGGCAGTCGATGGGTGGGAACCGCTGCCTGGTGATAGCGGGGACGGTATTGAGTGGAGGCTACCTACCCTCGAGGAAGTACAAGAAGAATTAGTAGATCGGCGACGGAGGAGATTGCTTGACAAAATCCGTTGATAGCATGATGATATACTATTTTCCTGGTTGGTTGGCGTTTTTTACGGTTTTACGGAATAAAACGTTTCATGTTTGCCTACATGTTCATAAAGTATTAAATTCGTTACCCTAGGCATATCTGTGAATACATAATGTAAAAAATTCATCTTAAATAATCATGCGGAATTAGAGGTAACTTCAATAGTCAACTCGTCTATACGTCTCCACTTCCGTCTGCACGATATCCGAGTTCGAGCCCTTCTTCTCCAATTTCTCTGCCTTCTTCGCCTGGTTAAGACTTCCCCCCATGGCAGCCAATCTCTCCTCCTTCAGCTGCAAAGTGACGCTCAATATATCGTCCATAATAAAAGTTCCCAGTTTTCCATTTTGAAACATGCGGATCATCTTGTCAGCTGCAATGTCTATATTTGGAATACCGCCTTTAGCCAAACTTCCTGTTTTTGCAGCAAAGGCCTCCAAGAAATGAACTATATCATTCGTTGGTGGTGAGTATTTCGCATATATACTTGGTTTGTGGAGGTTGATTTGATAGAGCAAATAGTCAGCTAACGTAATAATCGGGATAATAGAATGCTTCAAGCAACCACAAATCCCAAGCTTCAACATGCTCTCTGAATCTGGCATGTATGGCACAAAGACCCCAGGTGTATCATGCACATATACCGAGCCCCGACTTCTCTCAATGATTTTGATCCCAGTTCCAACTCTCCTCGTCACACCAGGATCTGCACCAGTCCTAGCCACTTTGTTCTTTCTTTTCATGGCATATTTTCGGAGGGCGTTGATCAAACTTGATTTTCCAACATTGGGCATTCCTACGACAAGAATTCGAACTCCTGTGATTTTGTGTATGTTGAAAGGGTGCCTTTTAAGGCTCTTAACGATCGGAACGATAGTGTTGTTATTAAATTGGCTAGCAAAGAAAACTTTCGAACCCCGATTCCAACGCTGAATCATTTTCTCACGCTATGTAGATTAGGGAGACATCAGTATATGTATGTAAATAAGAAGACATAATACAGTTAGTCCGAGATGCTCACTTTCTGGTTTTCCAGCCTGAGATCTCCTCCAAGATCCCTTTTAGTATATATGATCCATCTCGACTTCTCACCCAAAGCTTCCTCGAAAAGTGGGTTGATCGAAGTGGCAGGGATGCGAAAATCTCTGCATTCAATGACATGATCAATGGTTGATAACATGTTCTTCATTCTTTCAAGCGCAGCTTTATGATGTCCCAAAAAGTATGTACGTGGAATGCTGTCAATTGCTGGGAAGAATCTCCGGGGTACGAATGTGGAAGCCATCATGGGGGCACGGCGAAACGGTACCCCCAGACAAAGTGAAGTTGAGAGAAATTGGGAATGGATTCACATACAAAAGATCGAGATGGGTCCCTGGCAAAGTGATGCTAATTGGCAGATGAGCAACTATTTTCTCAAGCTCTAACTAGTTACTGAGGAGTGACCTGGGATGACTAAAAAAAATAGTCTTTGCAAGTCTCAAATGTGGAACAATAAAATGCCGACTCCGGCGGCTCTTGGTATCGGGATATTGTTTTGGTTGTGGCTACTCGGGCCGAATGCCTCAGTCCAATCCCGAGACAAAGATTGCTAAATCATGCTCAATAAAAATTAAATAAAAAGGCGATTTGTGAGGGGCAAAATAACAGCTCTGTGCTGGCACAATTATCTACAATGGCCTAAATACTTCCGATATGGTCTTTTAAATAGTTAAGGAAATTATATTTGTCGAAGCGTCAAACCCATTTCGGAAATACGAAGACCATGAAAATCCAAGTCGTATTAACCTATCTAGCCAATGCTAGGGCATATGGTATTTCTTTCTATGCACATGTATGTTAAGAGTACAACTAACCCCCAAATATGCCAGCCAAAATCCAATATTTCCCAGCGCCGATATCTCTCAGCCCAGTGTTCCGAGTGCCACCATCCAAAAATAAACCTAGAGAATATTAGTGGTAAATTTTATATGTCAACAGTGAATCTGGATAGAGATAGAATGGGTAACTACGCCCTCCACCCTTGAACGAAATCGTGAAGGCGGTCAATGACAACTCCAAATATAGCATTCACGCTATCGCCGATCAGCTGTTCAAAATGGCGAATTGCCTCCTCCTCACTCATCTCCAGATGGAATCTCTCTTTCACTTTTAAAACAGCCTTATCTGGCTCGACGCGGATGTCAGGGATGTTTGCATCGACCATCAAACTGAAGAGGTTGAGGATTAGGTTTGCGGATTTGCGCAGGGTGGTGTACGCCGTAAAACAATATTGTTTGAACTGGATATAATTGGGAGACGACGCTCCACCCATACCTTCTACCATTTCTTTGCAGAGTTTCATCATGGGCGCAAATGGTTTTGGATCACGGCCTAAAATAAAGCCAAAATCGGCATGGAAGAAATGTCCATCGGGTGCAAGAAGAAGGTTGTCTAGATGTCTATCCCCAACACCTAAAAGGTAAGTGATCACGCAGTAGCCAGCGCATGATTTTATATAAGTATCCATGGTTTCTTTGCGGACACCCAACGGTTCATTGTCGTCTGGATTGTTCGCTTTCAGATATGTAAGGATTGAGCCCTTGTGTTTTGCGGATGCTGCTGATAGGGATGTTGAAGGGATAAATTGCATCGCGCCGGCATTGGCACTTGTGGCAATGATACGGTAGGGTGTGAGTTTCAAGTCCAAATTTTCCTTTTGCAAGAGGCGATCCATCAGACTGATTATTTGTATAACCAGCTGGTCTTGTCGCAAATCGTCTCCGACCTTGAAAATTACTGGATATTTTCGTCCATCGGTGAGTTTGAAATTGATTAGGAGAGGAGAGAGTGAAGACTTGAAAACATTGGAACCCTCCGCGAAGCAACCGGTAACCTGAACTTCGGGATCCAGGGGGAGCGGGAGAGGTGGGTCAATGGTGGCAAGTTCATTTTTAGGGTCCGTCAAAAACTTCTTCAGCTTTTCGATTTTGACAGCACGGTTCACTCTGGAGAAACGAATATCCTTGGCGATTTTAGTGAGAATTGTGATAAGTTCACCTTGTCGTAACAGGACTTTCCTCTGCTCGGGGTTATGTTTCTCCAGCTCGACCATGAAATAGTACTCAACACGAGCGAATAGTTTGCGATGGACGGAAATGGTGCTAGGGCCTGCATCGTCACACTCGACCATGAGGTACCAATGAAAATAGCATCCAAGAAGTGGATTATTTGCGGCTCGGCTAATTAGGAAACTAGTCAGCGAAGAATCTCGAGTTACATCCTCAGAAACCTCATTGGGTATTGTTTCGAACTTCAAGGCCTGGACTAGTTGCAACAGATATAAAAGAAGCTCCTCATCATCGGATTTCCTCAACCGGTCAACAGCGTAAGCCCGTACAGCGGGGTTGTCAAAGGTCGGCCCAAGAAGTTCCAATGCATCGTCTACATCAATCTCGGTCCACTTAGGAAGTATTTCAACAGCCTGTCGGGCTTCGCTAACATCTTGCCAATTCACAGATTTCACAAATTTAGTCAGGGCTCTCTTGTCCCGAGTGAGGTGGTGCCTGAACTTCCACACAAGGTCTTTCTCCTCGGAGTTGAGTTCTTCTGTGGGGCCATATAACATGATATCATGCAATTCATCACGAATCTTCGGATTTGGCTTGAGGTCGCGATCCATAATGCCCGTTCGATGACTACGAACCAGTCTTCGATGTTTGTCCTCGCAAGGGTTTCCTTTCTGGCCGACCTCAGGGTCATATATTCGAATTATTCGATGGATATCATCTTCATTCCCCGCGCCATCTATATCGGGGCCTAAACAGACTTCCGGAGGGGGCTTGAGGGTAGAGTTAGATCCCGACATAGGTTGCTGAGAATAAGAGGATATCGGTGGACGAGGGTATTCAAAGTCTTCGAAAACAATGGGAAAATCAAAACGTGGAAATTCGATGTAGAGGACGAAGTTCTCTTCATTATTATTTATATCATCTGTTTCGTCATCATCGAGGTTGTTTGCCTCGCGATTTGACTTGGTTCGGGCCTTTTCCCTAGCAGCGTTGTTCCGTATTGCATTCTTTCTTGCAGATTCCTCGGCCTCTAATTTTTTCTTCTCCGCCGCCCGAAATACAAGTTGATCCAGCCAGTCAACTCGGGGGATCTCGCCCATTTCATGTTTTTTTAAGAGCTTTTCCAAACGCTCCAACTCCTCTTCTTCCGGGGTAAGGCCATGGTCTATATGTGGAAATAGGCGCCGTTTTTGTACCGGTGTGGAAGGTGTCGTGGTATTCGAAAGTCCATCTGCCGCCTTGTGTCTATAGATTTTACACTTCTGTCTCCCTTTTTTTAGAGTACCGTCTTCATCGAACAATGATACAGTAGTCCCTCCGAAGGGAACAGAATGACCATAAGCATCGTTCCCACACAGAGGTGACAGATCCCAAACTGTGATGGCTAGCTGGCTATTGATGGGTGCATCTTTAATCGATACTGGAACTGTAAGCCATTCATTCCATGTACGGCTCGTTTTGAACGCTTTGTATGCCGTCTGGACCGGCATGCCTAGAGGTTTCGAGCTCGCCCATAGCTGCACGGTGATGTACAGGTCGGAAATAGGGCTCTGGTTCGACCCGAGATGTCGAAGGTCAGGATTCTTGATCAAGACGGAGAAGGGTACCGATTTCTGTTTTCCTTCCAAGCTGCATCTAATGGAGAGCGTTAGTTATGGCGAATGGAAGTTATCTAGCCGGGAGGTGCTCACATCTTTAGATGGATCGGTAAATCCACCTGGGCAGATGTTGCAAAGGTATAGGTGTCCATTACAATATGCTGGCCTCCTAGGCTGTTAGAATCATCGTTTTCCTCCTTCCATTCATTTAGTGTTGAGCTCCATCTTCACAACAGCTGTCTTGATATTGGTCCTGTGGAGTTTGCGTTGATATGGTTGATTTAACTAAACGTCAGGCGCCCAACAACTTCCCGACGTTGTTTGGTTAGCTGGCCGCAGTTTCCACTGATTACGTAAGCCGTCCTTTGGGAATGAATTGATGTAGAATTCCAAAAATTGAATCGAGACGGATCATAGCGTTCATACGATTTCCATTTCATTTGTTTGTGGGTTGTACAATGCTGATAAATACAAAGGGGAACTTCAATCCCTCCTAAACAGAAACTTGTCAAAAATAGCAAAACCTTCATTGCGTGTGCTCTCTAGCCGCCTCTAAGTGCCATTCAAACAAATTACAGAATACCGCTTTGCCTCCGCTCTCAATCACATCTCCATGACATGGTATTATCCGATCAAAATCCCACCCTTCAATCGTAGCTACGGATTCCCCAAAACTCTTACGATCTGGCGCTGACAGAACATACCAGATAAACCGCTTCTGCCAGGTAGCAGGCGGCGCTGCTGACTGAAAAACATGAAATATCTTGGTCAGGACACCCTGAGTGGCCGACTCGCCAGATTGTGAAAATTGCTCTGTGGCAGGGAGGTTGAAAAATAAATCTGCTTCAATAAGGGTCCTGGAGGGCTTGTGTAGCAGGACAATTTCGTGACTAGGGTGAGAGTTGACATATTCGAAGTCAAAGCCGGCATGGAACTCGTCTGATATTCTCAAAGTCCTCTTGTTCGCTTTTGTGAAGACATGGTCGTATTGTTGAAGACCTCTCGTCTCGGAATTTTTCTCCCGCTTTTCTTTAAGGCCCTGTGGCGCGATGATTTGGGCGTTTGGATAGGCTTCTTTCCAAGGGGTTAAGAATATGTGATGTTCCATATCCGGAGCAACAATGTACTTAACATCCCCACCCAATAAAGTGATAGCCTCCCTTGCTTTTGCTGTGAGAGCGACTGGAGAGAAAACAACTAGAGGGCCACTTTGGAGACGAACTAGGGCACCCACCATTAGCAAATGAGCTCAACGATATCACAAATTATTGTTCATTTAGTGCTGAGTCATAACTTACCGATTGTACACCGTCCTCCGATTCTTGCGTGCCCAAAGCGATAGAAAGGAACATTCAAAGTAATTATATCATCGTGGACTTTCCGTACCACCATTACATCATTCGGCCGTGAAGGAACCAGCATAGAAGGCATCGTTCCAAAATAAGCTGAACCAGATGCTACTTGCTTGAGAAGCGGTCGCCCAACACTGGTAAAATGTTGAAAATGCTTTGGCAGGGTTATCACTTGCTCGACAAATTCGTTGTTGCTAAGCAATGGAGCTCGTTCTGTGAGGACGGTATACGAATGTAAACAACGCCTATTCAGCGAACCAGAAAATGAAGGGAAGAATATCAAAGAATAGGAACAGAAATGAACTTGGGTGATACCATGAGGAGGGAGGAAGGTTGAAATAGCTTGGGGGTGGACAAGAATTGATGACTTGGGGAAGAACATTAATCATTCATATAGTTTGAGATTCAAAAGGTGGCGAAAAGTGTACTATCACATGTCGAGAGCGAAAGGACACCAAGATTTATTCCACTCATAAATGCAGTTCTTGTCGCATTGTTGCTCATGAAAGGAGGTTGGTAACTCTGCAGCGGGTTGGTTGGAAAGTCGCAAACCACGTTAACTAACTAGTGGCCACCAATGACGTAACTAAAACATCCCAGACCGCCCACTCGTGCGTCAAACACAACCCGCGATGTACGCCTACAAATGTAAGTGGTGTACGGAATATACATAGTTGGAGACGCAAACATGGATTTTAGACATCAATTCTCATATGATTCGAATATACCCTGTTTAATTTCGACTCAAGCGGCATTCATCTCCACACGTTCTGCTAGAATCCGAGAAGAGCGAAAGGAATACATCGGATGTAGCCCATGCATATTCCGGATTTCAATGATAGTGCTGGATAGAATAAATGAATCGAAGAATTTGAATTGAAATGTTGACGACCACAACAGCAAGAGCCTACCTATCGTGCAGCCAGATAAAAATTTAAAGCGAAAGATACACTTATAAGACAGCAAGAGAATAACAGGAAGAATGAATAAAACGCGGAGCAATACTCCGTAGATAAAAGGGGGAATCAAAGTCTTAAAATAAAACAAAACAAAATCAGGTCAAAAAAAGCCAACGAAAATATTAATGTACGGAGGACAAGTAGATGAAGCAATGCAAGACGGCTCATATTGGTTGCTAAGTACGCCGGCCAGGAGCCTTTCTTTTATCTGCCGACTCTGTTGTCCCTTCTTCTCGGTGGGGAATTAAAGACTCTTCGATGTTGAATATTTCGATAAGATCTTCCCAGGTTTCATAATCGAGACTAAAAACTGTCTGGTGCTTCTGCAGCTTCTTGGCCTGTGCTTCTGATGGTGCTGCGGGTTGAGAGGGGACTTGAATGAAAGGTCAGTAGTGTGCCCTTCTAGGGATTGACAACCCAAGGATTATCACTTACGTAGCGTGGGGAGTTCATTGCTGTCCATTGATATACCAACGCTACCATCACGAATCAAGAAGCTAACATAGAAAAGATTTTCGACAGTTTGGCCAAATGACTTTGGATTGATGCAGAACCGGAATAGTGGGACACCGCCATCATCTGAAATCGGATGTTTGCTCATCACTTCCTTGACAGCGTCCTCAGAAACATCATCACCCATTTGAGAGAGCTCTTCGTTAACCAGCGCCTCACTGTGTGATTGGGTCTTCACCAGAAGCTCCCTGATATCGGTACACATGGCAGTCAGGTTTGAGGTCTCTTGCTTATCTATATCTTTCTCCTCTAAATCGAGTGGTTTTCTAGCCAGAGATGGGTCAAAACGCTCCTGTCTAGCTCTCCTTTGACTTTGTTGCCGGAATCGCTTCTGCACCGACAGTGGACCAAGCAAAAACCCAGAAAGGGCTGGTCGCAGATTGTTGGGAAGGCAGGCTCTTCGGCCAAGCCAATCCCAGTTAAGCGCATCTCCTTCATCGTCGCTATCTTCTTCAACTAGATCGTTGCCCGCAACGCGACGGCGTCGTCTCTGGGTGCTAGAAAATGATGGCTCCTCCCCTCTGGGCCCTTGGCGCATGTATGAAATACATTTCGACACGAACTCATCCACATCGATTCCGGTATCGCCATCGCCTAGAACGGTTTGCGCGGTGCGCTTGTACGATAAATCGGCCGCGGACACGAGAAGTCGCGAATCTATGGTTGCATCTGACGTCTGTTTCACTGATTTGAACCACTCATTTGCCTTCTCCAGTGTAGTACGTATACCGTTAGAGCCAGGCTTGAGGTATTCTGCGCGAGAATCTAATCAAAACGAATCAGTATAACTACACAAAATATATCTATGTAGACGTGTCGCACCATTCAGGTTCGTTGCAAGGTCTCTCAGTCCTTTTCGCACCGCCCGGCGCTCTTCTGGATCTTGATTGGGGTCATATAGATCGGTATCTTGAACTTGTTGAGGCCGTCGTCTGTGTGTGGCTTGGCTCTGGCGATCAGACAGTCCTCTGTTGTGTGATAATTTTCGCCTTTTGTTCGACGCGTCCGTCATCACTTGAGGTTTCTGTGTCGACTGAGATGCTAGATGGGTAGTTTTCCTTTTCTCTGATCGACTATTTGAATTTCGATTTTCTTTGTCTGAGGAGAAAGAAGTGGACGGAGACGGCGTCATTTCATCAGAAGACCCTGCAGAAGCAGCAGCTGGGGATGGGGAGCTGCCGCCTCGACGGTGAGTGGGCAGAGAAGGCATACTGGTCTCCCAAAATAGCCTACCAACACACTGGCTAAAATCGAAGGCTGAGGATGAATGCCAGTCGCAAATGCGGCACAGGCAAGACGGGGAGGGGTAACTGAGAAACGAGGGTCTTCTGTTGTCTCAAGTGATTGAAATAAGGAAAAGGAGGACCTTTCACAACTTCACATACCCTCAAGTCTTAAGGATATACAAAGAGTATCACTGTCCTCACTGATCCATGCGCGATGGTGTTTTCAATCTCAACCGTTTAATTTTCTGTCCAGACGAGACGCGACGTTTGTGTCTGATTAGATAATGGAATGACTAATGGCGACTCAGGGAACGAACTGGTCTAACCAAATTAGGTTAGGTCTTCCCGTCGTCTTCCAAGATCTCTAAATGTCAACTTTGTGGACTCTGTCCATTGTTTTGTTTCTTTGGACGTAGAGTTGGTTATAACTAATCATCGGTCAAACTACGGAGTAGTAATGTCAGACTGGGCACCACTCAAATCTTAAAGCATCGATGTTAGATCTAGATCCTCCGCTAAGCACAGGTGAATATGTTGCAGAAACTGGCTCTACCGATAGATTTCATTCAGGTTCGAAGCAAACTGGTACAATTCGCAGTACTCCTCAAACACTTCCGAGCAGATGAGTATCCATGGCTATATTCCCCGAACTTCGGGCTTTCGGGCGGATCTACTATCGTGAAAAGATAAAAAAGGAAAAGGGAAAAACATACGACAGCCGGGATTCGCTGGTGGTCACCCACCCAACTACTAACCGGCCGGCGAGTGGCTTAAGTACGGCTGAGCGGACGGGAAGCCCTGTTTTCCACTCCCTGTGGTCGTATGTACTAGTCATTGGTTTAAGCAGATGATATAGCCAGTTTTATTCATCAATAGAGCAACCGTGTCATTCCATGGATGGAATGGGCTGAACAAGGGCAAGCAACCGGTTAGTTAGAATTCATGCTCATGGTTAACCATAACAAAGTAACACAAATAACTTCGGGGCATTCAGCCAATTATCTTAGAGAGCTTGGACTGGCAGACTTCCACACAAGGGCAGACCATGTTGTATGTGACGTCTGTTTCTGTCGATTTCATTTGGATCCCAGATTGTCAGACCGGCATGTGGAGTTTGGGATAATAACTACAATATGCCAATACCAAGCTACGGCTTCCTTTGTTTCTTCTTCATGGCAACCCAACAAACGATCAAATCTATAATCAAAATAAGAAGATACTTTCGATCCCTTCTACCAACATTTCGAAAATGGGCATACCCCTCACTATGGCTAGTCACCCGTTGGGTTGTGAGCTGGCACCGCAGTTGTCGATGTGATGCCCTGCAAGGATAAACCAACTAATTAGCCCCAGAATGATTGGCAAGCTACAACAACTGCGTCATGGCAACATTCGTCATAAGCGAGCTAATTATTCTCGATTGAAACGGAGATTGAACCAAAAACAAGAAAGTCTGCTTGGAGCTTTGAACTGCTGCTATAGGATACTACTTCTTTTGTTTTATTTCCGCCTCTCTATTACGTTTCTTGTTAGTTACCTCTCGATGAAGGACTTCGATACCCTGTTTTCGCCACCTACACAACTGGATCGACGACGAATCACCCTCGTGACGGATTGTGTTGTGAGTCTATATATTCCTAGGTCGCACCTAGTATTCCTTTTGATCTTGTTTACGTTCTTTGACACCTCAGGGACAATTTGAGATTCTCATCTAAGGCTTATATTATTTCATCTCAACTGGCGTTTGTTTAGTTGGGGATCAGTTATCCAGCGCATCAGAACTATCACAACCTGGGGATCCAGCTTATCTAGTTAACTACCACCCAAGGTATATACTCGTTTCCGAAAAGCATACATTTCTATCAGTCGAGCCCGCGTCATCCGTCAACAGATTTCTAACAAGCGTGTTGCGCTGCTCTTCAGATCGATCGTTGAAAGAGTTTCGACCACAATGCCGGTCATCTCTCGCATGGTTTCGGTTGTACTCCGTATAGGAGAGATAGGCTTTGCTGCTGTTTGTAACATTTCCATACACAAGACTCCCCGTATCATACCCTTACCGTAGAATTTTATTTATTTTTATTTTTACTAATAATAAATATATAGGTTGTGGCAGGCATCATCGGTCACGATGTAGCTAGAACGGATAATTTCCCCGGTTTCCCTCTGGGCCGTTGGATTTACGCGTTGGTGGTGTCGGGAATCTCAATGCTTCTAGGCCTCATTTGGCTCATACCCTTTTCCGCATCATTCGTGTTATGGATAGGTACATTCCTCCGTCCTCTATAAATATTTCTCACTCGTTATTTTATAAGCATATTACGATGTAGCGCTAACCAACAGCGACAGCTGATTTAATCATATCATGCGCCTGGTTCTCCGTCTTTGCTGTGCTTGTAAATTGGCTCAACAGGCGTGCCTGTGGATTTATCTTCGATTGGGGCAGCATCACGGACGGCGGTGTTTGCGATCGCTGGAAGGCTGCTGAGGCATTCAGCTTTCTCTCAGCCATTCTTTGGTTGGTTTCTGCGATTGTGGTATGAATTTTTTTTTTTTTTCTTTTAAACTCTTCCCTGTCTTGGCAATATAATATTAAAATTGAGATTCTTTTCAGGGCATATGGTTTACTTTCCGCACCCGTGATCGCCGTCCAGTCGCTGGTGATGGATATAGAACGTAAGTAATTTTTCGAACTTAATTTTTTTGCGCGAAATAGTCAAGTCAATGGGCATCCTACCAATCTCCATTTATGGTATGTAGAAAATATCTGTGTTGATACTGATCAAATACCGATATACCAGTAACCGCCGTTTCTGGGGTCGTCGTCATGCTGTCTAAGTCTGTACCTTCGCTATAGGGCTCCTCAAATAACACGTCAAATAACCCGGTGCAGAACCGAATCGCCTGCTTAAACAACATAGGATTCGGCTCAAGATTATTCATTCACATTTGTCTTATACCTCTTGGCCTTAATTCTCATACAATGCTGCCAATGTTTCAATACCCCTTTGTTCCTGTTTAATATGTTTGAACTTGTTTTTCTTTTAATGACAAACAATCAATACCTATACCCACGTATGGACCCAGCAATGCATTTCCCAATACCCAATGGATATCATATTTTTGCTTTTATTCTGATGTACTCCCCTCTGTGGTATAATACATAGTTAGTGGATGATCCAAATGATTTAGCAATTATTAATATGACATTTCCTGTTTTGATGGCCTTCTATCTTCAACATTCTCTAAACATCCTTTAACATTTGAACTTGAGATAAATCCAACCAGCCTCGGCCGCATCTATAAAAATCTAAGAAGAAAGCCTTCGTGGTATAAATAACGCTCCCGAAGTCTGCAAATCCTGGCGCGTTCTGTGGCTGACCATCTTTTGGAGGTCATCAATATGTTGCTCTGAAGGTTTACGAACGCGACTCTAAATTGTCAAGGCCTCAGAGAGCTTCAGGTTTATCAACACCTTATTTCTTCGACTATCTAGCCATATTAGAAAGGCAATGTCAGAGAAGTTGTTAAAGTCGGTTTTAAAACATCTACTTCTTGCTCTCGAATTTTGGCACACAGAGGCTAATACTGTTCACATTGGAAAGCGTTTAACATGCGTTCTTTGCAACCGGAATACCTTAACTTGATCTATAGATAGACAAGAGAAGAACATCCCCCTCGGAATTGAAGATAACACTATTCCCTCGCTTCGAAGAAGATGAGCTGGTAGATCCAAGTCCTGATAAAGTTAGCGATAGTCATTCCACATACGGGACTCGCCCCTCCCTACTCCTAAGCCGTACGGCCGCCTCATTTATGTGGCGTTGGTGAGGCTCGTTATGAGTCATCCACCTATCATGAGGACATCCAGCCGTAATCGTAGTTACCACTCTTCTGAGATTTTGTTGCGGGTGGTGTTGGATTGCAAGTGGACATATGGAATGTTAGTGTAATGGTAGGTCCTGAGGGCGAAGAGCTAGTCACTTGTTGTAGTCAGTGTTTGGCTATTCCCGATGTTCGACTTCCGAGGTGAGATATGGATATGATGATATCTCGGGCTAGTTGGAGATTAGTACAAAATATGGGACTGTCAGAGATGTCCGGATGCTGACTACATGCCTGCCATAACTGCGGCATGAAGCCTATCTTCTGATATGGCGATTGACCATGTTGCCATCATACTTGATTCAAGGAACCTCGATCTTCCAAGGACCAACCAAAAAGGGATTGGTGCTTTTTATTCTGACAAGAATCTAAATTTGGTGAAAGGGAAGGAAATGCAATTGAGGTGACATGCCATAGGGAGAAGATGCACAATTTGGCGGAACATAGGAGAGCATATATTCGGCGTTGGAATGGAAAACCCCAACCAAGACAGACATGTAGATGGTCCTTTAGACGTTCTGATTGATTAGACTGCACGATGACAGACAAATTTAATCGTTAATATGAAAAGACAAGACCAGCGAAGGTCCTGTCTAGAGAAACAGTCATTATGCTGGAAATGCACTCTACATGTATGTACCATGTCACATGCCTTGGAAAGCAAGTTCAAAGAGCTGCATATTCCCAGTAAGAAACAAGACCGACACCTATGTACATTATGTGACTCTGCATCTGAAACTGCTAAAGCATCCAAATCCAGTTAATAAGAGGAATAGACAAAAAGGAAAATGAAAACGAGTACGAGAATGGAGTAAAAAAGTTCTAAAACAGATGCACCATTGACGCCTATAATTGGTACCAAATTAACTACAAATGCATGCGTAGAGAATGATGACGAATATATGTGTAGGGCATATTCGGGAATAATAAGAAATTATGCAGGAAAACCTAGCAGGTATATAGAAGACTATGTTATCCGTGGGGAATTCAGCGCGGTGAGAAACTGGAGGACTAAGTAAAACAAGCAAAAGAAGTAAGGACTTGAAAGGGGTATGATGAACGTTCTCCCAACAGGAAGAGGATAATCGAAAAGAACCATTACAACAGTTTTAAAAAGCGATTGATGCAGTCCGTTAGTCGGTTCATTTTTGTCATATAATTTTTGCACCTCACGCTCTGGATGCTGGTAATACCGCCATCCTCGATGATCATTGCAGAAAGTTTCCCACCTCTGACACAGTTGGTGTCTAATCCTTTGGTGTACTTTTTCAGCAACGGAGAACTGTGCGGCTGGTGGCCGTATAATACAGTTGTTGGGCGTGCATAGCGGAGGCTTTCTTCTGGCGGGGCCAAATTTTGGGCTCGAGCCAATATGGTTTGATATTTATTGAAGAGCTACATACTTATTGGATTGTCAGTCCAATTTGTTCGAAGGGAAGTGGGTGGGTAGGTAATCAGGGCTGAAGAGTCTACGGAGGAAACGGAGTCAGGCAAGATGAAGAGAACAGTCGACACGTACCTTTGTCCAGGGCACGCCATCGGATGACGAACTGGGAGCATGGCTCAAAAGATCAATAGTCCGCATAGACATGACGGCAGTGGGATCTTGTTTCTCCAGTTCTAGGCCAGGTACGAGACCACCGTGCACGACTACGACGTCGTCCATGCCTTTGATAGATCCAACCTTCAAAATCACTGGACACGTATCCAGCCACTCTGCTTGCTCATCGCTCAATTCGGCCGCAAGAGCGCTGTTCTTGGAACTAGTTACGTCTTCACTGGCTTTATCTAATTCATTGTTACTCATGGAACGACTCTTCCTGTTTGACGATACACCCTTGATATTGCGGCGGGCGAGAAGGGTACGATCTTCATTATTTCCTCGGACACAGGATGAGCGGTATTTGCGTGCGAGGTCAACTACTCCAATACTCTTGGGGCCCTTAGCGATCAGATCGCCTGTGAAGATCAAATGGTCTCCTTGTTTGGGGTCGAAGGCTACTTTTCGTAGAAGGTTTTCCACTGCGTGTATAAGAAAAGTTTCGGGTTAGAACAGAGTAAACCCTTTTTTTAACGGAAAGGAACAGAATTTGGTGTATATAGCATATGGGGTATATATATATATATATATATATATATGCCTTACATTCGTCAAGGCACCCATGGACATCGCCCAAGACGATTAGACGTTTACGATGCGGGTTGTCCGGGGTTGTTTTTCCATCACTGGGTAGCAGTGTCGGGTCCAGCGATCTTATATAAACCAAGTCATTGAACTTGGGCATGGAATTCGAACCAAACCAGCCTCCCATCTTCCCTTTTGTCATCAAGGAGAGCGAGTCTAAGAGCTGACTGTTCTCTTTTAAACGAGGACAAAAAAATCCTAACCAGCTACCCAGACATATCCATAGTAAAATGAAATAGACGATAATATAACGACGGAATCGCGGGGCGGTAGCTAGCTTGCGGAGGTCACTGGTGCGTGCAGGCCATTTGCTGGGACAGTCGGCCTTCATATTTGTCCCGGACTTGCTGTATTTAGGAACTGAGGCCATCCAGGCATTTGTCACGTAATTGATGAGGGGAGCTTTGGGTTGTTGAGGGTATGAGGAAGATACTCGGCCGTCGAGGTTTCTGATGCCAACATTGTCCCAAGCAGAATCGGCTCGAGAGGGGGGCTCGGGATATGTCTTCTCTGGGTGCGTCATTGCTCTGACGTGCCCGAATTTATGATTTGGGTTTCACAGCCGAAATTGTGTTCGGGTTGGGATTTGTATTTCGAGAACCGGGTTTGGGCTCGTGGATGTGTAGGGAAAACGCCGTCCATCCAACCCTAAATAAAATATTTCCCTGTTTCTCTCCCAAGGGGCTAACATCGCTATTATCCTCTCAATATCTGCCAATTAACACCATTTTTCTTCAGGTTAAATGCAAAGCCTCATATCGAGGGTCGATTCTCAAGGACGAATTGATAGACATTGTGGCGAGGTTCAAAGATGAAAGAAAAAAATAAATTGGGATCAATCCGCGGGTGACGTTTTTGTAATAAATTATCTCCATCTCCGGGAAATGAATATTTAGTCTCCTTGTTGTTCTCTGCTTGAGTCTGGTTTCTTCTCGAAAGGCAAACAACATATTTAGCATATCAATGATTTTACATCCTCCATCTTTGCTGTTAGAAGTCTAACAAATGCTTTGAACATACTAGTCGTCACAGAGGAAAAGTGTGCAGAGATCTAGGATCTGGGATCTGGGATCTGGGATTCTTCGGTGAGAAAAGAAGCCGAGTATCCATGGATATGCCCTTCAAGGGTCACCGTATCCACAATAACATCCAGGCCCTGCGTATGAGCGCGTATTTCGGTCCAACTATCTACGAAGAATGTAAATCGATGCTTCTGGCGACGGTAGCACTTCGCATTTATGGATCAGATGAATAATGTTCTATACGGCGCCAACCTCCCGCTTTTTTTGCGGTCTTCTTGCCATACTCCGTGAATGAGACCCAAATAGAATATCATTTCCGTATGTGGGATATTTAGATAAATATCATGGCTAAATTTTATGTGATAAATTAAAGAGGAACAAAAATATTTCTTTTAGATATGTGCTTTCCCTGTTTATACATATATATATGAAACCAGAGTAAAGGCTATCGATACCTTTCATACGCTTCTTGCTCACGTATGCGCTCCTCCACCTTTCTAATAACCTTCTCATCGTATAGATCTTCAACAGCTTTACCGCCCTTCAGAACCTCCCGCTCATGTCGCAGCGCTTCCTCCTTCGTCATGCAAACCAGTTCTTTCAAATCAAGCCGTGTACTCCTCTGTCCTTCCTTCTCCCAGAAAGGATCGGGCCCGAATCCATTCTCCGGGCGCTCCCAACGTACCAACATTAGCCGCGTAGTCAGGCCCGTAACGACACTTTTCCCTCTCCATACCTCCTCAATCAGGTAAGCAACGTCATCTTTGTTGATTGGTATCCGTAATCCGACCGGATCATAGCCGAGTTCAAACTTAGCTAGGCGTTCTTCCATCCCCTGCAGGCCTCCTAAGATGCTATCATACATCTTTTCTCGGCCCTTGGCTCCTGCGTTGTACTCGTTAGGATATCCTGATAAGTCACAGATGACATGGTTGGCGAGGGTATAGCCGAACACAGCTGGCATTGTGCCGATAACGGGAAGTATTCGCACACGGAAGTCGGGGAGAACGCCAAGCTCCCCTACCTCCCCCTTGGCAAACTCGTCATCAGGGAGTGGGAGTAACGATGCCTTTCCAGGTCCTGGTTTTTCGGTGGAGAAAACCACTGGAATACCGGAGCTAACTCCCAGGGCCTTCAAGCGACGACGGGTACTTCGGGAAAGGGGATCTTCAGCACTTGTCGAGATATCACCAATAGTGATCCGAGTGGGATCAGATTTACATCCCGCGCCCATGGAAGAAATGACCGGAATATTGTGGGAATGGCAGTAGTGAAGGAGAGAAACCTTGGAGGAAATATTATCAATGCAGTCCAGAACATAGTCTGGTTTCCGGGTCTCTTTGTCGCCCTTCATATTCCAAGGGCCTAAAAGAGTATCTGCCGCAGATTCGTTGTACAGTTCATCCCGGCAGTCAAAGCGCACCCATGGTACTATTTGCTCCAGTCGCTTCCGGATACAGTGGACTTTTGGGGTGCCAACGTCCAAGAGGGTAGCAAGTGCATGTCGATTAAGTGATGAAAGGGTGACCTGATCAAAGTCCACGAGACGTATGCGCGATACGCCAGAGCGCGCCAGAGAGGCAGCAGCGTGGGAGCCAACGCCCCCGCATCCCACTATTATTACGAAGGAGGACCGCAGTTTTGTGAGCCCTTCGTTGGTAAGGAAGACGCGGTTGCGGGCAAGTTGTTCGAGTATTAAATCTATGAAATACAACAAAAAGATTAGAAAGGCCATCAGTCCTTCTTGAGCCGCAAAACTAACAAGAAAAACTACATACCATCATCGTAGTCCCCACGTTGGGCTCTGCGAGCAAGAGCAGCACCTCGTTTGTCTTCTTTACTCAGCGTCGGGGGCGTTGCTAGTCCGAATTCTGTGAGCTTCAGTTCCTCCGGTCAGTCTGGCAAATATCACAGGGCGCCATAAGCATATCATGTACTTAAACAATTGCAATTTAAAACACCCAAGGCAACCACACCTTCTGAACTGTATCCTGTTCGTCAAAGTCCGGTATCGACGCCTTCAATTTTTTTATTGCGGCTTGTCTCTTCACGGACTGATAGCCAAGGATGGCACCGGCAACTGCAGCGCCTGAGAGAACAGCAGCGCCGGCCAACTGCACATAGGGAGAGTTGGTCTGCCGTTGAATCCAGGCCGACATTGTTTCTCGCTTGTGTGGTGTTTCTTCTTGCTTATGAGTCTGCTCGCCGTCGGAGGATAGCTCTCGTCGCTATCTTCGTAGCCGTTTCCGTTGTAGTAACCTGAATCTGACCGTGATCTCTGGAATCGATCATCCATCGCTATGGGCAGTCAACGAACCCCCTCATCTTGAAATATCTGAAATACGGAAGTGTGAAACCAATTGAATTAATCTCCTCCTTATTTTGCCGTCCGCGAAATGAAGCCTTTTTAATATAGTTTGACCGCATTTCTACCGAATCGCACGGTCATGTGATATTGATTAGATAATTAAAGTCACGTGCTGACCACAAGTCAGACGTTCCAATACTCCTCTCTTCATGTCTTTCTCTCTCCAGGCAACCCGCGATAGGTGAGCATAACCCTTCTTTCAAGCTTGTTGGCTGCTGGTATTTTTCTTGCTGAAGTGAGTAACTATTTTCTATTATTTTTTTCTATTCTCGCGCGTGTCTCAATGATGATACCTCTCACATCGAGCTATCATGAGCTGTGCTTTTTCGCTTCACCGCTTCAACTTCATCCCCTGAGTGTTTTGTTTGATTTAGGTCACAACACCAGGTGGAAGAGGCAGCTACAAGACAGTACAGCAGTGATTGATGATGAACAGAGATCTTAGAGGCATATGTATTTGACTATTATGCTGGTCTACCGTTAGCTGACCTCTTATCAGCGGCTCTTCTAGCAGGGAACTTCAGGAAAGCGTCCTCAGCCTTCCCGCCCGGGGAGCCAGATTAAACTGACCTTTCGATATCGTGCGGAGTTTTCCTGGGTATGAGCCCGGTTGAGGGAGGTACGTTACGTCGCCGATCATTGAACATCACTATCCCCGTACTCCATGATGACAATAAAAAGAGCATACTCCGAGGACGGATTGGACGAAAATTGCCAACCTGTGCTCCGTATGTTTGCCTTTGAGAGGGTAACGACGTTGAGAATTTCCTATGAGGAGTATAAGATTTATTGTAGTTTTCAATCTGATACTGAGAAGAAAGGATTCAATATGCGCCTAGGTGTATGGTAACTTCAGCTGACCGTAACACTCTTGCAGTTCGATTAAGTGTGCACATCAGTTCACCGCTTAACCAAATCGTGACTGTTACTCACAAAATCGTCCCTGCTTCCGATTTAGCGTATCATCGTCCTTTTGAGACCAGACTTAATGTCCTGGGATCACAACGTCTGGCCGAAAACGTTCTGCACCTGTGGTTGACATGACCTTGTGGCGCTGAGATTTTGGGCAGACGAACCGAATGTGGAAAGAAAGTTGACGCGGATTCCATCCTTGTTTCTTGTCATCCTGACGTTTGATGAGAGTGCATTAAATTGCAAGCCAGTTTGCAGCGTGACACGAAATCTTTCTGCCACGCTGGCTTGTATGGCCCTAACCTTTCTTGCCCAATCACAAACCAGGGTGAAAATAGATGACTCTGATGACACAGATGACTTTGAAGAAATAGATTGTGAGCCATTCCGGGACCCTCCGGTTGCTTCCTGTCAAAGAGTGTGAATTTACAGTGCGTTCCAAGGGTAAACGTGCAAATCTCCAGAACGACAGCTGCAACTCTGCGTCGGAGTAACGTAACTCTAATGGAGCGGCATGATCCTCAGGCAGTTGGCGTAATTGGATATACCAGTCGCCAAAAGACAATACTTGAATCTGAAGTACGGCATAAGGAGAACCAAACTGGTACGAAGACCTCGCGGTCGTCGTTCCCCAGCACACTGCAATTGTGAATGGCACATTTTCTGGGTACCCAGACACATTCGTCCCCTTACACGTGGGTTTAGTCGCAGAACTCAAGTTTGGGTTTGGATTTTGGTTGAGAGGATTGAACTGGCGTTAAAACGCTCTGCACGTTGCAATTGCACAGATATATATTACTTGGGTACCTCAGTGCATGTTGCCCCGCTTGCATGTGAGTTTGGTCGACCTGGCCGGCTTGGCCCAACTACCACTCAGACTGTTTCTTCTACCCGAAGAGTTATTACGGTTCTGCTTGAAAAGGTTGCGGCGCCGGCAACAGGGGTTACTGCCTACCTGGCCACAAATGGCACACGCTGGACCCAAAGGGGTGAACGGTTAAGCACTGCAATCGAACTGCCGATGGATTTTATGTGGGCTGTGGGCTTGTGGGCTGTGGGCTTGTGGGTTGTTGGCTTTGTGGGCTATTTGCGCTGTGGGCTAATCGGCAAGACTGCAGTCTTTACCTTTTCTCCCCTTATCCTGTCTTCCTGCGAAGATGGGCGGCGTATTGAAAACTACCAAAAAAAATATCTCCCCCTTCTAAAAAAAAGTTACTGTTGGAAAAATTGCAAAACGAAAAAAGAAAAAGTAAAAGGTTCAATGACGAGATTGACAAAGTGATGTCTTTCAAACATCGGCAAAGTTGCAGGATATCCCGCGGAAAAAAGGCGCTTGCGGTTCATTTTCTCGCGAAAATGTTTTGCTTCACTTTTTTATACTGCATGGAAATCTATGAGAACTTGAGAGCTAATCTGAGAACTTTCACAACTTTCTTTCTTTCTTTCTTTCTTTTTTTTTTTTTTGTACATCTATTATTCTTCAAATCTCCGTCCTTGGTCCCTTCAACATGAACCTCAACAATCCCAATCATTTTAACTGTGGGATGTGCGATCTCGACAAGTCTTTCTAGGCTTAACGCTTCTACCAATGAACATATGTCACCGTCCCCTCTATGCCTTGTATCCTTCTAGCGCTTTTGCTGAGCTCCATGTAACCTGTTTCCATGGTCTTCCGCCAAAAGCTATACCGTGCCAAGGACGATTTCATAGCAATAGATAACTGTAGACGGCGAGTTAAAGCAAGTAGCCGATAATATTCTCAGATGTTGGAAGGCATCCTCTAGATGGAATATCTCCTGCGTAATTTGTAGTTACATGGTATCGTATCAGGGCGTCCTTTTCCTGCACGTATATCCCAAATTGTTGTCCGTTGCGGGAGAGTATACCAAATTTTCCAGGGCATACGAGGAAGTATATTCTTAAAACAAAGCATAACTAACCATTGATAGATATAAAAAGATCTCAATCAAATAGAGATACAAAAATATGAAACACACATTGAAACATATACAAAACATGCATGACAGAGTACATGCATGACAGAGTACATACATACACAACCCCTGAAATTCAACCACGTCAGCCCAAAAACCTTCCCACCCTCCCTCCAATATTCTCCAAATCCAACAGAAACGTATCATGTCCGAAGAGTGATATGTCCTCGCCCAACTCAACATGTTCTACCCGCGAACTGCCCACGGCCTGCAGCGCCTGAGCGATCTCCCGCTGTTGCCATGCTGGGAATAGAATGTCACTGGCCACGCCCATGACGAGGATGGGGTGGTCTTTTAATGGGGAGAGGCCTAGAATGAGGTCTGTGGGGGGGGTCTGCTGGGACATGGCTTGGGAGGCGGATTCAGATTGAGGAATTACCGAGGATTCATTACTGTTTACACCCTGCGACGACGACGACGACGACGACGACAACGACGACGACGACAACGACGACGACGACAACGACGACGACGACGGTGGTGGTGGCGGCGGCGGCGGTTGCTCCTCATACGGCTGCGCAGGCAACGTAAGACTACACGTCGGATCCCTAAGAATCGGCCCAACCTCACCCCCCGCAGCTGCAATGCGCTTCGCCGTCTCCGCCCTCCTCGCCGCCGTAGCCACCTGTTGCTCGCGGCCCAGATCAAACAAGTCCATCGCCTTGGACACATACAGCAAACTGTTCGGATCGTAGTCGAGCGAGAACTTCTCCCCGGCATGGTCGAGGTACGTCTCGATGAGGAAATCCGGGCACAGGGCCGGTTGCTTGCTGGGATCCGCCCGCTTGCGACCAAACCGCTTCTCCCACTCCGGTCCACTGCGATACGTCACCGTCGCAATCTCGCGCGCCAGCTTCACGCCTGAATGCGGCGGGACGGAGTCGTAGTAGAACCCCCGCGCCCACTTGGGGTCCATCATGAGCACTTGGCGCTGGGTGTGGCGCATGGCGATGCTGTACGGGTGGCTGCGCGCGCAGCCGCTAATGGAGACTATTTTGCGCACGCGGTGCGGGAACAGGATGCCTGCAGCGAGCGACTGCATGCCGCCCATGCTGGAGCCGACGGAGGCCGCGAGGGTGGAGATGCCCAGCGAGTCGAGGAGGAGGATTGGGCGCGCACCATGTCTTCGAGGGTGAGGATGGGGAAGCGGGTTGCGTAGCGTTTGCCGTCGGAGGGGTCGATGGATGAAGGCCCCGTGCTGCCGTAGCAGCTGCCTATGACGTTTGTGCAGATGACGAAGTATTTGTCTGTGTCGAGGGGGGCATTGGGGCCGATGAAGCGTTCCCACCAGCCTGGTTTGGGGTTTGCGGGGGTGCTGTGGGCGTGGGAGGAGGCGGAAAGGCCTGTGTGGAGGAGGATGGCGTTGGATTTGTCGCTGTTTAGGGTGCCCCAGGTTTCGTAGGCGATCGTGAATTCGGGGAGGACGCCACCCCAGTCGAGAAGGAGGGGATCGGTGGATTTGAACTTTTCATGGTGGCCGGATGTGTACGAGGGTTCTGGGCCGGAGGTTAGGGATCGTGCGAGGAGAGAGGATGATTTGGCATCTAGGGCGTCAAGGCAGGGGAATGAGAGGGCGGGGTTCGAGGAGCCTTTGGTTTGTGGTCTTTGGGAAGCGTCTCCGTCCGCTGGTACTAAAGTGGAGGGAGAGGAGGAGGCGGAGGTTGTGGCAGTCGCTGCTTGGGCCCTTGGGTGAGTTTGTGCATGGATAGACCGGGCTGTAGCCGGGAGAGAAGCCAGCAACGTGGGGTGATGATAATGTGATGATTTAAGGAGTGTAGATGCCCGCGCGCAGTGATTCTGAGCAATTGTTGGTCTCCATGCAGCAAATCTGGCTGCCGCCAGAGCTCCTCTTGCGCTGACAGCCATGTTGAAAGGAGCAGAAGAAGAGCAGAGAGGCAGGCAGATCTATAACGAGAGGCCGTCCATTTTCTTTCTTCACCCGAATTTCAATGCTTCAATACCGGCAAACATCGCGATCAACTCGAGCATTTACAAACAGTCACCTACTGTAATCGCGCACAAGAGAATGTTTGAAAATGTTGAAAGCGAGGCGAGAATGTGGAGAACTCTGACTAAATCGTAAATAATAATATTCTGCCGCAAGCGAGCGACCTGGCATCCATTGCATCATCTTGCTGGGCCGGTATTGGGGGGAGGGCAAAGGCGGTGAGTGGAAACTGAAACCCAATGTACGTGAATGGGAAAAGATACATATCAAAAGACATAACATAGTTATACATACTCACCTTTAAAATGGAAGATAATTGAGGAAGCAGAGATTCAAGAGGAGCAGTCCATTCAATGTGCATTTTAACGGCTAGGAATTCAGTTGCTGCTGAAAGATTGATGTCTCAACATGCAGATCAACAGCCAGAGTTCAGTTTCATAAAAGAGCATCTTTGATCTCTGGCCTCATTCAATGCAGAGAGAGAGATAGTAAAGCATTCATGAGTGGATGCACGGGATAATCCGGAATCCGGAAACTACCTGCAATGAATAATTAAAATAAAATAAAAAAGCCCGCCAAACCAAGTATCTAACTATCAACGGAGCTAATTCGAAGCGTAGCTTGAAGATCCAAGGTTTTGTCTGATTCGCACGGAACAAAAGTAAGAATAATACTCGCTAATATGTGAAAGATGCATCTGGATGAGTGATTTGTTTTCAATCATAGTTAAGTTTATCTTGCAAGCTTCTTTCTCAATCATTTTCCACTCCGTCACTCACGAAGCATAACTCACTGCCGCACCGACATGTGTGAAATTTGAAACTTCACTGCATTGAATCGATATTCTAGATAATATCTATCGAATCTGACCTGCATGAGATAATGCAAGAAATAGCCGCCCATCCTCTGTATTCCCTATATCCCGTAACTCCAGTAAAACAATGTGTGTGTGTGTGTGTGTGTGTGTGTGTGTGTGTGTGTGTGCGGCAGAGGCTCGAACCCCACTCGATCTGGGCTTATTCACCTCCCGCCAACCAGAAGCTGCCGACCCGCCCAGAGATCTCATGTTGCAGGCGGCCGCTAGGCCAGAAGCAAACTAGCGACGGAGGCAAGCGGCGACTTAGGCGACTGCTAACCCTGGCAATCCATGGATTGCATATTGGAGTATCTATATGAGATTGTGTGTGTGTGTGTGTGTATGTGTGTGTGTGTGTGTGTGTGTGGGGAATACTGTGGATGGGCAGTTGTGCGCATGTGGAGCACAGGTGGGCGGTGGGATTAGGCAGTTCACCTGGCGCGGAGCTCTTTTCCTCCTCCTCCTCCTCCTCTACAACAACGACCAACCTACAGCCATTACTACCCAACCTCTCCTGAATCCCCTTGTCGGACCTCCTCTTTGTTTGTTTCGCCCGTGGAAGAAGTCAAGGCTGACAGCTTCTTCTGGAATATGCCGTCTGTGATGTTTGCTCTAAGCTTCCTGCACCTGACTCAACCACAGATCCCGGCCGAATTACTCCTCCCCTCCCCTCCCCTCTCCTCCCGAGAGCCAACGCTTGCACCCATCAACGCTATGCTCAGCCTATCTTGAGAGGGCATCCAATCCTACCAGCCGATGCTGTGCAAGTGCGTACATATATCATCACCACTATTTAGCTTGGACTGAACCTTGGGATCCAATCTGCCAGCCCCAATAAGCCCAGTTTTCCGGCCACAGGATTTAATTTATATATCCAGCCCCGAATGGTCAACGAGAGCTCCTCCACCGCTCGATTCCAAGCACCATGATCACTTTTCGAAGATCTCTAGTCGTCGCCCTCTTCCTCCTCTCCTGCATCGTCCTCCTCCACTCCTCACACTCCCCCAAACTTCTCAACCCCTCACACACATCTTCAAAACCAATCCCCAATCAAAAACAAATCCAACAAGAAAAGAGCCCATCCTCTGCAGAACTAAACCAACCCCCCACACCCCCTCTCCACTCCACCGACCCCGCCAGTAAACCCCTCCGCGACCGCCTCCGCTACCAATTCCCCTACGACCTCCCCTCCAAATTCCCCGCCTACATCTGGCAAACATGGAAAAACACCCCTGCTTCCCCTGACTTCCTCGAACACTTCCGAGCCAGCGAAGCCTCCTGGACCACAACCCACCCATCCTTCATCCACCAAGTCATAACAGATGACGACATGGACCCTCTCCTCCGCTACCTCTACGCCCCCTTCCCAGAAATCATAGAAACATACCGTTCCCTGCCCCTCCCCGTGCTCAAAGCAGATTTCTTCCGCTACCTCATCCTCCTCGCCCGCGGCGGCATATATAGCGATATAGACACCTACGTCCTCAAGCCCGCCGACCAATGGCTGCCCCAGCACATCAACAGGTCCACCGTCGGCCTCGTAGTGGGCATAGAAGCCGATACGGACCGCGAGGACTGGGCGCAATGGTTCTCGCGCCGCCTGCAGTTCTGCCAGTGGACTATTCAAGCCAAGCCGGGCCACCCTGTACTCCGCGACGTGGTCGCCACGATAACAGAGGATGCGCTGCGGATGAAGGCGGCAGGGATCCTGATCAAGGGTATGATGGATAAGTCGGTTATGGAGTTTACGGGGCCGGCGGTGTGGACGGATGCGATCTTTCGGTATTTTAATAACCCGCTTTATTTTGAGACGGCGCGGCCGCCTACGGGAAGGAATTTGACTGCGCAGGACTTTTCGGGCGTGAAGGAGCACAGGCAGTTGGGGGATGTGGTTGTCTTGCCGATCACGAGCTTTAGTCCTGGTATTGGGCATATGGGGGCTGGGGACGCGGATGATCCTATGGCGTTTGTTAAACATCAATTTTCAGGTGTGTATATATACCTTGTCTCTCTCTCTCTCTCTCTCTCTCTCTCTCTCTCTCTCTCTCTCTTCTTTACTTTTCTTTTTTCTATTTATTTATTTATTTATTTATTTATTTTTTGGAAGTCACCCCCATTTGCAGTAGCCCGTTCTAACATAAATCTCAGGATCCTGGAAGGCCGAAGAGGCGGGCCGCCCAGCACCCGTTATTCTCGAGGAATAGGACTGCGTAATCCCGGAAACAATGTTACACTTACCCGCTGCACAAGCGCAAAATACCCTGCTTCTCCATTCTACCTATTGTTTCTCCCTTGGGAATCACACCATCATTGACGTCATCCTACCCTTGAGTCCTTCGAGGCAAATGAGGAAAAGATACCAACCAGCCAGCTACATCTAACCATGTGGGGACTGTATACAGAACAGTCTGGCATAAAATTTTTAACCCTTCCCTGTCTCTCCTCAAACTCTCTGCCTCCCTTCTCCCTTCTTCCTTTTTCGCTCCACATATAATCCACCGCTCAGCCTCTCACCAGACCCAATTCCACCTCCGCCCACCTCCGCCCACACCCCGGCACCGCATCAATCCCCGCAGCAGAGGAAGGATGAGCCAGCAGAAGAAAAATCTGCAACTTCATTTGCCCTTTTTCGAAGAAAAACCCACCCGCCTGCATTTTCACCTGCATCTTCATTCCCATTTACCTTATCTGTCCGCCTGTATATAAAAATTATATAGAAATGGAGGGGGAGTTCTTTCAGGGCTAGGCTTCCGTCTTACTTGGTTGGTTGGAGACTTGTGGAGTTAATTGTGTTTCGTATATTTTCATTTTTGTGTCTTCTCCTTTTTTTTCTGCACAGGGTTGTGGCAAATCATTCATTGATTTTGTATTGCAGATCTCCTTTGGCATCTGTTATGTATATTGATGAATAAAATATATAGTTGAGATGAGTTTGTTCTTACCATCATTGAGAAGATAAACTAGATTGAAGACATATATATATAAAGGAAGAAGAAGGAAAGAAATATCAGGATCATTTAATGCTTTATATATACTCAGCTAGGTTTACTATCTGATGTGCTGTTTTCTCTGCCATGACCTCATATATTAGGGTGGAAAAGGATGTTAGGCATAGAGTAGTTTGTGTCAATCAAACAACAAATGTTTCATAGTTTACTCATGCTGAAGATGGTATCTGATCATTTAATCTTTGTTTTTATCCTCATTCACTCAACTGATATGTCAGAGAAGTAAAACTGAATTGTTCACTGTGAGTTCTGAAACTGTGCACAAATAGTTCAACTGCAGTAAACACCAAGGATAAAATTACTCATAATAAACATACCATTTTTCCACCTTCTCTCAGACATCTATTTTTCAATTTCATCTCCGTTTTTCATTCCACTGATTAGATTCTCCATATGATGATGTGACACTTAGCCAGAAGCTGAAACTGATGGTTTTCTGTAGCCATTTTACTACACCTGCTAACAGACACTTATTTAAAAGGAGGGCTTACCGTCCTCCTCGAAAACAAAATAAACAGCATATCATAGGATCCATTGCCTCGATTTTTACGTTCTGGGTCGGCGCCGTGTTCATTCTCAGCAAATCTCCTTCACCCGAATAATCGATGCTAGTATTCAAAAAGACAGGTTGCAGAAGCAACCTGCGAAAGCCCCTTTCTCACGAGAAGCAGAATGCTGAAAGCCCTCTCGTTAGAAATTATTCCTTCAATGAGCTAGCTTCCTGAGATGGAGAAAAGCTCTCCCTATTTACTCAATTTCCAGAGCCTCATCTCTCCTGCACACAGCACAGCACAGCACAGCACAAGCGCACGCGCGCACAAAAAAAAATTGTATCTATCGAACACGGATTTTTTTTTTTTTTTTGAACTCTTGAAGAAAAACTCTCGGCGCGTGTTCCGCCCCTCAACTTCGAGCGAAGTCCAAGGTTTGGGGATGCTCATCGCCCTTAGCCGAAGGCCGATGCACTCGTCGCTCCATCAAGGCTGTCTGTTGTTGCGGGCGACACACAATGCTGGAGCTGAGCAGTTTTCTTCCCTAAGTGAAGAACTTCTGAAGCAGATTTTATGCTTGGGATATAGTCGACTGACTTCCCACTGGGAGCTCTAGTTGCACATGCATGACAGCCGCTCTATTTAGAGCGGTGCTTCAAATCGGACGGGAGTCGTTCCATGGGTATTTTTTAACAAATATCCGCGGTGTGCATACATACATACATACATACATACATACATACATACATGCACCTAGCTATTAGGAGTCCTTCCGCATATCAACGGTTGGGGCAGGAATAGAGTTCTGATTGGATATTGTGCATATCTGAGATACCTCCAGACAGCTAGTTACCTTCAAAAACAACACATGTAACATTCAATCCGAAAATTAGGAACCCCCCTTCAAAAATCCGCAAACATAGCATCATGCTTCTCTCTCATCTCCTTCGTATAAGGCGTAAGCAACGACGAATCCGGCTCGTCCGGGTATTCCTCAAAATTACCCGTGTCGGTCGGTGAATCCACCCTGGGGACTATAGGCCCCTTGGTCCGCCGAAAATAAATGTCATCCCAATTAATATCCTTGAAAAACGGGTGCTGCTTCACTCGCGCAGCACCACCTTTGATGTACCCTAGCCGCTCCGAGGGGTTCGTCGTGCATAGCTGGGTCACAATATCGCGGGCGGTGGAGGGCATGTTTACGGGGAACCGCAGACGTCCCTGAACGATCTGCTCGTATATGCACATGGGATTCTGGTCCCAGAATGGTGGCTGTCCGACTATGAACTCATATATAAGGACGCCTAGAGCCCACCAGTCAACCGCTAGGCCGTGGCCCTTGTTGTGGATGACTTCTGGTGCGAGATATTCCGGGGTGCCGCAGAGGGTATATGTTTCTCTGCTCCAGAGTTGTTTGGCGAAGCCGAAGTCGACGAGTTTGAGGTGGCCCTCTGCGTCTAGGAGGATGTTTTCGGGCTTGAGGTCACGGTATACGACGCCGTGGACTTCGTGGAGGAATTCGAGGATTAGGACGATTTCGGCGGCGTAGAATTGGGAGGTTCGTTCGCTGAAGCGGTGGGCGCGGCGGAGGAATGTGAAGACTTCGCCGCCAGGGCAGTAGTCTAGCTGTTTGTATGTTAGGCGTTGCGGATGGGTGTGTGGATATTCTGGAGACCTATTGTATCTTCCTGTGGAAATAAGACTTACCAACATGTATAAATTTTGATCGTCGGAGAATGTGGAAATAAGGGAAATAATAAACGGGTGGCCAGAAACCGCAGCAAGGGTTCTGACTTCATTCCGCACATGCTCAACCTGTTTTAGTTTGATGACTGCCAATCGAGTGAAAAACACGAATCAGTAAAGCAGAGACAGCCGTTAAAGAGAAGGGAGATCTCTACACACCATCCGCCTTGTGCAAAATCTTAATCGCATATACTCCATCCTGACCTTCTTTCCTCTTCACCAACCGAGCCAGCCAAACTCGAGCAAATGTACCTATTTAGTTTTCAATTATGACCATATCAACATCCATCATCCATATAAACAAAGGGGAGACCAGCTTACCTGTCCCTACAGTTTCGAGAAGGTCAAAATCATCAATGTTCAATCGCTCCGCAGGTAGCCGTTGTCTAATCCTCTCCCGATTCTCAAGGTTGTCTTGCGGGGTTTCCGGGCGCGATGCGGGACAGGCCAGGTCCAGGCCCAGGCTCAGATCCAGACTCAGATCCAGACTATTTGGCTTCTCACCGTTACTCTTCTTCTGGGGATGTTGGTGGTGGTGGTGGTGGTGGTTTTGCTGCTTCTTCTTATTTACCGTGTCGATATCGCGCGTTGACTCGGCGGGTACATCAATCTCTGGACGGTAGGATGTTGATGACTGCCCTTGTATCGTTTCCGCGGCCATCAGGAAAGGCGAGGGGTCCTGGATGGCCCGGGGAGGCTAGACCCTGACTTTTGTAAGCTAAGCGAAGCCGACCTATCCCTAACCTGGCACTTGGCTCGACTGCCGGCGGAAAAGTTGAGCAGCGAAAACCACGGATGAAGAGGGTGAGGGAGGGGGAGGCAAGTGGGTGGACGTTTGGGGGAGGGGTGGAATTCAAATCGGCGATGGGAGTAAATGGAAACGGCGCAGAGGGATGGCGGATGATATGGTCGCCATTGACTGAGTCTGTGGCAAAGGGTGATTTTAGGGGAGAAAGATTAAGGGGCTTTATTCAGAGGGGCTGTATGAGATGAGATACAACGGTGATGACGATGTGTAAATATATGTGGATGCAGCTCACAGGACAATTACAGTGCGGGGATGAATGAATTGATGGGCGTTTGAAGCTTTTGCAGGGGGGAGTAACCAACGATTCGAGCGCTGTTGATGTTGCTATGATGATAGGCGGGGCTGGCGGCGAGGGAGAGAGCTGGGGTGCCAAGAAGGGTCGAGGATCCACGCAAAACCAACAACAGCTGGGTACATGTACCTGGGAGCCCGAAGGGGGGGGGAGGGGGGGGATCGGGATTTAGCCTGGCACAGTAGGGGTGTGTTTTATGGACTCGATACTCTTCTAGTTTGGGATAATTCTAATAGCTATCCTGCTTCTGCTGACGTGGAAAATACACTGGGTAAAGAAAGGGAAAATCGCATTCAACAAACCGTTTCCAACCTCAACAATTCTAGGATCAATTCCAAGGTCCTCTCTTTTATTGTCGTGTTATCCATGAGCGTATACATATATTATATCAGGATAGCAATCCCAGCAAAGAGGCAAAAATCAGAAATGCTCCGTCTCAGAAATCATGCGTGCCCAAAGAACAAACACAGAAAAAATTAAATGTCCATCGCTTCACTAACTAAGCCTTCGAGTTCAAGATCAACCCGACAATCAACCTGTTTCGAAATATTATGTAGTTGGTCAGTTTGCATCCATGCCGTCTCGTTTAAAAAGGAGGGGACTGCCTGTATGAGAAGAGGGAGTCGGACGGCGAGGAGAGCCATACCCGTAGAGACCCAATACTTCACCAAAAATCAATATCAACACCATCCCGACGAAAACCCGCGACTGCTGCATGTATGATCGCACGCCCTGAGAAGATACCATTCTATGTTAGATATCATATACGTGGTAAGCTGGAGAAAGGAGGCCAACAAAGGGTCGCCCTCTTTGAAACACCACGACTGACCATATCACCAACTAAGCCAATGGTATATCCGGCCGAGAGTCCCGCTAGACCAACGGATAGCCCTGCTGCGAGGTGCATGGCGCCGCTATTTACCACAAGTTCAACGCGGTCAGTTATGTGGAGGACACATATATAGAACAAAAAAGCGGCGTACTAGGGGGCGGCGAATAGAGTGTTGACGATATACATACGAGAACAGGCTATATGTCTTCTGCGGCGGAGGAGCCAGGTCACCCGCAATAAGCACTGCGACGACCAGGCCGTAGACGGCAATGATACCCGCCATGACCACGGGAATTAAAGACTAGCAACAGCAACAGGCACGCACGCACGCACACACACACGCTCGCGCGCGCGTTCCACACCCGTTAGCAAAATACGGCAAATGAATAGACAGCTCTAGCTGACTGGCTAGGCTGGTCGCAGTTAAACCAAATATCAACCATACCTTCATCATGAGATCTGGTCGAAAGGTTCCGACTCCCGCGATGCCGATGCCTGCTTTCGCGGTTCCGTATGCGGCTCCTATTGCTGTATCGCGGTTCAAGTCTTATGAGTCCGAATCCAAGCTCGCGTTCGTGCATGTGGTTTGACTCAGGATATCTAGTTGGCATGGGGGCGGGTTGAATGGAGGGGGGGGGGGGGGAGGTGTTTGTGGGTTTCCCTGTGACATACATCCAAAGATCATCTTTGAGATTTCGTCAGCGCTGGTTTTCTCGAGTGTTTGTCCGTTGTCTGGGGAGAGGACGGTGGATGAATGGTGGTTGCAGAACTGGATATGGTTGAACTCACTGCTGAAGCAATGCCTGCCTATATATATAAATATATTGGTTAGTCTAGCAAATTCTATGGCGGTGGGGGTATGAGCCAGGGAGATTATTGCGTCCTTACCATTCCGAAGAATGGGGCGAACTTGGGCGCAAGCTCGCTGTCCGCCATTGTGACGAAGATCAGTTAGGACCTCCAGAGGTAAATATTCATTTGTTCGATTGTCGTCGTCACAGCTTTTTACCTCTCACTCTTACAGACTGCAAGAGGAAGGTAATGAAGTGGGTTTGTACGGCTTGTGTGTTGGATGGTAAGCCACAGGCCTTTCAACAGAAGAGTTGAGTTGATAAGTTGTAGTCGACATAATCCACCAATCAACACACGTCGCCAGTCAACGCATACTTCTACCAACTTCTCAACTAATTTACAAAATTCACGAATTTCTCTACAATGCTTTATTATATTCAAATATTATAAAGATTATTATATGTCGGATGGACTGAATACTGTATTAAAATATATTACCAATTCAAAAATTATGATGGCAGCTTAATAGTCCAACTAGAATATAAGAATTATAAAAGTGAAAATGAAAAATTGAGAAAGCTGTGAAAAAAATTATCTGTGAAAAAAATCTTGAAGAATTCACTATCAAATGTATATTGAATTGTTATCAGATGAATAAGAATCATCACAATTAGTTTTGTTATTAGATTTTTCACTTCACAAGAGCTTTGTAAATAAGTTAATAATTAGTAGCTAATCAGTTGCTTTCAATGTTTAAAAGTATCAGAAACTTGCTTAAAAAACTTGTTGAGTTATTTTGCTTCTTGAGCATGTTAAGTAGCTAATTTGTTAGTAATAGTTTCAGTCTTCGCATTTTTATATTACTATATAATAAACTAGTAAATATTATATTGAAATTTATTTATTTTTATTTTAATAAATATAATTTATCACTAAATATATTAAATTATTAAATATATTATTTTATATTTTATATTTAATAAGTTATATAATTATATATCTATTATTTAAAAATATTTATAATAAATATATAAATTTATTTCTTAAAATTTTTAATAGTTTTTAATAGTATAATTAATTATATTATATTTATTACAATATAATATTTATTTCTTAAATAAATAATTTAATTTACTTATTTTTCCTATATAATTTAATCAATTACTTAAATTATAATTATTATTTTAAGATATGAAAGCTTTATTTTAAACTATAAATATATAAATTTACTTTTTTATATTTTTTTTAAATTATAACTTCTAGTTATTTTTTATTAAAATAGTAATATTATATATAATTAATTAAGTATTTGATTAATTAAATTAAATAATTTATTTATATATTATTTGATTTTATTTAATATTTTAATTATTTTATATTTTTATATATTTAAAAAAATTAAGATTTATATTTTTAAATCTATTTTCAATAGTAAATTTTTTATATATTTTTTTTATCTTTAAATTAAATTTTTAAATTTTTTTAATAAATATAATTAATTTTTAATCTTATTTAATTTTTAACTTTTTATTTATATACTTATTTTAATAATTTAAAATAGTTTATATCTAGTAATTACAATATATAAGATGAATAAATTCATATATAAAAAAGTTAATAGTTTATTTTTATTATATTAAATTTATTAAAAATATATAAAAATATATTTTTAATTATTTATATTTTTAAATATTTAAAATTTTTCTTTAGTTTTAAAATATAAGTTTATCTATTTTCTTAACTAGTTAAGTTTACTTATTCAATTTTCTATTAATTAATTTATATAAAAATACTGTTAACTCTATATTTTAGTTATTATTTTTATATATAATAATATAAGTAATTTTCAGTTTATAAATATATAAATAAAAAAGTTTTACTCTTATTATTATAAAGATTTTATTACTAAAAATTATTTTATTATATATAAAAAATAAGCTTAAATTAATTTATGCATAATTATAAAACTTTAAATATAATTTTTAAAATTTAAATTATTTCTTCTATAACTTTATTTATTTTAAATATTTTATAATAAAAATCTATATTTAATTCTCAGTATATATATTCTTATATAATATTAATAAATTGAATATTACAATCAGAGATAATTAATTAAAAAATATTATAAATTTAATAAAATAAAATTTATATAAAAAATATTAATAATTACTTTAATATTTATTTTCTAATAAAATTTAATAATTACTTTCTTACTTAAATAATTTATAATAATTATAATATTCTTAAAGTTTTTACTTAAAGATGATTTGATAAAAGTTAATAATTAAGTCTTTTTAAATATAACTAAAAATAATTAAAAACTTTAATATATTTATTTAATACTATCTTTAAACAGTAACTAATTTATAAATATGATAGTTATATATGAAATATCTGATAATATTTAATATATTTAATTAAAAAAATTTTTAATTTATAATTTTATATATAATTTTTAATCTGAATATTTTTCAAGTATTAATTAATTTATCTTCTAATAAATATATATTTATAAAGATTTATAGTTGAATTTATTATCTTTCATCAAAGTAGAACTTCTTTGACTATCAAATATATACTTAAAGATAGATATATATATATTAAAATAAATAAAAATTTAAACTTTTAAAATAAACAGTATTAATCAATCAGATTAAAGTATTATTAGCTCAATAAATCTAATTTCAATAATTTTCAAAATTTAAACTATAGAGATCTTCTTTTATATAGTTAACTATTATGACTTTTATATTATTATAAGTTTCTGGGAGATTTCAAATAAGTGATGAGTTTAGCAGATGTACTTTATTATAATTTTTTCAGCAGAGATATATTTTGTTCTTTAGCATATTCTGTTCTTATCAGAATAGAGTATCAGTAAGTTTGATTTGTATGTCTGAATAGCATTGAATAACATAGTTGAATCAGCTGAGAAATTCAGATCAACAGACTTATCATTCAGAAAGCCTGTGAGTAATTATGAAGTACTCTAAATTCCTTATCCATGATTGACGACTCCAACACAACACAGTCGCAAGCCCGCGATACGCAATTGCTCAATCTTATGGCGCATTCGGGGACTGTCACGGAAGCTTTATCGAACATGCAGGAGCAGATGGATGGACCTTAAGCCGTTGTTCACCAACTCTGCCGGATTTATTTCTAATCCCGAGTGTTTATCTAGAGGTTACTAACTATGCAAGCTAAATATCAGTTTTAATTAATACTGTGACATAACTCTCCCTGTAGGCAGCACCTACGACATTTCTATTGAGCGAGCATTTAACCGAAATTCTACGCTAAGTTGTATGAGACCGTATGAATCTACAATCTTCAGTGTCTTTCAAGAGGGGAATATTCCAACCATGGTGACTCTTTTGCAAAACGGACAAGCCTCTATCCATGAACCATACGGCGCATACTGTTTCCTCATGGGGAGGAAGGACTTATCGTTGGAACACCGCAAGACCCAAAAAGGCTATATAATCCTATTATTATTAAGGCGTATGATGATGCGATCACGCTGATTGAAACGGAAGAGATGTGTTATAGTAAATAAGCATCGTATATATTAGCCAGCTCAATGCATACTGTTTAATATACCACTCGTTTCGTATTACACGCGTGGCGGCCGCTGTAATTATTAGGTCCACTTCTTAGATAAATAGTAGAAAACAAATAAATAAGAGAGAAAAGAGCAGACCAAATGAGATACAAAGAAAACTCATTGTATAGCAATAGCATAATTGATATGCAAATCGCGGGCCCTCACTAACCATCAACCGATTTGTGTGCATGAAGTTAAAGTGCGCTCTCAGGAGATTAAGCTTGGATCATTCATATGGTTTGCACCAATGATTGGAGCTTCTTCGCATACTACACGTGATTTTCTGAAGTTGAACCAAAGTCGGTTGCTAAGTTACTATATTGACACGGAAGCTAAGAAATCAAAAAAAAAAAACCAAGTTAAGAAATTCGCAACTACGAGCGTCCAGGATGTTTCACGTATTCACTCATGCCAGTCCTCCCTCGTTTTATCTGCTGAGTCCTGTACTACGTCACCTTGGGCTTCTAAAGGGCTGTCAAAGCGTTCTCATTTCCTATTTACCCTATTGTGAGTCTCTCTAACAAACATCCTGCTGACTCGCAATGTCAGCGCACCTGTCAGCAGTAGAGCGGGCAGGACTCTTTTGCATGCCATGGTTCTCTCGTTCGACATCGCCGGGGCAAGATGGGTTCAGTCAAGCGGGCGTCGCGAAAATCAAAAAGGAGAGGTCTGAGCGTGTTTTTGGGAATATGGTTTGGGGAAATGTCCCAGAATTCCTCAGTCCTTGCCCTGGAAATGTGGGTGCCGTCGGCACCAGGATAATAATAGTGACGACGAAGAAAAAGTTAAGGGCCTATCGAAATGAAGAAACCTAACCTAGAAATCAAACAAAGGAAAACAAAGGAGAACAAAGAGAATAAACGATGAGAGAGACAAAAAGATATGGGCAAAGGAAAGTCGTCGCCCTACAACTGAAATCTATACACCAAAAAAGGGCTGCCATCACAGATTAGTTGGGGAAGCACGACAGAAACTATGGTGAGACCCTGATTGCTCCCCTCCGGCCCACTTTGACTAGCATATTCCACTAAAAAGGAAGACCTATTGGTGATAAAATTTAAAGATTTCTTGAATAAAGGGTGGGGAAGTTGGCCAACTCGGTGATCGCTTACGTTAACGTAACCAATCACTCAACTGGCCAGATCACTCAACTGGCCACCTCCCCACTGTACATTAAACAAATCTTTAAATTCCGCCACCACTATATTAAATTATCCATTAAAAAATTATATACAATTAAATCCTAGCTCTGCAAGCATCCAGGGGCCCTATGTCCAGTATTCCCACACTTGCTGCAGCGTGCCGGTGCTCGCTTTTTAGTGGGTTGATTTGAATCCTCCACCCCTCTATCCACCATCTGCTGAGCAGCCTGAGCAGTCTGAGCTCTAGCTAATCCTTCTTCTCCAGTCAGAATTCCTTCCTGACCTATGTAAACACGGCCTTGTCCTCGCTTGCGTTTCTGCTTCTCATTTGCAGCTCGTAAAGCCTTGTTCTCTTGAGCCAAAAGAGCACCCCCATGCATAGCTAGTTGGCACCCCCGAACTAGTTGATCTAGAGCTTGGTTGGTAGGACTAGGCGGGCTTTGCGTACGATGCTTGATAAACTGCTTGAGCTTGTTGAATTGGCGTTCCAATTGGACAGCATTTCAGGGAGTCTTTGGGGTCCAGGAGGCCTGAGATTCATGAGATGTGCCTGGGGGACTTGGTGTATGCAGTTGATAATATAGGCGTTCAAGAACCTCCTCTGCATTGAATGGCACTAAGCCTGTGGCTCTGAATCCATTCTTAATAGTCATATTCTTCAATGCCTCCTTCCTAGCAGCAGAATATAGTTCTAGGAATTCCTCCTTATCCACATGATTAATGCCAAGCCTCATGCCAGATTCAACCTGCTTGCAATATGCCTTCTTCAGGGGGGCAAAGCAGCTCACATCTAGTGGCTGCAGCAGATGGGAAGAATGAGGTGGCATATAGAGAGCTATAATAGCATTCTCTCTGCAGAATTGGTCAAATTCAGCAGTGGCATGGCTCCCATGCCCATCCAGAATCAAGAGTCTATATCTTCCAACTGCATAAGCCTGAGTATGCTTGTTAAACACCTCTTTCAGCCATATTAGACCAAGCTGATCAGTGGTCCAGTCATTCTCACTAACCCCAATTACCCAATCTGCTGGCAGGTTTGTATACCATGAAGCCTGGTGTAGCTTGCCCTTGAGAATAATCATTGGAGGCAGGCTCCGTCCTCTTGCATTGACTGACTCAATCACAGTCACCCATTCCCTATTTCCTGGCTGTATAAGAGATGCCTTTCCAGCTCTTTCTGACCTAGTGACCACTAAGGTTGTTGAAATAACCCCCATAAGAAAGCCAACTTCATCAAAATTATATGTATCCTCAGGTAGAATTCCATACTTCTTCATGGCATTATCCACCATTCTAAACCACCTCTTTATAATCTCTGGATCTTCACATAGAGCTCGCTGGTGATCATATCTGCGTGTGAGCCTGGTCTTCAGCTCAGAATGGCGTTTAATAAATCTCCGCACCCAGCATTCTCCAATGCTAGGGGATATGCTAGATCCACGGGCCCTGAGTAGCTCAATGGCCATATATCATACACTTGCAATTCGGGGGGGGTAGGCCTCTCTCATCCATGGAGATTATCCATTGAACTAGAGCTTCTTCTTCTGTAGGTGTCAATTTCTGGCGTTGAGACTGGGATTTCACGCGTGGAATGCCTCCATGTAGTCGATTGGATAGGGTGGCACAAGAGACACCATAGGCCTTAGCAGCAGCTCAAATGCTAGAAATTTGCTTGGTTTCATAGGCTCTAATGGCCAAAAGAAGTTTTCCTTCCTGATTAGAGGCTTGAATTTTCATTGTGGTTGAGAAATTGAGCTTTGATTGTTGATGATGGGTTGAAATTGGAAAGGTGGCCAGTTGAGTGATCTGGCCAGTTGAGTGATCGATTACGTTAAGATTATGCATTAAGTAATACTACCAAGAACGGAGTTCCCGACTGTCAACGCTAAGAGATTTGGCACCCGAAATATTAAACATGTTTCAAATATTAGTGCGACGCGTTCCTGGGGTTTTTACCCCAACCACCCCGGTGGCAGAATTTGCTACATTATGGGTGCTCTCTGAACAACAGACGAGGTTATAGCCGCATCATGTTTGAGAACCCCGCTGTCTTCTGGCGCATGCATATGATGCTCCTCGGATCCACCGGTGGCCTTTGTTATTTTTCATTCTTGTGTGATCATGAAATCATTGCCTTGATTTCCTCTGTGACTCATGACTGTCCGAAGGGTTTTTATCGCGAGGGCCGACCACTTCATCCGGTCTTGATCTGCCTAGAACCCAAGAGGGCCATGAACATCTGAGATGGATATAAGAGGTTGCTCATACCCCTAGGATCTCAATTCTTCTTCTTCCGAACTCAAAGACTCTACCTTTTGATCTTCGTGCATAACTTGTTCGAATCCTTTCATTGGCTCTTTCACTACCGCAAGATTCACTCGCAACATGTTTCGTCCTCCTGCTGCCGTTGGCATGAGATATGCTGGATTGGGCTTGACAAGTTCGAGAACTGACGCTGGTGCCGAGTTTGGCAATACAGTGGAGGCTGCTAGTAAGGCAGTCGAGCAAAAGGTGAAAAGGCTGTAGACCTTGTCTGATTTGAAGATGCTGACATGGTCTTCCTGTTAACTGCCTGTTGCCACTGAAGCGCAAATTCATTGCGTTCCGTGACAAAACTCCATTTCCGAACATTTGAGATCCGACCCGCACCCCAGAGGCACTCGGTCGCGTCGTTCCTCCAGAGATCCTTCTGACATGAAGTCATCACTGTCTCATTCCACGATGACAAGGGGGTTAGACTTTTATCAATTCATGATTCTAGGCTTGGGGGAAAAGGCTGAGCCTTATAGGAGGAAAGAGAAGCAGAGAAGAGAATAGCTTTGTAGGGAGAACGTATATAATTGCCCTCAGCGACAAGGTTGAGTTAATAAAATCCAAAGGCCAGGATATTTATACCAAGGATGTACAAAGGCGTCTCGGGCTAGTTAAACGATGCAGCTAGCTGCACACAGGCAAAGGAGAGGGATGGTGTGGAATATCATTATTCCGTTGACCAGCCAGCAGCCAGCCACCGTTATGGGCTGCCCCTATTAGGCTTCTCAAATCCAGCACTAAATCCTCCATCTCCTTTCTTGTCGTACTGACGATTAAAGTGTCCGGTCCCATGTGTAGTCGATGGACGACGCAATCATCCTTGCACAAAACCCAGCAATGTATTGATTAGTTAGTTAACATTTGGAAGTCTTCGTTAATTCATCATGCCGAGAACCCGCCGTCTACTCCGCGAGGAAATCACGTACTCCAGCGCGAAGGGACGCGAGGTCAATATCCTTCTTCGGCTAGGCTACTATGACCAACAAACCCGCTTCTTCAATCAGCTAAATGAGAACCGCGATTGGATTAAATCCATTGTCGTTCATCATCTAGGACTAGGTGTAAGATCAGTCGACTCGTGTCGCGTGGCTGAAGTTGAGGACTGGTTCCATGGAAGCTTCAACGTCTGTGTTCCAGTCACTATCGAAGAGGAGACCCGGAAACGGAAGAAACAACAACGAAGCCGGCATGTGCTTCTTCGACTCCCTCTTCCGTATCGTATTGGGGAAGCCTTTCGACCCGGAAATGGTGATGAGAAAGTCCGTTGTGAAGCTGGAACCTATGCATGGCTACAAGAAAACTGTCCAGATGTACCAATTCCGCACATGTATGGTTTTGCCATGTCTACAGGCGAAACTGTACGTTCTCTCACTACATTCTATTCAAGTGTTGACTATCTGACCTAGTCCAGTTCACGCGTCTCGAACATCTGCCCTTCATATCCCGATGTTTTCAGTCCATCCGCCGTCGATTGCTCTCGTGGTTGAGATTTCCAGTTCCTTCCTACTACATCCGTCATCAAGGAGGAGCCCACAATGCGATTGGTGCTGGTTATCTGGTAATTGAATACATCGATAAAACGCAGGGAAGGATGCTCTCAAGCACATGGTTTGAGAAAAATCAGCATGATGTCAAGCTGCGTACTAACTTCTTTCGTGATCTGTCTCGCATCTTGCTAAGCATGAGTCGAATACCATTACCCCAGATCGGCTCCTTTATTATTGATGATGACGGGTTTCTGCATTTGGCAAATCGACCATTGTCAGTCGAGATTGCAGAACTTGAGAATGATGAAATTCCGACTCACATACCCCGAGATTATACCTACTCCACGACTGACTCTTATATCGTGGATACACTTGCATTTCATGATAGCCGCCTACAAAACCAGCCAAATGCAGTAAAGAGTCTTGGTGATACTATTTCTCAAATGGCTGCTCTGACCGCCATGCGATCCACCTTTCCACTGTTTTTTCAGCGAGATCTCCGCCGCGGCCCTTTTATTTTCCACTTTACCGATCTTCACCAGAGCAATATCTTGGTTGATGAAGACTGGCATATCACATGTCTAATTGATCTGGAGTGGGCTTGCTCTCATCCAATTGAGATGATTGCACCCCCATACTGGTTGTCAGGCAAGCGGATGGATGAAGTAGACCCAGACAATTATGATGAAGCTAGAAAAGAGTTTATGAATATTCTGACTGCTGAAGAAGAGACACAAATGCAGGACATTGTTGTCAAAGATACCATGCCACAACTGTCTAAGGTCATGAACCGCTCCTGGAATACTGGCACATTTTGGTATACACTGGCACTTTCTAGTCCTCCAGGTCTCCACAATTTCTTTTATGATAGGATCAAGCCCATATTTTTCAAGCATTCTGATGATGATTTTATATCAATTATGCTTTTTTACTGGGCGAAAGACGGACCGTTGCTGGCATACCGCAAAGTGTCAGATAAGGAAAAGTATGACATTCATCTTCAACAAGAATTTGAAGACCCGTGAGTAAGATATACACATCTTCACATCCAATCTTCTTACCTGCCATCTCATTAGCTACTATACTCTTTGTTTTTTCCTTTACTTTCACATTCCTTCAAGTCTCCACTACCATCTTTCTCCTCTTTTATAAAAAATCCTTGACAGCATCACCAAACCTATTCATAGCACTTTTAGCTCGATTCTCCCTCCTCATATTTTTATATGCTTCAGCCAAAGAGGTGAGGAGTTGAAGTGTTTTGGCATCTGCTTCGACTCCCACAGCGGCTTACAGCGCCAATGTCGATATGTGGAAGAAAATCATCAAGAGGAGAGTATGAACTTGAAAGTTGGTAATCTGGAGTCTTATAGGGCACTACATTTTACATGTGTTCAACCATGTCGACAATGAACAGATATCTTACATATAATTTTTGGCATCTCAAAAAGAATAAGAGGTCTTTGCAATCTATTTTGAAATCAAAAACCTCAATGTGGCTACCTTTGAATAGGAGGCATGTCATATTCAATGAAATATTTCATAGACATACACTAGGTCATATATATACACACTAGATAGCTACGGTCATATTGTCAGACTACTCATTATTTATAGTCTTTTTCCATTCTAACTGCAGATCTCTACACTCTACACCATGCTGCATGAATATAAGAGGATAAATGAGATGTCAAAACCACTTGGCTTACTAGAAATGTTAACATTCAAAATCAGTAGAAATTAAAAAAGTCATTGGAAACCAATGAAAATCCGAAAAAAAAAAAAAAAAAAACTTGTCACTTCATTCTTAGTCTCAAAGTCATCTATCAATATTTGCGCTAATTCTGTTACTGCTTGAAATATAGCTAGTCATTAAAATAATCTGTATTTAATGTGCTATGTGACTTCTTGTCTGTGTGAACATTGTTTTGTGACATTGTCTTGCTTACCACATCATTAGTAACTCTTTGTTGATTGATTGTAGCTCTTGTGTGTATATCTTGCTCTCTTAACTCTCTTCTTCATAACTGACACTATTGCTGAATCTCATACTTCTTATGAATTATCTCTCACATGCTAAGCTCCTGGAGATCTATGCATCACTAAAAAAAAATTTCATTTCAAACTGTCAATGTTTCTGATTATCAATTGAATACCAAATCTTTTTATTTGTTAAAAGATTAAACCATTGGCTCTCAGAAGACCTTGATAGAATAATACAAAAGCTTATCAGTAATAGCTTTAGATTCATATTATGTTTAACATACACTTTCTGTTATATGATCTCTTTGAATATATCACCATAATCATAATTCTCAAATACTCATAGTGGGAAATGCATCTTCAGTACTTCTCAGCTTGATATGATCTAAAGTGATTATGCAGCTCTTCATATATTCATTGATAACATTGCTCAATATTATCTTAAAACTCAGGCTTAGAGATTGCTTCTTCTTCTTCTTCTTCTTCTTCTTCTTCTTCTTGACTTTAAATCACTTTCTCCTGCTGTCTAAAGAGATTCTCAATCAAGATATTGACCAATAGATCAGCCACGTGAGAAAGGTCTTGAACTTCAGTGAGAGATATGTTTATGTTCCCTTGTTCACTGGAAATGACTTTTGATGTGTTGAAAATCACGAGGATAGCAGAATAAAAACATTTTGTTGACAGAAAACAAAAGAGTAGTTACCAACATCTCATCATGTGCTCCAATTCCCCACCCCTCCACATAATAATAATCCTCACCACCAAGAGAACAATGCCTTGCTATGTTATAAGAGTGAAATAGACTGGACAAATCAACTGACCCCAGACCCCGAGCGTGTCGCCAATCAGAGGCCACTTATTAGAGAGAGAACAACATCAACAGGAGGATTATTACTCCGCTGATGATTATTATTAATTGTCCCCTTCTTAGCCTAGTGGCTATGCTGGGCAGAGCTAATTTATCCTGGGCGGAACAGGCAGCCGACTCGATTGATGCCGGCGGCTTGTTTCGATCCCTACAACTATTTTTGGACCCGTTGATCTCCGATGAGCAGGTGACTTTGAATTATTGATTGATTTGGATTCAGCTAGGGGCTCTGTTCGGGATATGCAGAATGCAGCTCCTGTCTCCACCTCCTATATCTATCCGTCTTTGAACCTATTTATTTCCATTGCACCATGAACTTAGCGTCTCGTCACTCTATAGACATTAATTCTTCTCTATATCTCATTGATCCCTCACGCTTGTATGCCATTTCTACGTATTTCTCCTAATTTGTATTTTACTTTTCTTGTCTTCTTAGTTGAGTATTCCCTTACATGCTTCACATAAGGGGGGTTTATTGGGAGCAGATAAGCACTTTGAATATTAGACTATATGTGATACGGTATTTCCCGAAATCAACTTTCATGTGAATACTTCCCAAGTTTGTGGGAAACTGATGACCAAGGATGGGACAAAGGTCCCAGGCAGTAGGGAGTGATCTCAGAGACTGCACGTTAAGGTGTTGCACTGAGCTTTTAGGTTTGAAGGACGTCGAGGAATCATGGGAACTTATCTGAAGATTCTAACCTCCTTGAAAATTTAACATTCGTTGCCGCTGTGGCAAGATAGAACGGTCGCGTTTCATACCCCATATCTGAGGCTGTAATAATTGCATTCTACCGAGCAGAGCATTTCCGATATCTGTAGCCTCCTTTCATTGACCAAACATTTTATATGCAAATCTTAGTAGTATGAACAAAAAGAAAAAAGCCAAGTCAATACAACCGCCCACAGATCCTCCCTCCCTTGCGGCCTATGTAATGCACTTAGTAACCCATTTTTACATGGCTCTGCACGTGCGCCTTGTGTTCCAGTTTGATTCTCGCACCAGCTGCAGGAGATGATCATCCCGGAAATACCTGCCCAGGCCCGCGGGCCGCGAATAGTGATGAATGAGCTGGTGATCTGACGATTCGACCTAAAATTCGCGAAACACCCAAAACCACCCTGAGGCTGCTTCTTCATGTGGCGGATGTGCTTCTCGGAAGCACGGAGCGCACCATCCCACTCCTCAGGGAAAATTTTACCTCGTTGTGCCGTATTTGTTGTTCCTGTCAGGGGGTGTGGGCCGGGGTGGGGCCCTTGGGTCTCCTACCCCGGCACGGCCTCGGGGAACACCACAGTACATCTGAACAGAATCAACACCGGCATCCTGTCGCCTTAAGTCCTCCTCCACTGATCTAAATGTCAGCCAGGTCAGGAGTTTCTGAGAGAAGATAGCTCAGTGCTTGGGAACATCTGTTCCTCCTGCAGCGCGTCCTCGTTGCCTTCTCATCCAACACCTTATCAGAGAGCTGCCATTTAATGTTAACCACAGCTTGCTCGTTATTGAACTCCTCTCCGACTTATTTCCTGTTCTCGTAGAGAAGACAATTTCCTGTTCTCTTAATATGAGTCTTTTACCCTTTAAACTTCCGCTTTAAGGCTGTTAAACCCTATAATACATCGTTTAACTTTAATTACTCTTTTGGATAAATTTTTGCAGCTTTGAATTCTGCTCCATAGGCCTTTTTATATTGCCAGCAGATAATGTGAATATTATTTATTAAGTCTGTAACTGATTTATATGATTATTTATATCTGAGAAAAGTTGAAGTTTTAACTATTAGTTATTACCTATATATAATAGTTCAAAATATGTAAATATTAATATATTTTAATATTATTGATAAAATTTATATAAATTTATATTAATATTTTAGTTTTAAATAATTTATTATCTAATATAAAATTAATTAATATTTATATATTTTTAATTTCAAATAAAAAATATTAAATAATAAAATAAAAACAAATTTATTATATAAATTATATTTAATTATATTTGTTAAAAAAATATAATTAATCTCTATATTAATTTTAGTTATAAATTTATATTATTATCTTAAATATAATATTTAATATATATAATTATTGATTTTTCTATCAAGTGTTATGCATCTACTGTGGCTGTACGGAGTAGTTGTGGCTTGACTGTTACTCAGCTCAAGTGCCAAGGTCAGTGCCAAGGCCCGTCTGTCCTTTGGTCAGTTCCAAACCTCCAGCCAACTCCAAACCTCACTCCGTCGGGGCCGGTGACATCGCAATATCTCATCACTCACCACCTTTCTTCCTCTTCCTCCTCTCAACATACCCTTCTCCTTCCCTCCCATCCTCTCTTCTACCCTTCGACTCTCTACCCTTCTCACCCTCATCGCTGTCTTGGATTCCTAATTGCTCTGTGAGCTCTGTCATTCTTTCTTTCACTTTGCGGTTCCTGCCAGCCATGTGGGTGTGTGGGCTATGACCCTCTCGGTTCTTTGCTGTGGTTGCGTCCCACCTCTGTTCCCCTCCCCTTTCTCCCCTCCCACTTCACATATAACACGCACATAAATATATTTAACTAGGTATATATTTGTCTTCGGTCTCTACCTCGTTCTGACTTCTGGGAGGACTCCTTTATCCCCTGTCCCCGTGTCCACGTCAATATTAGATCTCTGATCCTCCCCCTAGTTAAACTCCGTCTTGGGACCCTCCGTGTGTGCCTTGTCCTCAGTATCATCCTAGTTCCCTTCTCCTGCCGTATCCTGTCCTTCTTCTTCTATTTTCTTCTTTGTTTCTTTTTCTTTTTCTTCTTCTTTTTCTTCTTCTTTTCGAAACGAAGGAGGCTAGTGGTACTGGGGCCATGGCGGATTTAGGTGCTCAGCAAGGTCGTAATTACCGACCAAACCCCTATGGGCATTCATCCTCGTTCCAGCGGGATGCCGCTTTCTCGGAGATTTTTGGAGGGAACCCTTCGGGCCGTTCGCAGACAATGACTTCGCAGACTCCTACATTCGCTCAGGATCGGGCACAGTCCATGTCCTCCCATAATGCTGAACCCTTTATGCATCCTCGAGCCGGCCCTCCCCACCAAGCGCCATTGCCCACGCGTCAGCCCTCTAACGGATACGGTCCTCCCCCCCCGAATGGTTATCAGAACCCCCCCCAGCAATGGCACCCAAATGTTCCCTCCTACCATTCCCAACCACCGCCTCAAAATCTTCCTCGCCCTTACCCTGGTCGCCCTCAATATCCTCAACCCCAGCGGCTGGATTCAAGACCCGGACCAATGCAACCGCCTTATCCCAACAAGGGCCCAGGTCGCCCTTCCCCTCCCCCGGCTTTGAACTCGGATCAATATAGGTCCCGCTCCATGGCTAGAATGGGTGGCCCGCCGATGTACCAACAACCTCACCCAAGCAACTTCAACCATACGTCGGCAAACGCGTTCCGACAGCAGCCATACCATCACGCAGGGTCCATGACACCACAAGGTCGGATCGTCCCGGAGAGGCATGATAATGAACGGTCTATGTCCATGAGTTCCTATAATTCGAATCATAACCATGTCCAGACAATCAATTCTGGACGGATTGTTCCGAGCAGACGTCGAGAGTCGGGTATGGAAAGAGAACGGATAGAGCCGCCACTTACGGAGCAACCTATCTTAGAGCAACCCATGCAACATCCCCCGATTGCCTCTGTGCCAGATCCACATGCTAGAGGAAGACGCCCAAGTGAAGCATCGCAAAACTCTCGAACCTTTTCAATGGCATCAACCGTCACTCCAGATCGAACTAGTAGTCTACAGACTAACGCCTGCTTCGCACCTAAGCAGCAAAGCCAATTCCCGTCTCTGTCTCACTCCACTCCACACCACAGCCGCAGAACTCCTCTCGTCTATCCCGCCTTACTCTCCCGCGTGGCTACAGTGTTTAGAGAAAGGATCTCGGTTGGAGAACGGCTCAAGAACGATCTAGCATACACTAACGCTTTCACGGGTGCTGAAGCGGTTGATTTAATATCCTACATTATTAAAACGACTGATCGCAACCTTGCCTTGCTTTTGGGGCGTGCGTTAGATGCTCAGAAGTTCTTCCACGACGTCACATATGACCATCGGCTAAGAGATGCTGCGGGAGAGTTGTACCAGTTTAAGGAAACAATGGGCGAAGAAGATCCAGTGTCTGAAGTTAACGGTGTTTTCACCCTGCTCACAGAGTGCTACTCGCCAACCTGTACCAGAGATAAACTGTGTTATTCCATTGCCTGTCCAAGACGCCTTGAGCAACAGGCACGGTTGAACCTTAAGCCTCAGCCAGGTCTAAGGTCCTCGGCGTCCAAGGGAAGCTTGCATGACAACGATGACAACGATGATCAGAAACTTTGGATTAACATGGTTCCTAAAGAAGTTGCTGATAGCATTGACGACCGGGAGAAGAAACGACAGGAGATCATCTTCGAGATCATGTATACTGAACGTGACTTTGTCAAGGACCTAGAGTACTTGAGGGACTTTTGGATGAGGCCCTTGCGGTCCGCTAACAATACTAATCTTTCGCCCGTCCCTGAACACCGCAGAGAAAAATTTATTCGAACCGTATTCTCGAACTGTTTAGAAGTTCTTGCCGTTAATTCTAGGCTGTCAGAAGCTCTGAATGCAAGGCAAAAGGAGGCCAGCGTAGTAAAGACCGTCGGAGATATTTTCCTGCAATTCGTCCCACGCTTCGATCCCTTCATCAAATACGGTGCGAATCAGTTGTACGGGAAATATGAGTTTGAAAAGGAACGAGCTTCGAATCCGGCATTTTCCAAGTTTGTTGAAGAGACTGAACGCCTAAAGGAATCTAGGAAACTCGAGCTGAATGGTTACCTTACCAAACCGACTACTCGATTGGCGAGGTACCCACTGCTGCTAGAACAGGTGGTGAAGAACACCGCGGATGACAATCCCGACAAAAAGGATATTCCGAAAGCGATTGCCATCATTCGAGATTTCCTATCGCGTGTCAACACAGAGAGTGGCAAGGCGGAAAATCACTTCAACCTTGTACAACTAAACATGGCCTTGAAATTTTCCCCAGGAGACTACGTTGACCTGAAGCTCACGGAGGAAAACCGGGTAATGTTGACCAAAATGGCTTTCAAGAAGGGTCCGACAGATTCTGCTGAGATTACTGCATACCTATTTGACCATGCTGTTTTGCTGGTTAGGATTAAGGCAGTCAACAAACGAGAAGAATACAGAGTGTACAGAAAACCTATCCCTCTCGAACTCCTCGTTATTACTCAGATGGAAGAGGTTATTCCCAGGCTTGGCATTCCCAAACGCCCCTCTTCGAACCTCATTCCCGGTGCCAGAACTGCTACAAATGTCCCTGCCTCCAAGGACGGTTTCCCAATCACGTTCCGCCATCTTGGTAAGGGAGGTTACGATCAGACGCTGTATGCGACTTCGGCAACGCAGCGGAGAAAATTCATTGAGCTTGTCGAGGAACAACAGAGGAAGTTGAGAGAGAGGAACAGCAATTTTTACTCCAAGACTATTCTCTGTGAAAAGTTTTTCACTTCTGTCAACAGGGTTAACTGTTTGGTGCCTATTGGTAAGCATAATAAGTTGTTTTTTCATTTATTTTGGTTGTTAAAATGAAGCCCATGTTAACTGATAATTTCGTATTGAAGATGGTGGGCGAAAACTGGTCTACGGCACGGATAGTGGCATATACTTGTCAGAACGATGGCCAAAGGATAAGTCTGCTAAGCCCAGGCGTGTCCTCGATGCAACCGGTGTCACCCAGATCGATGCTCTAGAAGAGTATCAGTTGCTCCTGGTCCTATCCAACAAAACTCTAAGCTCCTATTCGATGGAAGCTCTGGACACAACTGAGAACCAGAATCCATTGGTGCGTCGGCCGAAGAAGATCCAGGGCCATACCAACTTCTTCAAATCGGGGATTGGGCTTGGGCGTCACCTTGTATGCTCTGTCAAGACTTCTGCATTGTCGACAACGATCAAGGTGTTTGAACCTGTGGAGAATCTAGCGAAGGGGAAGAAGAAGCCATTGAGCAAGATGTTCCAGAGTGGTCAGGATGCCTTTAAACCCTTCAAGGTGAGATTATTATTATTATTATTATTATTATTATTATTATTATTGTTATTGTTATTATTTCCCCTTATCCTCCTCGATACATTCATTTCAATAACTAACATATTATTCCCCTACCCCTGCCAGGAATTCTACATCCCTGCCGAATCCTCCTCCGTCCACTTCCTCCGCGCAACCCTCTGCGTAGGCTGCTCCCGCGGCTTCGAAGTGGTCAGCCTCGAAACCACAGAACGACAATCTCTCCTCGACCAAGCCGATACCTCCCTCGACTTCGTCGCGCGGAAAGAAAACGTGAAACCAATCCACATCGAGCGCATGAACGGAGAGTTCTTACTCAACTACAGTGACTTCTCCTTCTTCGTGAACCGCAATGGCTGGCGTGCTCAGCCGGACTGGAGAATATCGTGGGAAGGAAACCCGATGGCCTTCGCGCTGTCGTATCCGTATATTCTGGCGTTCGAGTCAAGCTTTATTGAAATTAGGCATATTGAGAGTAGTGAGCTGATTCATGTTATGACGGGACGGAATATTCGGATGTTGCATTCTTCGACGAGAGAGGTATGGTTGTGATATCTGTTTTGTTATTTTTTACCCCCTTGGTTAATCTTATGTAGTACTGCTATATGGGAACCTAGCTAACCACCGTTCATCAGATTATCTATGCATATGAAGACGAAGCAGGAGAGGATGTAGTCGCTAGCTTAGATTTTTGGAACAGACCCTCATAAACTACTAGCTGGTATGAAAACACTGGGGAAAGGAAAAACTAGAAGAGAAGGGAAAAGAAAAGAAAAGAAAAAAGAAAAAAGGAAAGGAAAAATTTGGTCGTTTTGTTAAATATCTTTCTTCGTCTTCGTCTCTTTTTTTTTTAAAAGAAAATCTCAGTCATCCCTTGCCCTTACTTTTTCCCAATTCCAGCAGACGTGTGTTCATGTGTCTTCGTGTGTCTTCGTGTGTGTGCTTCGACTTCGACAACATCTTTCCCATTTTCTCCCTTATAAAACAAGAGAGTTCATGATATCTTCTCTCTCCCATTGAATCTTTTCTTTTTCTTCTTTCTTCTTTTTCTTTTCTTTTTCTCCTAATCCCTATTTCTTTGATAGGGCTTTTCTCTCATATTCTCTGCCTTTAAAACTACTCAGCTACCTATATATAGCTATATCTCTCTCACTCCCACTCTTACACTCTGCCGAGAATACCCCCCTGTCATTGGTTTTCAGCTTCTTCTCCCATTTCTTTTCTTTCAATCTTCAATTATTTTCTCTTCCTTCTCTCCTCCTTGAAACTTTGGTAACTTCTTCAAATCATCTTCCTCACCCATCTTGTTTATTTTGCTCTATTTTTTCTGTTCTGAAATTGTCATTGATTTTTTTTTCCTGCCATCTTCACTGCCACCACCTTGTTTTGCTCTTCAAACCTATTTAACTTTCAGACTTTTTGAGTTTTTCTATTTCTTTTCTTGTTTTCTGCCGCAGACCCCGTTCTCAATTCACCTCTTCACCCATTTTCCCCGTCGTTTAAGAACTTATTTGTGTACAATTCATGTCCGTAAATGAGCACATGTAATTTCCCATGGTTTTCTATTTATTTATTTATTTATATTATTTATATTTTTTATTTATATATTATATATTATATTTTTATTTGAAAGACCTGCAGCTTCAAGTCAAGGAGCTATTATTGAGAAGAGCTGAATTGAGTGTTTAATTGATTGATTAATGGATGTGATTTTGCTTCCTTTTTCTTTTCAAGATTGATTTGTTCATCTGAGCATAATTCACCCCTACCGATTTCCACAGGAGGAATATTCCTCTTGAAATTCACCTGCCTTGGGACGGTATTTATATGGGATACCTATCTCAAGTATTCCATTCCCTTAACGACACTCTGTCGTATTATCGTCCCATCCCTATTACTCCGTATATATCTAAGATATTGAGAGAGCGTTGCCCAATCACACTTATCATTCTGGCTTCCCCGTTCATAGAAGCTGTGTCTGCAAAAAACCCATCATATAATTTTGACACAACACACCTACGTGCTCTGCTAGTCGTCCTTTCAACTACTACATCTTGAAGAAACCCTGTAGCTACACGGAGGGTGTACTAATAGCAATTCGGCTACATGGATGAACTGGTATGATAGGGTAGATACCTAGGTTTGGACAACTGAAGCCAGATTGCTGTAAAATTATTCCACGGTGACAGGATCCGTATAGTTATGGCCTTTCACGACATTTAGAATACGTAGCCAGTACACCTAAGCCTATCCTTCTCAAATACAGACGTGGACGAATTTATTTTTCCCTTCCGATGGGCTGAGCCATGTGGTGACTCTGGATCCATACTTTCTATTGCGTTCTCAGGTGAATATGGGTAGATAGCAGTTGAAATATTACGTTTAATGCCATCGCTACCACCATCGATGACCACCTAGGTTCCAATGGAGTGTTGTGGGGCGCTTCCCCCTGTGACTGCAACGACACACATACAGTGATCGCATAGGTTCGACACCTGCGTAGAGCCTCAAAGGAGGAGGTGTTTGGTAGAAAGAGGATGTAGCACTCCCTCCCAGCAGTGGGATGTGAACCTCTTTTTGGCCTCAGCGTGTAAGCTTGAAATTTTGGACTCTTGTGAAGTAATATTACCATCACGGATGATCACGTTGGTTCAGCGTTCTTGATCTCTTTTAACTATCACTCCGCGAGACCGAAGGGGCCAATAATGTGATATAACACTGTTTTTCATGCTGGAATCAATCAAGAATGCAAACACGCAAGTTACTCATAACGAGACATCCAACAGCCAAAAATGACTGACCGCCGTTTCTTCGTCTTTGACTGAGAGCGAAAGAAGGGTTGACCATTTGCTGGTATTTGAGAATAGCTTTTTGGTATTGGGTTGGGGTATTATTATATAAAGTAAACAAAAAGGGAGAGGGGGGGAGAAAGGAAAAGGAAGAAAAAATCAGCAAAACGAAAGAGCTGTCGACCGACTAATTCTGGAGGGAACGGGAACTATCTAGTATCGAAGGAGATAGATAGGCGGATAAGCTATAGGATAAAGCAAAAACGAGGAAAAGAGAGAGGGAAAGGGATGAACAAGGGGAGTTTTGCTCGAAAAGGCCTGCGCTGGGTGCCTCGGTAGTTAGGGCGTGTGAGGAATAAAGTATTACAAAAGAATGTATCTAACCCAAGGATATCCGGGAGATGAGAATTGACGCAATGAGATGGACGCTTGGGAGAAATGTAAAGAGTTGGAAGCGTGTAATATAGTAAAATAAATAGAATAAGAGGCAACGTTAGATATAGAGGATGAAGGAGTAAGAAGAAAACCACAAACCGGCAAATACAATTCGAATATTAAAAACGTGCTAACTTCGCTATTTCGCCCGCTCACCAAACCAACCGCCTTCTCCGCCCCCTCCTTTTTTCCATTTCCGCCTTTTTCTTTTTCCAGGTCGGTAGAGTTAAAAGGCAAATAAGAAATTCTGACAGAACGCAGAAAGCCCATAGAAAGCAACAAAAAAACCATGGGAAAAATAAAGAGGAAGGTAAAGTTGAAAAATAAGAACCACACACAGACACACCAAAAGGAGAAGAGAGAAAAGCTAATATGGGAATAGTCATTCAGTAATTGTTGTGAGAACGAGATAAAGGGAAATAAAATAGTTAGATTTGGGAGGAGAAGCGGCGGGCCAGGATAAAAAAAAAATCTTTGTAAAAAAGACAGCACGAGAAGGGAAGATATGAAAAGGAGGAAAAGGGGAAAGGAAACGGGAAACAGACGGAGAGACACAAGCGCCGGCAAGAACCATTGGAAGCAGCAAAGTCAAGACGAGAAGAACGAGTGCATGTGCGATATCTGCTAGACGAGAGCTTTCATCTTTCTTTTGCACTTTTATTTTTATTTTTATTTTTTGTCGGGAGGGTATAAAAATGCTGGGTTCAAGTAGTTTCAACAGAAAGAAGGCTTTGTTGAAATGAAGGGTGTGGTGCAGTGATATAAAGAACATCTTGAAACCAAAAGACCACAAGGAACTCCATAAAGAAATTGGTTTCATGGACGGACTTCTCCCATATTGACTGTTCCACTTGTCCCGTAATTGTAAGTTTTTGCTTTTGACCTCGTTCCTCTGCAGTTTCATCACTATAGCTAGAGGATAGTTTGCTTTCTCGTCTGTATCAAACCGCCAGCCAGCCAGTCAGCCAGCCAAAAACCAACAAGGAGTGAAGCTTTTTGGCTGGCTTTTGACTGTCAAGCAAAAATCCATTTGGTCTGATTTACGCGTTAACCTCGCCATTCAACTCATCCTGGTGGTGGAGGTGGCTGTTGTGTTCGCGCTCGATCCGAGCCTCAATCTCCTTCAACTGGCTCTCACGAGCAAGAAGCTCTTGTCGCTTAAGTTCAATCTCGCGTTGCACTTTGATCTCGATCTCGCGGAGTTTCTCCTCCTCGCGACGGAGCTGCTCTTCCTTCAGGCGGACGGATTGAGAAGCGAGATCTTCGGGGTTCATGGATGAATCGTGGTTCCTGAGTTGGTTAATTAGTAAAGTGATATATTTATTAGTGAAGCAAGAGATGTAGGGAAAAACAAAACGTACGTAGAAGCACCACCCTCCACGCTCTTGCTAAGTTTCTCGGTACGATAGTTCTCATAGAGGAAGTCGTGTGTGATTTCTTTCAAGTCTGCAAGATGGCTGTGCAGGAGAGCACTGCGAATAGCCAAGAAGTCGGAGTGGCGGGGGTTATCGACCTCAACTACACCCCACGGGTACTGTCTCGCCCGAACTTTGCGGCCGCCGATTTCCAGAACATCCTCTGAGCCCACTATGGCAAATGGCATTAATCCTCTCAGCTCAGCGTTCTCCTCGACGGTATCCTCGTCATCCTCTTCGATATCATAGGGGAAATTGTACACCGGGATGCGGTAGTGCTCGATATCCTCCATGACAAGTTTCTTTGATTCAGCTAGTTCAGCAGGTGTTAGGGAGTCGGCCTTGCCAATGACAGGGATGACGTTGACACGTGGTGAAAGGCGTTTCATCAATTCAATATCAAGTTCTCGCAGGCCGTGGCCAGTCGGGGTGATGAAGTACAATAGAGCGTGGACACGATTGTCACGGAATCGTGGGTTACGCTTGATCCTAGATTCTTCAGCAAGAATATCATCATATTGACGCTCGAGATATCCAACGATCTCCGAGAAACTATATGTAAGGGTGGATTGGTCAGTCCATGTCATCCAATTAGGGGCTAGGTTGAAGTGCGTTGCACACCTTTGTTCATTGTCGATTTGGTCACCGAATCCCGGGGTATCAACGATGGTTAGTGAAATGCGGGTACCCTCCTCGTCCAGTTCAAGTTCTATTATATATAAATATATATATATATATATCAGTTTTCGAGGGTCCACTTTGCCATTGTTCTTCCGGGGCTGGATTTTCCATCATCACTCACCAACAGTAATTGGTTTGATACGGACTCCTTCTTCTAGATGGGCATTTTGGGCATCATCCGCATCTTTCCCTTGGAGGACTTTCTTTCCGCAGAGTGTGTTGACAAAAGTGGTCCGACCTGGGCACGAACAAGTATGACAGTCAGCAAAACGAAGACAACCGTAAAACACGAAACATTTCTCGAGAAATGAACCAAGTGAAATGTAAACGTACCTGTTCCGCTGGCACCACAGACCATCAGACAGAATTGGATACCTTTCTTAACATTTTTCTTTCGGCGAATCTTGATCTGGTCATAACGTCTGTCAGATCGAAGCATGGTCACGACAGTGGGAGACGGGGATGGACGAGGGGAGGAGTAAACAAGCAAGCCAGACAAGAAGATGTAGGCCACAGAAGATATGAAACTTCTGAGCAGGTGAAATATGAAGAGAAGGGACATACGGCATTGACAGCGGCAGACATGGTGGATTAGATTGCTGGATGATTTTGAAGCGGACGGTGTAACAGGGGGGAACAAGTTGGGAGAGGGTCAGCGAGCGAACAGATCTCTCTGGCGACGGTCAGAAGAAGAGAAGCGGTATGAGAAGACGAGCACGTAGTAGAGACAGAAATAGCCAAGGGAGAACGAGTATGTGGGTGAGAGTTAGAGAGAGAGATGGGGGGGAAGGGGGGAGAAGGGGTTGTTGTGTGGCAGTGATTGCAACACAGATGTCACAAATGTCGTAGATGTCACTGGAGAAAAAGGGTTGATGCCGTCGAGGTTGGTTACTCGGGGCAGAATAACTCTTCAGCACATTAGGGGGCAATTGGTGTCACAGCACATGAAGCGAGTTGGTATTGGTACCGTACCATCCCTGCACCAGCACCGGTTCAGGGGTGCTTGTATTGATTTTACCGTTTCTGGTTGGGCATTCTGCTTTATTAGCCCGTATTGTCTGGTAAGGTCGGAACTTTGATGCTCGGCCCCCCCCTTTTTCAAGCCAATGTTGGCCAATCATAGAGCAGTATTTTATTCTCACGTGATATTGATCTTCGGATAACATACACGGAGTTTTCCAGTCGCCTAGGTACCTCCCCACTGTTTCTCGCAGCGGAGATACCTTCCTTGGCATCCTCTATCATACTCTGTACGGTAAGGTGAGACCGCCTGATTCAAATAAGAGGAGAGGACATATAAGCCATTTTCCTCCAGCATCCATATTATATTCATATTTGATGTTACTTTCCTAAGCCCTGGAGATCTCAGGTATCCGCTTTTCGACCTTTCGATAGAACCCAATAAATCTGGGGAGGCACCCGCAGGACACAGAACGATAGTCGGTAAAGTGGCTGATTGCTGTATTTTGGATATTGTAAATACCTTGATTAAAAACAACGCCAGTCTATATTTGATTAACGTAACTATTGAAATTAGTCAGTTGACGTAAGCGATGACCGAGTTGAACCAACTTCCCCACCCGATAAAACTATTCAAGAAGTCTCTAAACTTTTACCACCAATAACTAATGGATTACACATTAGATGGACGTGCAGGGACTTTATGTTTCATGCTAAGATGGAACCCGAGCTGCTCGCCCATCCTTCTTCTACCACCTTCTCAAACTTGACTACTTCATCAAAAAGCTCAACAATTCCATGAATTCTAATAAGCCTGCCATTCGATCATACGTGCTTGTAGACTTTACTTCTATTACTGCTGCAGCAGTCTTTTTGACTTGTATTTCTGGCTTTCTAGTCTGATTCCTGACTTTCAAAACAGCAGCTTCATCAAGAGTTTTTTTAGTATTTTTAGCATCAGAAAATTTTCTATTTGAATTAAATTGAATTGAACTATGAAAGGTCTCTAATTGACTAGAAAGTCTATGAATTGTATAGCTTTTTGAGCTCTCTGCTGAGTATTCAAGTCTTCAGTGATCTTATTAACTTTGTATTAGACCTTCTGACTGTTAGGCTCGGCGCTGAGGCTAGGTTTATCTTCATCACGTGATCATGCCCCATATGTTGTTGGACGTCTGAAGTGGTTGTATTGGTAGCCTATCTCAGGGATGCTATATACTATTGTGCGGTGCGCTAGTCCATAATAGGAAGCCTAGGCTCCAATACCTCCCCTTGGACTAGCTACCGTACAGACTAGCTATCATACAGACTAGCTACTGTCCTGCTCAAATCAATCATATCCATCTTCTTTGTCAATCTATCTTGTCTTCCAATTGCTGTATCCATCAAATCCTTTTCTTATTTTATCCATAACCTGGCTGGCTTCTCAAAAGTTCTTCAATATTTGGAGAAATTGTTGTAAAGAATGCTTGACTTGGCTGACTTGCAAGTAGATTCTCTGTATTTCTATCTTTGCTCTTATCTCTATTCTTAGACTTATTTCTATCTCTATTTTTCAATATCTCAATGTGCTTCTTATTATACTTCTGTCATCCACTGCTTGTGAGATTTGAGTTCTTAAACCAGCAATGTTTGATCATATGTCTTGTATTCTCATAGTAGTGGCATTGGCATTCAACAAATCATTCAGTGATAGCATTCACAGCAGATGAGTTGAGATGAGTTGTAGTGATAGTGGCATGAGTAGTCAACTGATTCATCAATTCATCAAGGTTTAGATTCTGAATAGAGCTCTGCCAGATGGTATAGAAATCATCTAGCTTTATTTTAACAAATTTCTATTGCCAGTCTCTCAGTTCTAGTATGAATAGATCATGATAGATACTCTCAGCTCAATTTTCACCTAGAGATATAAGTTTTGTCTTTAGATCTTAAAAAGTTGCAAGATATATGTGAAAATCATTGTTTTTGAGCTGTAAGTCTCTTAACTTCATAGTGATTTGAAGACATTTTTCTGCATGAAATATAACATAGCACTGAGTAAAATTCTTTCATATAATTACTGCTAGATAGAAATCTTCATCTAGTGATTCTAGAAAATCACATATAGTTACATTCAAAGATTGAAAGATTCTTGTGTAAAGAAGATTATTTTTCTTATTTCAAAGCTTAATTTTCAGAGAAACTGTGGTAGAAGATGCTATTTGTTATTTATTGAGAACATTTTTTATCTGAATCAAATGAGCATCTGCAAGAATAAAGCTCTTTCATTTCAGATAGTTGACTTCAGTGAAAATGACTGCATGTTTTTCTTTTAATTTAATCTTTGCATCTTTGCAAAATTTATCAACTTTATTCTTGATGAAATTATTAATAATATTTAGTAAGAAATCTAAATTTTTTTTAATTTTTATATAAGTTTTTTTATTTATTTATTTTGTTTTTTTATATATTTTATCATTATTTACATTATATTTGTATTATTTTTGTTAATATTTATTTCATCTTTTTAATCATTTTCTTCTTTAGACTCAGAGATAAATGTATCATATTTATATTCATCTCTATTCATGTTATTGCTTGCAGAGATATTCAATGATTCTGCAGTTTATATTCTTGAAGATATCTGTTTATTTTCTCTTGATTCAATCTATTTTCTATGATCAAAGCTTTCAAAATAATCACTTTTTATCAGATTTTTGCTGTAATTCAGTAATGCAGTCTCTGTGAGATATTTTATATCTCAGATTAAAAAAAAAGAAATAAAGTATAAAAATAATATAGAAAACTTTTTTTTAAAAAAAATAAACTATTTAAATTATAATTTATTAAATGTCTGAAATGATTATATTAATAGCTTATCTCAGAAATACTATATACTATTGTACAGTATGTTAGTTCATAATAGAAAGTTTAAACTTCAACATTAATCACATAAATTGATTATAATTAAAGTAAATCTTGACATCTTTTTTCTCTTATCAATTTTAGTATTTTATTATATAGTAGTTATCAATGCAGAGTGATTCTTTCTCATGCAACTTATATTTACTTTTTAATACTGACTTTAATTGAATAGTTTATCAGATTTCAACTATTGTATACTTATATATATTAAAAGTTTCAAAAATAGTAAGTAAAAAATTTATTATCTTAAATTTAATAAAATTTATATATAATAAATTTAATATCTTAGTAAAATTAAAATATTAATTTAATTATTTTTTATTTAATTTAAAGTTTTTAAATATATTTTAATTTTTATATTAAAATTAAATTATTTAAATAATTTAACTTTATAATAAAATTTTATTATTTTTTTATAGATAAAAATACAGATAAATTTAATAATAATAATAATAATATATAAAAAATTATACTAATATAAAACTATATATATTTTATTTATATAAGTTTTATAATTATTTAAAAATAATAATTTAAAATTTTTAACTATAGATATAGTTAAAAAGAATT